GGGGGGGGGGGGGGGGGGGGGGTATTTTTACGGTGCTTCAAGGCGGAGTTGAGGGTCTTTTGATTCGTCTAGTTTTACGGTGTGTTGTTGGAATGGTCGGGTGTTGGATGGTGAGTTTCGTATACATGTTAGTTTTCTCTATGGTGTTAGTACTATTTGTGACAGATGTGCAGTCCGAGTACCGAACTCCCAGGGAGTACCTTTCATGGACTTTTCATGCAGCCCGAGTACCGAACTTTCTCCTCTATTTCCATCAGTGAGGTAAAACACAAGAAGACCAAAAGGAGGCACAGGCGACCAACAACAGAATGTGCATACTTAATTAGCCAACAGGCTCTTCGAGCATTAAAAGAATTGCAAATAAATGTAAGGAACGAATGAAGCATGACCAAAATTGAATCGGTGTCTGCAAAGACGAGCGTAAGTCCAAAAACTTATGAGCCCTAAGTGTCCTGCGTAAATAACAAAAGCAAGGGTTCATGATTCTTAGGACTTGTGCCCATCCAACAGAAACCAATTCTAACGGGCTTGATATTTCAGGCTAATTTCCAGTTGCAAGAAACTATGAAATATACTTAAAGCAGAATTGAAAGGCGATCTGAGCCTAGTTTTTATCATGCAACCAATCTTGAAGACATCTTGCCTTGGTAATTTTTCAATATTTTAACCTTGTTCTACCCATGTTTTACTTTTTTTTTATCGTGTTTGAAATTCCAAGCTATTTTATTTGTGCTTTGTAGTTTTCAAAAAATGCTATTGAGTATTTTGTCAGCCTAACATTAAATCATGACAGGAAGTTTGCAAACCGATTCATGCATTATCGCAGCTCATCATTGATATGTTTTTAGAGTAGCTCTATTAATCTGTGTATTTTCCTCGCTGTCAGTTGCTGTTACCAATAGCTGTTACTCTAGTCGTGATACTATATTTCAAATAGTGCACGTTTCCTCGATCCTATATGTATGTTTTCATTGTTTCAGGATCTCTGTATGTTGCAATATTTGCAATTATCCTATCGAAAAGCACAGATTTCTTTGTTATCGGCTGGAAACAGGTCTGTTCTAACTTTTCAAATGGCCCTGATTGGATCCAACACACTTGATTTAAAGGGTGAGAGAAACTTAAATTCATTTTAATTCGTCTGTAGACTGGACATCAGAGGGGGGAGTTTTTAAAGAAACAGAGAGACAACCTAGAAATGCTAGAAAATTATAGTTTAATATTTAGAATTGTAAAACTTGATAATTTTGGTGTTAAATCTCTCAATTTGTTCTCAAAATTCTGCCTTTTCATTTTTTCAAGCATATAAAATTTTAATCAAAACTATTTTTCACTTGAATACCCTAAAAAAATCCGGGAAAATTCTGGAGATTTTACTGTAGAAATCCCTTAAAACTGAGGAATTGGAAAGGATAATACAGTAAAAAATCTCAAAATTAGATACTGCAAAACAAGAATGTTAGTTAAAATTTCTTTGGTTACAATGTCAGTTCGAACTAGACAGATTTTTTTTCTTTTCTTTTTTTGTTTTGATCTTTTTTTGTATATTCACCGTCCCTGTTTTAAGTATGTGTTTTTTTGCTCTGTTAAGGTATGCGCAAACCTTACAAGGACAAAACGGAGGTATTTCTGGAAAAAGACTTGATATCAAAAAATCCATTCCATGTATTCACAGACTGGTTCAAGCAAGCTTGCAATGGAGATATACATGAACCAAATGCAATGTGTTTATCAACCGTTTCGAAGTATGTTTTTTTGAATCTTGTAATTAATATTTGTTAATACTACAAATATTCCACCTGTTGCTTACTGAAACTCTTTTAAAAGAGGGCTTTTTGCTACCTCTTAATGTTTCTATCTTTATTCTTCAAACAAAATTGAATGTAAACTCTGTTCTCTTACACCATCTTGTATGGGAGCCATTCTTGTCTGCTACATGTTGCATCACAGAAGTTTATCCATGCTCGTATATTTTCTATAATACACGCCCATCTTCACAATGACAGGTTAAGTGTCTGCACCACTTCCCAAAGTCATGGGTAATCACTGATCACGTTTTTTTGTATCTTTTGTTTTTAAGGTGTGGACAGCCCTCTGCTCGATACGTTCTACTCAAAGGTTACGGGGAGGATGGGTTTCAATTCTATACAAACTATGGAAGTCGCAAAGGAAAAGACCTGGTTAGTATGCTTTGAGCCCAATCCATTAATTTTTCATTGCGTTTAGTGAAATTATTGAGTTCCTTCTTCATGCATACTTTTCCAACATAAAAGATGCCACTTTCCTTCATATTTTGGATTCCTGTCATTATGCATGGATAATGTTTTATCCCAAAGTTTTTCCAATCAGAATACTGATGCATAAAGTATAAGAAGCTTTTCTTCATACAACCGTTCATAACAACTATGTTATTGTTGTAAAACTGCTCTGTATGCAAAGCGTTTCCGTGTTGAAGATTCAAATCATTTTGAAAATTTTAAGCTGACAAAGACAACCATTGCCCAAGAAACCGAACCCATCATGAGAGCGTGACATAGGATCATCATCATAATTTGTGGTGAATTTCTGAGGCAACTTTGAACATCACAATCTAATTTTAAACTGCCTTTACATTATTTTTTTTTTCTTCTTTTCCCAGGAGGAGAATCCCAAAGCATCCCTAACATTTTTCTGGGAGTCTCTAAGGAGGCAGGTAATAATCCAGCTCTATATTTTCTCCTTCATATGTCTATCTTCTAGAGACATTGATGCTCAATTGCTCAAAGAAGCATCAATACTACAATCTAAGTAGAAATATTAATAATGATATCAAAACCAACTTCAAAGTTTAAATATTCACTAGATATTGATGATAATTGACACATGTGGAAAGAGTAGAAAGTGGTAGAAGTGGCACTAGATATTGATGATAATTGATACATGTGGGAAGAGTAGAAAGTGGTAGAAGTGGCACTACATGCTGTTGGCAGCAAAAGTATGAGACATACTTAAAAACTATGGCATGAAGTTTGAATTATTTATGTTTCTCAGTAGCTACTTTAGAATCAATCCTTGAGGTTTATCAAATGGGCAACTATGAAAATTGAGTATCAACTTAAATTCAATTTTTTTGACAGTAGGTATTGATATCTAAATCCAACCTGTTATTGATAACTCTTAGTATAGACTGCAGCCAGCATTGCTGCTAAGTACCGATTACTTTAGTCTGGAAATCATTCAAGATAAGAAAAGAGTGCCAGCATCCTTACTTATTTCTCAGTCTTGCTTAAAAACTGCTTCATCCCCCTACAAGATTTTCACTTTTTGCCCCTACCATCATAGATTTAGACGGTGAAACTCCCAAACCCTGTATTTCAGTGTGCGACGTTGCAGACTTCCTTTCATATTTTTTTTTAAATGTAGCCCTACTCAAAAACTTCCATGATTTTTCTTCTCCAATGCAAAGCAAATTCTAAGAAAATTGCAAGAAATGGTTCCTTGATTTATTTTCCTCTAAAAGACAAATTGAAAGTGGAAATCTTCCAACACCACATGTGATTTGGTAGTTTTACTGTCGATGTGTTGGAATTTAAAAGCTCCCTCTAAGGGTTAGTCTCATTTGAAATTGATTTAGTTGAACCGAGTTCACCAGAATTGCACCAAGAAGTCGCATTTTGGACAAAAATGAGTCAGGAGTCTTTTTGCATTAGACCAATCATAAATTTTCTCCCATTAGGAATTCGAAGTGGAGAAAATATATTGTGAACATGGAAATAGTTGTTAAACTTTGTCTGTAACATAGTGTCTCATAGAAGAATTAGATTCCACACTTCTTTTTCTGGTCAATTTCCCTTCTTAGTCAGTTAATTTTAAAAGTTGGAAAGTGAGAACTACATTATTCACCTGTTAATTCTATGATTTTAGATAAGAATAGAAGGTGTTGTTGAAAAACTGAGTGAGAAAGAAAGTGAGGATTACTTTCACAGTCGACCGCGACCAAATCAGATCAGTGCCCTCTGCAGCCATCAGTCCAGCATCATCCCTAATCGAGAGTTCTTGATTGAAAAAGAAACAATTTTGAATGAGAAGTACAAGGATGAAAGTATCCCCATTCCAAAGCCAGATTATTGGTAAGCATCTTGTACCATATCGAAAGCAGCGAGAGAGCAACATTTTTTATTTTATGTACACTGATTCCTCTCCGAATATGGTGCCTTGGACCTTTATTCCTTGAGCTTTATTATGGAACATAAAAATTCAGGGGAAAATCAGACAATCTGCTCCAGAAACCAGAAATCTCTTCTTCCACCACTTGGAGACCATTTCAAGACCATTTTAAAACCATCGCACCTGAGCCTCAATTATTGACTGCTTGAATCTTTAAATTTTTAGAATAACAGAGAAGCTTTCTTTGACCAGATAATATAAATATCAAAAACGCTTTCGGAATGAAAAATTCTAATGTGTGCTAAAGTATCGGCAAAGAGAGAAAAAAAATAAGTATTCATATCTAGAACTCCGGAAAATTGTATACATAGTTTTTCTCAAGAAAATCCTGTGGAAGTGGGGAAAAAACTTTGGTTTCTCATCAGGGAATAAGCTCTTGCAAGTCAGGGAAAAATCTGGGATTGAGTTGAGCATGATCAAGAATCTTAGACACCATGCTCTGAAATAATATCTGAGTCCTATCATTCAACAAAGGAAACTCCTATTTCCTCAAAAATTACATTATTCTTCATTATGATCAGCGATATAACAGACTCGAATGATCACGGAAAACATAAATTACAGCTCATGAAGTGGACGTTCATAACTTAGATCAACGTGACTGAATTTCATGTCGCCTAGTTTTCTCTAATGTTTTATTTGTTTTAAGGAAGAACTTAACTATTCAATGCCTTTAAGCTCTCTGTGAATTTGCCTTAGATCATGAAGAATATACTCAGAAAATTTCAATTTTCAGAGTTGCTTAGTTTTTTGTTAACAAATAAAACATCAGATAAATTAAGTTGACAGATTCTGCTCGAATCTGCCCAAGTAATATTGATTTTTGTTGATATGTTGAAAATGCAAGATATTTTTTTTAATTTTTTTCTTTTTCTTTTTTTTATGCCTGAGAGCAGTTTGAATTTTAGATGAATGCTCCAAATGTCTCATGGGAACTGCTTTTTTTAGCCAATCGGCTATAAAATGCATTCACACTAAAAATCTCTCCTTTTTATATTGCTTGCAGGGGTGGATTTCAGTTAAAACCCGAATGGATTGAATTTTGGCAAGGACAAAGTGACCGATTGCATGATCGAATTGTTTTCCGCAGACAGAAACCGGACGAGAAACCCGACGGTAAATTGGTGCATGCTGGAGAAGACGGGTGGGTTTATCAAAGACTATCTCCTTAAAATTCTTGGCTTGTGTATTATTATGCTTCATTCATTAAGAATCTGTTTTTTGCTCTCATTTTTTCCCAATACCGCCATGCTGTGGAAAAATTCTGTATGCGCCTTCAGCTGTGCATAATCTCTTTGGATAAAAATAAGAATTTTTAAGGAAATTTGCAAATGTAACTCTTCCAGTTTTTCAGAAAAGATCATCTGCAATTGAATCTAAAGTATTTGGAAATTTCAAGGAAAAATATTCCCAAATTTTCTAAAAAATTGCTGTTTGATTGGGACAACTTTGGCATAATGCGAATGTTCATACAACGTTTTTCTTTACCTTGGTGGAACAGGAGAGCTGTCATTTATTCAATTGATCTGCTGTATATCAAACCTTGCTCAAACAATTGTTGTATCACATGTAGCATTGATCATACAACTTTAAAATATTTATATCAGCAGATTTAATGAGATTCCTAGAAGTTGAGGTAAATGTTTTAATTTATTTGTTTTCCTTACAAGCAAGTAAAAATGCTACTGATTAACAGGTATTACTTTTCTCTTTAAATTAATTAATTTCTGCAAAAGAGTTCAAATCATTGGGAGTTCTTAAGAGTTTTTGTTGTAAATAAATAATGGTTAACCTTTCGTACATTATGATGTTTATTTTTCTTGCTCCTGAATCAATGAAGACCATATTCATTTTAAATACAAAATCGGATCTGCTACGAAAATTGAATATGACGAGTGCAACTTGAAAATCTCACACCTTGGTTGAAGGCTCTGTAGTTTTCTTGTTACATACTCTTTAAATAAATGAAAGAATACTTAACATTTTTAGGTTCTTAAACTCTGCCTGAAAATGCAATACTTTAGCTAAAAAGATCTTTGAAACCATCATGCAAAAATATTCGTTATTTTTTTTTAACAAAAAAAAATGGAGTAAGATCAGAATTTCTCAAACATGACAATCGAGGTACAGGATTTTTAAATTTTACCAATGATATGCTGTTCAAACTTTACTCAAACTAATTTTATAACATTCAGTCCAAGTGAACTACACTTTGTAATAAGGAACAAGTAATTGGACTGCATTTTGCAATTAGGAACTATAATTTCTGGCTCATCTGTAAAAACACTTATGTGCATAGGGAAACTAATGGCACATACGTTCTTTTTTAACCGGTTTAGAATTTGTAGTTCCAAATTTCAAAATGTAGTCCAATTCTGGCTCATCCATAGAAAAATGAGAAAAAGCGCATACAGAAAATCTGCTTAAAGAAACTAAAGGCATGTACATCGTCTGGACGTATTTCTGTCAAACAGAACTATGTGCATTAAGGCATGAGTCCTGAGACCCCTATGAGTATGTGCATAACAGAGCTCACGTCATAATGCACATATTTCTGTTTGACAGGAATACGTCCATTTTTTAGATGAGCCAGAGATAATAGCTCTTCATTGCTAAACGTAGTCAATGCCAACTTATCTGTTTCTGAGATCCCATATGCACAATTGCACACAAACATTTTTCTGCTGTGTAAAGTAATCTGTAAATATGTATTATCAATACAAGTCTTCCTCGAACTGAACTTCTCTAGTTCAGAATACTTAATCATGTGGCTTTAAAATGCATTAACTACTTTCCTCAGGAAGAACGTTGCGGTTCATGTTATAGTTAAGTAATATTTTAAGGATATTGGAAATGAAGAACTGCTTTTCTAAAATTGATATTTGTTTAATGTGTTGAATTATCAAGTTTAAGGTATAAGTTAATTATCAATAAGAATGAATAGTACATTTTGAATGATGTCATGTTCAAGGATTTAACCTTAGGACTTAGCTTGTTTGAATGTGAGACCAATGGATTCCATTTGGTTGGTACATTTTAAACTTTGTTCAAAGGCTTTATTGGGATTACAATAAATTTTGTTGGTTTTTAAAAAAAAATTGAACAGTGTATTCATTTTAGTTGAGACGATGAAATTTGTTTTTCAAAACTTCTTTCAACAACTTTGCGCGTACTTAGCATATGAATATGAATATTCAAGCAGCAGCATTCTAAAATATCAATTAATTTGTTAGATTACCATGAAAATATTAAATCATCATTGCTTCCCTCCAGATTTTATTCACCGTTCCATTGACAAAGTAATATTTCCAAACAAGCTGTATAAGAAATTATATACCACACAACTGTTGCCTTGACAACCACCAAATCAGCCATCTTCCCTCAATCAGTCGAAGTGTGGAAAATCTGGAACATTGACTTTTTATCTATTTTCAGCAGCTTGCAAAATGCTTCTGCTAAACAGCTATTCATGACAACATCCCCGAACTAATGAAAATCTGCAGCTTCGACTGACTGTAGAAGGAGCACTGTAGAGATTATAAGAAGCCAAAACTATTCAGTGTCTATGTTACAAAGAATAAGCTTTTCATTTTAAGGGAATTGACTTTTTCATGCATAAAAGAGAAATTTTGGTTAAGTGCCGCACTGCTTCACTTGATGAACTAATCCGATCCTCAAACGGACATTTAAATGGAACACCCCAAGAATCCAAAGTATTTGCAGCAGGTAATTTCTCCTTTGAAAAAGTAATTGTATTCCGAATGCTTTACATGAAATAATTAGTAACAAAAAACTGAATCATATTCCTCAGAATGGTGCATCAAGAACCATCCAAATTGACCTTATGTTATATAGAAGGTAGTCAAATGCGCAGGAATCTTTCAGAGCATACCACAGCAGAATGGTTATTGTTGCATGTGGTTAGCTGCTCCTTATCCCTCAAAATTATCCTTCTCTAGGAATGCCAACAAATTATGAGTAACCGTAGATAGAAAACTTCATAAATATTTATTGTAAATCAAAAATCTAAAAAATAGCACAAATACTGTATCTTAGTGGAAAAATCATGAGGACAAACAGAAATAAAGACATATTCTAAGTTACCTTGCCACATTAAAATGCTGCTTCAATTCAGCTTTAAATAAACTATTTACAAAAGTGGCCTCTCTAATCACTTGCCCTACATTAAATAAGTACACTTTTTAATTGCACATGCCAGCATTACTTACTTTGCACCTTCATCCATAATGTTCACTCTTGCAGAATTGCAGTAGTCAAGTCTCGATTGACAGAATTGTCGTAACTGTCCTCTTCGGTTCTTACGCAGATATCAACTCGACCAAATCCCAGTCCTGTAAGTTCTATAGATGAGTCTCTTACCTAGAAAATTGCAAAAAAGAATATAATCTGTCAGGGATGATCATAGGGCCGGATTTAGGGGGTGGCCACATGGGCCGCGGCCCATGGCAGCAAAAGGGGGCGGCAAATTCTGAATTTTTTTCAGATGCAGGTATAAGAAAAAATCGGATTCAGAAAAAAATTACGAACTAGGAAAGGTCACAAAGTCTCTCATTTCCTGAGAGTAAAGGTATGGTAATTTCTAATTTTGTCGTCTTTTGATGATACAAAAAACAGCACCCACCTTTAATTAGTCGAGTTAAGAGAGAAACCAAACACGCAATTTAGCCTGGAGCGGCGCGGCGCAGAGAGCAATGATAACGAGGACTTCACATGGAAAGGCGAAGCCCGCGGCGCTCGGCGCGGCGGCGGTCGGCATGTAACACATATTAGCGCCTACCAAACTGCATGAATACTTCACGCATTGCGTCAAACACAGCGCGGTCCGCAGCGGTCGGCGTGAAACGCATAGCGCCTACAGGACTGTACGAATACTTCACGCATTGCGCAAAACATAGTGAGGTCAGCGCGGCGGCGAAGATTAAGATTATTAAACCACATTTATGTTTATTCTTTCATAATTTTTTCGTTTATTTCTCATAAATGGAAGGCGTTGTTCACACAGAGATCGGTTTACGAGACTTAACTTTCGCGCAAAGTTCCGTGAACTTTTGCCAGTAGTGTCGACAGGGCTTTCGCAAAAAATGTGTCCATCATGAGTAAACGCGTCTAATGCATCCCCTCTCCTTGCGTTATGTTTACTTGATGGTTTTAATCGACGTTGTAAACCCCCAAGTAGCAAAATGAAAATATTTTATGAAAAAAAAAAAAATTAATGAAAAAATTTAGAAAATAAAGAAAAAGTAGCTTGCATTATGGAAAGTAGACAGAAACTTCAAAGTGAGTGTCACTATTTATACCAAAGAAAAGAGGTCTATTTCCTTCTACAAAATGCTTCTATTTTTCGTCTGGACAATTGATACGGCTGTTTCCTTAAGAAAAAATATTCAAAAACCTGATGGAAAATGAAGAAAAATTGGATATTTTTTTTATCTATTTCTTAAAAATTTAAAATTCAGAAAACAGATAGGAAAAAAAAACAGAATGTAGATGACAAAATTGTCTGTTTTCCTTGTATTTAGTGTCCGGAATATAGACAGAAAATAGAAGTTTTTTAATAATCTTCTTACTTCGATTTGATACATCTATTTTCTTTCCATTTTCTTTCTATTTTATTTTTCTGTCTAGAAAATAGACGATTTCTAAATTAGTGCCAGGCAGAAAATAGAACCCCATGCTACTTTGGGCAATTAAATGACGCGTGGAAAGAGAAGGGGCAAATCATAATTCTTACCTCGATTGGTATGAAGCGTCCGAAATGATGGTTGAGCTCAGGCAGGCACAACTGAGTGCCATATTCAATGTGAAGCTCAGCGTCCATCGATGCCGTCACGTATTCTGCCCTGTCGTCCAAGAAATCCTACAAAAAATCAAAAGGAAATAAATCAGATAAAAACCACCACTTGAATGATTTCAAGAAAAAATGGATCAGTAGACAAGATGCGGATTTCAGCAGACCGGTACATGTTTCTTGACCGAAATTTCATTTAGAACATGATTCGCTTGACAAAAATCACTGAAATTATCCAAGATAATAGATAATACCCGTAGCATACCTGTAATGTTCTCAATTTTTTGCCGCGAGAATCTACCAGATCAGATTTCTGGCCGGATTCATAATCAGGAAAGTACGCGGCGAGGGTGGTATTGAACGCCGTGCCCGTGTTTGGACATTGGAACCCGTCCTCGTCAACTGAAATAAAAGAAAGGCATTTTCAATTTCAGTATAAATATGACAACATCTCTTTAAATGCATGGGGAAAAGTAAAAGTCAACTTGGAGGTTTATCCTGCCAGATATCCGCGAGAAGAAATCGTCAAAAAAGAGGCAAAGATTCTGTGCCTACCCCTCCCCTCCTCATTCCTTACTGTGCCCCCCTCACCCAAGAAAAAGAAAAAGAAGGGAAAACAAATCTCTACCAATGACTAAATGCAAAAATGCAAGAAAATATTTACTATTTATAGACCAATGGAAAACTTTCGCCTATTTTGCAACTCTAAAACTGATTCAGGAGATTGAAAAAAATTAAGCAAGTTGCACCGTGCTACCAGTAGCGCGGCGTGCTTTGCGATGTATCGATTGATCTGCCACTTCAACCTAAGGGAGAGGACCGATAAACGGGGTGTTCGCAGCGAACACTTTAATATTTGATTGTTTACCACAGCTTCAAACAAGGAAATATCGATAATCGATCATTCACGCCTTGCCATTGCATACTACTTTACTATGGCTGTTTGATGCGGTACAAAAAACCACAAATCTATCAATTACTTAGCTATAACTAGACCAACTTTTGCAATAAGGAACCACTATTTCTGGGTGTCAACGATTTTTTGTCCGCGCACCTTTGTTTTCCAGTAGTTTTCGCCCACATAACGTAAAATAAGCAACAATAACTTGGTCCAAGCGTTATATTTTAGTCGGTATGTAAAATTTTCTTGACAATATGAAATTGAGAGAGAAGGAGGTTTTGTTTTGGTTGCTCATTTTCTCAATGAAATGTTACTCTCTCCTTTTGATTCATCTTTTTAAATTGTCATTGGTAAATATATGGTTTTATTTCTATCCTTAAAATATTCGATGTATACAATATACCTTACATCTGTATAAGTACTTTTTTTTTATTTTTTTTATTTATTTTTTTTTTTTTTTTTTTGACCAAGTTATTACTTTATTTTGTAAACATTTATATTTTTAAAACGTGACAGATATTTGTAAAACCTTTTCCAAGCAATGGCCAAAAAAAAACCAAAAACCACGCAATATTTACTTTTAACCCGTACATCGATCTTAGAGTCAAATACGTCAAATGTTGAGCGTTCGGTTGCGCGTACACCTCCCTGCAGCACAGTAAAATCACAAAATGTAAAATAAAAAATTAAAGTGCCTTGGAAATCATAAAATTTGACTCGGAACCACCAATATTTAAAAGACACATTATATTATTACTCTCCTTTGATATATTGATACTTATTTTTTTTTCATCGATTTAAATGAGAATAATCAATGCAGAATTGCAGAGTGTGCAAACATTTCAAAATCGTAAGTTAAAAAACGTTGACTGTGCGAGTATTCAGTATTAATATTAGAGCCTAACAGAGCGGAGCGGCGTTCTGCCAGCGTGAGAGGCTCACAGGCGCCTACAAACCTAAGTGGTTACTTCTCGCATTGCACAATGCTTGAAGTATTCACTTAGGTTTGTAGGCGCCGATGCGCGGTTCGCGCTAACCGCCCGACCGCCGCAAACCCTTATTCTTCCAAGACATTATACATTTTCATCCAAAAACGTCGTGAGCAATTGTCGTTTGTATTTACAATGTAGACCAATTAACTTTGGGTCTCAACTGGTACGTGGACCAAAACCTCCGTGCCGAAAAAAACGCGCGGATGTAAATTACTGGAAAAAACACGTGCGCGGACAAAAAATCGTTGACGAAAAATGTCCTATGACCAATGGGATTTTTTTAGAAAGCTAGAGAAAGAGAGCATAATTTCTTGAAAACTTCTTTGATTTTTCCACTTTGTTATCAGACTAGTCAGTATGTTTCACCTGCGAAAAAATAAAATCGGAGCCGAGAATTAATTCGGATTAGCCAAAAGTGATTTCGCGCTTTAGCCATATTTCAATCGAAAGGAGCTATATTCATCGTAATATGAGTCTCGAAATGCATAAGAATACATGTATTAGAAGGGACTTTACATGTGTCAGAATGGGTATTTATAGATATCAGTGGCGTTTGTTTGCTTCGTGATGTATCGATTGATCTACCGTTTAAACCTGGGGAAATGGATCGATAAACAAATTGTTCGTAACGAACACCTTATAGTCGGTTTTTTACCATAGCTTCAAATGGGGAAATATCGATAATCGATCATTCACGCCACGCCACTGGTTTCTTTTGATTTAAATGCGTCCAATTTTGCTAAGAATGCAGGGTCGGACTTACTCGCATACGAGGGCGTAGACCCTTGGCTGGTCAAGCAGAGGCGTAATGTGATATGTCTCCTGGTAGGGGAATTTCACTCATATGTATTTTCTCTACGTGGAGGGGGTTCAGAAAATTTTGGCAAATCAGTACAAGTTCACGCTATTTTCAAGTTTAAAGTTTATTGATCGCACAGAGTAAAAATTGCAAAATTGAACGTGAAGCAGAGCATGGAGAGCTCACGCTTCGCGTCATCGCGCCTTCAATTTTTCAGATGCAGCACGGACGTCCATCAAGTACGAATAGTTGTATCTCTGCGCCGTCGTTAATGCGCATCCTTTCCCTCGCTTTATATCCATATTGTGTTTGTATGCGTTTGTCTTATTTGTAATGTTGCTTCAAACTAGAGCAAAGCAGTGCGTGTTCACGACTCACGCCATCGCGTCTTACATTTTTCATATGCAATGTGGACATCCATCTTGCGCAAATGATTGTATCGCGTTTACATTTTAGATGTCTCTTATTTTTGAGTTTAGATATAAATTAAGGTTAAGTTTGCCCGAGATATGCTAGGGTATGTCCGAATCAATAGTTATTTTTAAAAGGAAGAAATGTGTTTAAAGGTCTCTCCAGAGGTCTATAAAGGGTGCGTACTGCGTATGCCTAAACATCGAACCGACCATCGCTTCTAAGGGAGTTACACATAGCAAATGAAGGAGGGGGATGATGAAGCGTCTGTATGTCAACAAGAACGTGAAAATTTCACAGAAAATTGTTTACGCTGCAGAAAGAAGTTCTTGGACCTCTGGTTACCACTTTCATGCGTAAAAGCACCTTTCTTTACTCCTAACTCTCTCTTCTTCCGTTCATTTAAAAAATGTTCCTCGCATATTCTCGGTCGTAATTTTTTTTCTTCTTATTATATTGCTATCTGTAAGAGGGGCGCGTTTTCGGCGCGCCAAGGGGGCGTATCTGCCAATGGCAAATTGGCCTTATGGCCAGTCCGAGCCTGTAAGAATGGTATACTGCCGCACTAAAGAAAAACGCCGTATGAACTTTCATGAGTTGTCAAATTTTCTCCGATAAAATGTTTATTTTTGAGGAAACTTCTGAATATTCTTCCTTGAAATTTTCAGGAACCCCAGGTGAGATTGCGAACAAAATTATCTGAAAAATTAGAAGAAAAATATTCATGGTTTACCAATATATTCGTGCTTTGTCCAAGGAAATTTGGCGACGCTTAAAATATCATACAGCGTTCTTCCATCGCATGGCTGTATACTGCCGTGCTAAGGAAGAACGCCGTATGAACATTCGAGAGTTGCCAAATTTTCTTCAACAAAATGCTGTTGTGAATATTTTTCGTTGAAATTTTCAGGAACTGTGGGTGAAATTACGAATAAAATTATTTAAAAAATTCGAAGGAAAATAGTCATAAGTTGACCAGGAAATTCGTTATTATCAATGAAATTTGGCAACGTCTGATTGCTCATACGGCGTTTTTCCTTAGCACGCGGCAGTATAGCACGGCTCAAGTTTTTTTTCTCTCTCCCTCTCCTTCTTTCTCTTTCATTTCCTTTTCTATGCACGGACTATAGAGTTGAAATTTTGAAGGCAGCTGTGAAGATGATGAGAGCTAGGTTGAAAACCAGAAGAATTTTCACGAGGCGTAATAATATAATTCATGGGATTTTAAAAATAAATAGTAAGAGAAGATCGCGAAAGATTAACGGCTAAGAGGGATGTAAATCTAACAGACCTGCTTTTTTGCTGCGGGCATGAACGATGCAGAGCAGCGAAACTAGGACGAAGAACTTAGACTCTCGTTGGAGGCCCATGATTGCGACTAACGCATCGAGGCGCCGCCGATGGCACCTGAAGTCTAAAGCAGAGCTAATTATTGTTTACACTCGGAAAACAAGGCCACTGGCCAGTCTTCGTCCAAACATGCCAGTCCGCGAGATGGACGCAAAGTCCGCAAGAGGCAGAGCAACAGACTGTCGTAATCCACTGAAAACGAAGACGACTTAATCGTCGCTTCTTTGCCGTAAAGGCGTAACTCTATTCTCACGTGAAACCTCCACTGCCATGCTAAGAAAAAACGCCGCATGAACTTTCAGGTCTTGCCGAATTTCCTCTGATAAAACGCAAATTTCCTTACGAATATTCTTCTACCATTTTTCAGATAATTTTTTTCACCCAAAGTTCCTGAAAATTTCAAAGGAAATTATTCATAACTCTTTCCGAAAATTAATATTTTGTGTATGGAAATTTGGCAACTTTCGAATATTTATACGGCGTTCTTCCTTAGCACGGCAGTGTAGTCCACAACACTGCATGCTTTCCGTGAGTCATTTCGAATAATTGTAGATACGCACTTACGTTAGCGGAGCTATATTACGTCGTTCCCCGAACGAAGGAACGTAACTTCATTACAAGGTTGCAAAATTGACTCAAACAATTCAAGTTTTTACAAGAATATACCTGTGCCATTTTCGTTCAAAATTTTCCCGATTTTTGCATGAGAGCAGAAGAAAAATTAGTAAAATTTCTAGTTAGAAATGCCCAAAATTCTCGTAGTAAAACTGCAATTATAGGGGGGGGGGGGGGTTGCAACGCTGTGGACTTCTTGTCATCCTTAATTTTTCCTTGGAAAACTAATCAAAGTAGGTAATTCTTTTATCCCCTCTTTGATTTTTCTTCTATGATAGAGGATATTCTTTAATTTCAAGCTACAGTACGTTGGCTTCTTTTTGTTCAAAATAATTTAACAGGAGTAGACATTTTGGAACGTCACAATATAGAAAGGTGGTTTTGCACTTTGGCCATCAAAGTGATGATAATCATTCATTTTGATGAAAATCATGGCGGATATGATGGGACGACACAGCGGAGACATTAAGGGTGTGTTTTTTCACTTTCGCCCTCGATACGAGGCCATTGCCTCGTGATGCATTCAGCAAACATGTGCATAAAAGTAGGAACCCGCAAAATAAACAGCGAACTCTTTGCACGGTCATAGCGCGGTTTGGCGCACAGTGATCCAACTGTTGAGTTTAGAGGTCATTAAAACTTAAAATCGACGGAAAGTTTGAATGAAAACTCATTGGGAAGAAGCTTGATAAAAATGAATGGAGGATTACTCCTTTTTTATCCCTTTAAGAGCAATTATGATTGTAGTGTACGAGGTGTAACGTCTCTCAGAAAATCTTATTTCTTTTATTATAAGCCGATCTGAGATGTAGTGTTATTTATGTCAATTCACTTGTTCAGCGATTCGGAAGAATTCGATATTTGGCCCCACGTTCAAAGAATTGAAGAGTCCTAGATACTCTGATTAAAATTATTTGACGCTAAGACGTTATGAGTACCACGTCGAGTTCACGGGGCTTCATCCGCTGAAACCAACAGTTTCCCATTCTCTGAACGTTTTTAATCCACGTCAGCAGCCCAATAATCGCGCCTTGAAAGTAGCGTTCTCCAATCGGCGAAGAAAACATATTTGACAAGAGGGTAGAATACATGATCCGGAAAATGCGATATTTTCATGATATTCTCCCACAATCTCTCTTACCTTCCTTTGAATTTGGTGATTGAAAAATTTTCGGACGAATTATTTTGCAGCCAGGTATTTTTTTCCGATTTTGTCGCCTGTCATTTTTTCACGAATACAAAAAAAAAAAATAAAAATAAAAATAAAAATAAAAAAAATAATAAGGGAAAAATCGAGGATTGATTTTGCTTTTTGGGATGAAGGTCACGTGAAGCGTTACATATTTTTGGGAGGATACAGACTTTCAATATGCAAAGGGGGGGGAGGGTTCAGAAAACCCGTTTGCGTATTTTCTCCTTTTTGGTTTAATGGCTTTAATCCCTGTGGGGCCTACAGCCAACTGTAGACAAATTAAAATGACAAAGGGTATTTACATGGAGTGCATAGAGTCGTAATGTATACCCATGTGCTGAATACAATTCTAGCTGGAGCGCACTTCAGCTATGCATTCACCACTGCAAAAGTGTCAGAGGAAATTGACAAGCCCAGCGTGCATGAGGGCTGTTTCAATTGTAATCTCCCGTCGCATTTCTAAGGCGCAATGATACAACTATTTGAACTCTCCGGAATGCGTGGGGTATCACGCCGCATTTGAAGGCGTTTTCAAAACAGCCAAGTTCCGATACCCGGATTATCGTTTTGCATAGTTCATATTCTTTTGTTATATTCCGTACCACTTGTTTATTTTTAATCCTCGTGTAAAAACCACCCATGTGCTGAATACAATTCTAGCTGAAGCGCACTTCAGCTATGCATTCACCACTGCAAAAGTGTCAGAGGAAATTGACAAGCCCAGCGTGCATGAGGGCTATTTCAATTGTAATCTTCCGTCGCATTTCTAAGGCGCAATGATACAACTATTCGAACTCTCCGGAATGCGTAAGGTATCACGCCGCAATTGAAGGCGTTTTCAAAACAGCCAAGTTTTGATATCAGGTTTGTAGTTTCGCAAGAAATTGGAGCACAAAATCAATAGAATGACTGGTTTTACGAGCTAACGCAACTCAATAAATTTGTGTTTTATTTGACTGAAGCGTTAGAAAACAGTTCGGTCAGAAATTTAAATCAACCTACGGTCCATTATAAACTTGGTAAAACAGAAGCCAGGACCCAAAGCTTGCAGAAAGTATGCCTTACGTCAATGATTGCTTCGGGATCATCGCATCGGATCACTGGTGGATTGAACTGATGGAACCTTTGTTGGCTCTCATAATATCTTAGTCAAAAGCGTTGAAAAAATCTAGTGAATGTTTCTTCTCAGTTTTTTTTTTTTTTTTTTTTTTTTTTTTTTTTTTTTTTTTTAATATATGTCTTTATTCAGGTAGGTATGTGTGTTCCCAAACAACCCTCAGAAAAAAGATTATCTAAAATTTTGTAAAGCCAAAAGCCTGAGGAATCTCTCCCGGGAAAAAGTGAACCACTTGTTGAAGCCGCCAGTGAATTTCATGAGGCTTCAATAATATCGGGAGGCGACCTGAGAAATTTTTACGACTTCGACAGGAGCGGAGGCGAGAGCTAGGAGTGAATGACCTGGCAACGCAACAAAGAGAAACCCGGACTATAGGTACCTCCGTAAACAAAACCTTTCTTATTTTTTTTTTAAAGAAAAATGAGGAATTTCAAAGGTTCGAATCTGATCGAATTTGGCAAATCTTATAATGCATCGCTACGCTCGTAAACAGATAACGTGAGAATCGGCCTGATGAACACCCTGATCTCGTCAAAACAAGAATGCGGCTCTTTTTTCTCATAGAATGCAATAATACAGGGTGAGCGAAAAGTCCCCGACCCCCCTCTAACTTTTGAACGCATGCTTGTATCGGATCGAAATTTTTGGGATGCTCCTAGATCAATAAGAGCTACTTTTTGGCATATCCAAAATTTTCACTCCACAATCTTCTTCCTCGTGGTAGATTGACCTTCCTCCAGACTAACTCCTAACCGTGGTAATATAACGTTTTTCATGAATAAATTCAACCTTCCCGCTCATGGAAGAAAGAATAATGTACTTGGGTTAAATTGCACGCCAAACTTCACTATGACAGTCTCAGTAGCATGAAAATATGTCAACCTCAACCTTGACGCTCAGCATAAGCTGTACACACTTCGAACAACACAGTGTGGGAAAGAAACAATTCTCGATTGATTAGTCTGCGGAAGCCATTGCAGTGCGCAATTTGTCTCGCGTATGATTTTGTTAATCTTGTGACCGGACAATTCAAATTATTCCTGTAACCAAAAACAATAAAGACGACAATAAAGACGTTAATATCTTAGCTAGGAGTTGTTACCAATAGTTTTCGTCGCGCAAATCGTGTTCTACGTGAAATTCTGGTGAAGAATTATGTATCAAAGTGCTTAAATTCGTACCTTGTTTAATGGCCAATTCAATCTAAAAGAGCGAACATACAGAACTTTTTTCAGAGTAAATATTTTATCGGGAGAAAAGAGGCAACGTTGGAGTGCTCATACAGCGTCGAAACACAATATGGGCCTTTTAAGCCCCATTGTTCGATGCCGCGATTATCCTAACGCGAGCTTAAATTATCACGCCAAACACGGTGCTGTCGACGTCAAACTCATATCAGCGCCTACAAGACTGCATGAATACTTCTCGCATTGCACCAAACGCAATGCGAGAGTTGCAGGAATACTTCATGCACTGCGCCAAACAGCACGGTCGACGTCAAGCGCATGTTAGCGCCTACAAGGCTGCATGAATACTTCTCGCATTGCACCAAACGCGATGCGAGAGTTTTTTGCGATAACTATCCGACTACAGGTATATGCACATTGCCGCTAGCTGGATTGAAGGCGCATCACACTGTGAAGATGACTCGACACTCGACGGCAACTCCTTCCCTGGCTTGCGCGACGCTAAAATCGTCGTATAACTAAGAGGGAGAGCTGGCGCCTCTTTTAAGCAATTTCCAGGTCCCGAATTCCGAGACTCCTGTGCGGCGCCGGCTCGCTTTTTCGAGACATGACCGATTGTTTGCGATACACGGGGGCCCGGTCAAGAAATTACTACGTATTCCACACAATCATTTCCGATCGAACATGTATCGAAAAAGTAACAGAAGCTCAGCGCACACCGGGCTCGGAATTCGCAGTAGACCAGAACATGGCGCCAGCTCTCCTATTAACATTATACGAATCTGTGTCTCGTACTCTATGGTTGTTTATGAGATGAATGTGGTGAGATTTAGATAGAGAGGGGAGTTGGGAATGAAAAAGGGATTCGGGGAAATATATGATTTTGAGGGAGCCTTGATAGTCCGGATTGGTTCCTGGTGCGAGGCTCCGTGTGTGGCGATTGTGGCGGCGGTGGTGGAGTCGGTGAATTTAATTATGCATAATGACGACGGGTCGGAAGAACAAGCAACAACTGGAGGCGTGTTGTTAGCAACAGCCACGGCAGTGGCCAGGGACTTGACGCCCGGACGATGCGGACATGAGCGATCGGAAATGGAGCGGGCCAATCGGAATCCCGTTTCCGGAATCGCCAATTCGGATCCCACGCCGACGCGTCCGCCGGCGCCGCCAATCCACCCTCGTGTCCCTCGTGTCCCTTCAAGCCGGCCGCCACGCCGCTCGCTCTTCTAGGTTATCTCCCCGTTCCTCCCGCCTCAGTTCCCGCGTATAGCCGCTCTCCGTCCCAGGCAAGTTATTATTCTCTTTATTTTTATTCTTTTCCTCGCGCAGAAAAAAACTTCGTGCATGGGACCCGAAGTTGAGGTCATACGGATCTCTGAAGTTTTCTGATCACGCATCCGAAAACTTGAAGTCGAGCTGCTGAAAAACGGGTCAGACATCGAGGTACTTCGGTATGTACCGGAGTACTTCAGATGTGCGACCCGAACCCTTCGGTATATATCGAATTACTTCAGATGTCTGACCCGAACTTCGGCAGCTGGACCTCAACTTTTTAGATACGTGATACAAAAACTTCAGAGATTCATATTATGACCTCAACTTCGGGTCCCACGCACGAAGTTTTTTTCTCCGTGCTTTTTATTGTGATCTCGAAAAAATGATACAATAACATAATCAGCTACAAAGTTTAGCAGATTAAAAACAAATAGGACGTAGTTCTATCAAACGGAACTATGTGCATTAAAATATGAGCCCTGATACCCATAAGAATACATGCAAAACAGGGCTCATATCATCATGCACATAGTTCCGTCTGATAAAAATACGTCCAATTAGACGGTGAACGTAGGCATTTCTGCCAAACGGAACTATGGACCAGTGGGAAAGGATGGGGCGTGCTCTTGTGGGGGCGGGGAAAGCTGCATAGAAACTATGTTAAAGTAAAGTGGACGTGATTCTCTTAGAGCCTTATCATGGACAGAACTCGTGAGTTAATACTGACCACGGCAGCGGATTCGCCGCTGCTGACGTCACTGGCGCTTTTTAATTACGGCCCGAGCACTAACGAGCACACCCCTTTTTTCCCACCTGTCTCTGGCTCCGTTTGGCAGGAATACGTCTATTCGAGAAAATCGTTAGGAAAAACACCTTAAGAAATAATAAGACAACCGAGAATTTTACAAAAAAAATGAATCGACTAGGGGGGCCGATGACGAGGTATAACGCCGAAATTACTCTTTTCGTATACCATCGGCAGGTCCTATTTTTACAGCGGGCTCATTATTGAAATTGATAGACAAAAGCTATAGACAGAAAAGACTGAAGAGGGAAATGAAGCGATCTCATCGGTGGAGGCGGGTGGTTGCAATGGACGAAGGAAGTAACTGATAGACTAACTAATGGAGACTCACGAAAGAACTCAAAGTTAGTCCCTTAATTCCCCTCCTAGTCTAAAACAACCACCCGTTTCAACCAATAGGATCGCTCCGTTTTCCCGTAGTCTTCTTGGTCTATATTTTTTCCCATAGCTTTGTCTATCGCTGCGTCTATAGCTGTCTATTGCACTGACTATCGCTTTGCCCATCAGATTTATAGACAAAGCTGTGGACAAAGAACACGAAAGGAAAATGGAGCTATCCGATTGGTGGAAGAGGGTGGTCGCAATGAACAATGAAACAAGTAATAGACTAACCAACGGCAACCGATGAGAGAACCTATACTTGATCCATTACGTCCCTCCTCAGTCCATAGCACCCGTTCCAACCCACAGGATCGCTCCGTTTTCCCGTCGTTTCTTTGTCTATCGCTACGTCTATCAATGTAAATAATTAGCTCGTAGCTCCTCTTATTAATTGTGTCCCGAATAGACAGCCCAAAACATCTCGACGGTGAAACTCTCAAAGCGCGTATCTCGGTTTGCGACGTCGGAGACTTCTTGTTATATTTTTCTTTTACGGAAAATGCTCAACGTCAATGTTTAAAAACTTCCATGACTCTGTGCGCAGAAAATTCCGTACAGACCTCTCGAGGAATGATGATGATTTATTCTTCAGAATAATGAAATGCTAGCGGAGAATTTTAAACACCTCAGACAGGACAGAGACAAGACAAGATACGTGGTTGTGGTGCGGGCTATCACCGTCGATGTTATGAATGTTGCCTAACTGTTAATTGAAGGGGCTACTCTTTTTGAAATTGTGATGAAATCGAAATACGTAATTTTTTTTTTTTTTTTTTTTTTTTTTTTTTTACAAATGAACATCGCCTGATTTTCGTCATTTGTTGACCATAAAATTGCGCAATTTTGTGGTAAAAATATTTCAGTCTATAATGAAAAAAAAAGAAAGAAGAAAAAAAGGAACATTACCTCAATATTTTCTTTGCAAATAGTGCTACCAAGCTGCCCGTCAAAATAAAAAATTCATCATTAAAAGATAAATTTCTTCATGAAAATGCCACGCAGATCACGTTTGGGACGTTGGGAAATCCTATAATCAACGGATGAATGGGAAAATTAGTTTTCATAGTTATTATCACTAGGAAACGATAACTTCCCCCTTCCGAAAAAAATTTTAATCAACGTACATCCAATCGAGTATCAAAATCGAATCCATTTGTACAATAAATGTTTCCCACTCTGATGTGCAATGTTTGTAAACTACCTAGTCGAAATAAAAAAATGAGGAAATTATACTTTAGTGAAGAGCTTTGAAGTTAATTTACTTAAATGCTGATCTCTCATTTATGATGTAGAATTTGAAACTTTTCTTGTGTCCATCAAATTTTACATGAAACGATCAGGGCCACGTACACTGCAGTATGCAATAAAGAGGTACTATTTCTGGCTTATCAGAGGAGGCATACATAAGAGTGAAGTTCAGCAGATAAGTGAAATTTGCAAAGGAGGACAATTAAACCTTACCTTTTAAATGCCGGCAAGTACATGTAAAATGAAAGAGACAGCAAGGAAACCGCATATAATTATAATACAATACCACAACCACATTGGGAAAATGAAAACTGTAACGTCCGCCATGGTTTTACGCACTGAGAGGCACAAAGAGTCGAAAAGAAAGACAAAATATGACGGAATTGCTTGGTTAATAAGAGGTTGAATTTAAGTGAAACCATAGAAATGACGAATATAATTGCTGCATTCTCTAAAAGGTGCTGGACTGCTGGGTATATCAATATCATTTTCAAATCCAAATGATTACTTTCAGAAGCAATTAAATGTGGCAACGTGTAAAAAATGACAGAGGAAGAACAAAGAGCCGATAGCCGGCTATCTTGACTTTTATTGTTTATCTACATAAAAATTGACATGAACCAGTCGCAGAACGCCCATGAATAATTTTTATTTCAAGCAATAAGTTCCGAGGAAAAGATTTTTTATCAGAGGGTTTTAAAATAATTTTGAAAGAATGTGAAGAAATTACCAAATTAGATGATAGAAAATGGTCTAAATCGGAACGAGAAAAACTGAGGATGTACAGACAGTCATATGCATGTTTTCGGCATAAAAAATCGTTGTTTCCATAGCTCGCTGAGAAATTCGACTGATAAATGAAAAACTTTTCAACAGGAGTCCTCCAAACGTTATTGTGGGAAGTGTACCTATCTCTATCGCGGTCTTTTTTCGCTTCTATTTTATTTCTTCAAAGAGAAAAAATTAAACCATATTTTTAGCTTGAAATCCATACAAAATATTCTACTAAAAAAGAAACAAATTTAGGAAAGTTTTCAAAAAATTACGTCGACTAGTTTTCCAAGGAAAAAATAAAGTTTGACAGGAAGTCCGCAACGTCGCAAACGGAGATATCGACGGTGTAAGTCGGCAATTCCATAACTCGTTTGGGGTGTCTGAAAATCTCCGCCTCTATGTTATTATTTTCTAAAGGAGAACAAATTGGCATCATTACTTGAAGTTTTCGCAGAATTTTCTTCGCATAGAGAAGCAAAATCAATGCAGTTTTAAAGAATAGCCGTTGAGTAGGTTTTCGTTTAAAAAATAAAGTATGGTAGGAAGTCTGCGAAGTCGCAAATCGAGTTACCTATGTGATTGCCGACTTACACCGCCGATATGTAGTTTCGCATTCGGGCCATCGATATGTACCATTTGCAAGAAATCGCAATTTTGTCTCTACGAGGAGAGAAGAAATTGTTCTAAATACAGAAAACCCATAGAACACCGTCAAACTGCTGTAATTATTCGATAAAATTTAAACTTTATTGACAAACAAGTTGCAACAAAGGACAACATTGTATATTAAAACTATTTTTCTATGAAGTTGCGATTCACATCAACCTGTGTTACTTGGAATTTGAAGAGCACAATGTTTTGAACTCCAAGTCTAAAACTTTCCTGTTTCTACCGATGTCAATTTTACCTTAAACAGAAAAACATAAATACGACGATGACATTCTAGGTTGAGTTGAGACACGGGGACGCGAAGTCGTTGAAAATGCCTAAATACAATCATTGCTGCTCTGCGACTAACTGTGTTGCATACATCGTTGACTGAAGGCGCATTATTTTTTCCTCGTTTACATCCGCTATGTATAAAGCGCACATATCTTCCTTTAAGTGCAGAATGAGCGGGGGATATTTGAAAATTAACTAACTTATCCTTTGATAAATTTTTCGAGAAATTCGATGGCACCACAGCTTTTATTTGAAGTGAATTTATTTAAAGCTCTCGAAGTTAAGGAACTGAATGATGTCATTGCAGTAGACGACTGCATTATAGAGAAATCCTTCTCATGTTCCGTCAAAATCTTCGCGCAGAGAGAGTCCTGCGAGCTGGTTAATGAAATTGATAGACAAAGCGATAGACAAAGAAGACTTAAGGAGTATGGATCGATCCTATTGGTTGAAATGAATGGTTCTTCCGGACTGAGAGAGAAAATGATGGACTAACTATAGGGTCTCCCGTGGGTTGCCATTAGTTAGTCTATCACCTACCTCCTACGTCTATTGCAACCACCCGTTTACATCAGTAGCATCCCTCCATATCTCTTTTGTTTTTTTTTTTGTCCATAGCTTTCTCTACCAATTTCAACGATCAGCCCGCTGACAATAGTGAGCAGAGATGTCATGATTGTAAGCAAGGAATGGAATTTTTTGAAATTTTGAGTTACAATTAAAAAAATTGCGCTTCTATCGCCCGACAATGAATCGCGATATTTTTTAAATAAAAATCGCGATAAATGGCGATTTAATCTCGATTTTATTGACGAAAACTGATCACGATTTTATCGAACCAAACATTGCGATGTGTAGCGATTTAGTCTCCATATATTTTTTTTACTACTTCAAGTAGCCCAAGGGCTAATCCTGCGCCTCAGTCCCCTCTCCCCTCCGTCCCTAACAACCAATCCCAGGCAACCATTGTTTGAGACCATCAAACTCGGGTCGCCTATATATCGGGTGCGTATATATCGCAATATGTAATGCGATGGTACCTCGATATATTGCCACCGATATAATCACGATAACCAACAGATGAAATCGCTATTTATCACGATTACTGCTTCCGTTTGGCAGAAATACGTTCAAATGAGTCGTGACCCGAGTTTATCATGAAATGATGATGACCTTTCATGACTTAATGAGTTACTCTGTCGGACTGGCCGGAAAAAAATCGATGTCTCAGATCGAGAAGATACTTCCACCCGCTCTAAAAATAAAGCGTCAATACCGCTTTCTCGGTAGCCTCCTGTACCTTTGCTTGGAATATTTGCACAAATAATTAAAGTGTACTTAGTCTCTTGAGTGGTTCAATGACCTGTGAAGTTGGCCGTTGACAGCTTGCTGAAATTTTACTGACTCACTTTCCTCGAGCTTACCTATGTGCGCTAGGAAAATCGGATTACGATCTAGCAACCTTGAAATCATTTTAGAAGTCCGCGCCATGACAGCAGATGGAGAACGTATAAAATGTATGGAAAGAGGGATGGAAAGAGAGAGAAAGGGAAGAGAAAAGAGTTACCTCGATACAAATCAGATACCAATTTGACGAACGAATAAAGTACCTACAGGTTTTATAGAAAATGTAACAGGTCATGTAGGTTCGCAGGAACACTTAAAATATTTCTAGATGGTGCCTTTTTTTTCATTTTTTTTTCTGGGAAAGGAGACTTTGTCAATGTGCATACCTCGAATTTTAAAGTTCCTGTGGAACCAACTTCATTTGGCAGTAGTAACTTCTATTTCTTGCATAGACATAGAAGCACTTATCTGTATATGGAGACTCATGGTACATACGTTGTTCAAAAAGCAAGAAATATCTATTCAGCTGCGGATATCCATGGAGGTACATCCTCGAAACATGGAAAAAATGAAAAAATCACCTTTCACAGCGGAAAAATCTCGGAAAATTCTCGATTCTTTACATGCTCATGAATTGGACTACATTTTGCAATAAGGAACCACTATCTCTAGCTCTTCCATAAAAGCACCTTTCTGCCCAAGGAAACCGATGGCATATCTGTTGTTTTTAAAATGAGCTAGAAATAGTGGTTCCTTATTGCAAAATGTCATCCAATTCATCAACTACAGAAAATGGGCAAAATTTTTCCACGGGGAAACCGTAGTTTGTCCATCTGGCTTGGCTACGGATATTCCTGGATTCACATCCTGGGAACATGGTGAAAGTAATGACCCAATAGACTCTCAGAAATTGTTCGCATGATTAAAGGTCGACGAATTGTTTCTTCCACTTGGGGAGGCAGCAGTGCATACTGCGTATACATGTCCGAGAGGTTCAAGCATTCCGGATCCTCTCCTTGAACACGAAATTTTCCGCACGCAAAACGTAATATTTCGGGATTTTCAGAAATTCTTCATCTCCAGATTCCCCTATTCCCCCTCCTCCGCACGAGAAATTTTTGGTTTCGCCACTGGGAGAGCAGAAATGCGCGGCAAAGCCGCATTTGAAGAGAAAGCGTCGATATTAAATGAAAAATTCGGTTCACACGTTACCAAAACGAATAGATCAGTTCCTCTATAGAGGGAAAAAAAGTGGTCGCATCTTGAGAATTGTTTATCCCCGTGACATAAGTAGGTACAATATGGCGTCGCAATTTTCGCAAAATACGAGATTCAAAGTATGAAAAACGGACCATAACGTCTAATTTTTCGCCTTAGATCAACTCAAAATAAAATTTAAACCACTTGATATTGAATTCATTTTCTCCATTGAGGACGCCATTTTCAAGGAAATCGATTATAAGAACCGTCCGTGCGGACCTACGTCATCATCAAAATCCAAGATAACTGAAATGCCTCAAACACCTCATTTTTTTTTCTCTGAGTTCTGCTACCATTCAACGCGCGATACGTCAGACATATCGACGGCGTAAGTCCGCAATCACATATCTCGTTTGCAATGTCTGAAAATCTCCGCCTCTATGTTATTTTTTTAAAGGGGAATAAATAAACATCATTCCTTGAAGTTTTTGCAGAATTCTCTTCGCACAGGGAAGAAAAATCACGGCAGTTTTAAAGCCCTGCCGTTGAGTAGGTAGTTTTACGTTTAAAAAGTATGACAGGAAGTCTGCGACGTCGCACCCTTAGTAAGAGTATTCTGAAGCGCCGTGGCATTCCGCAGCGCAACGGTCATTCAGCGGCCGCGGCGTGCTGGCGCCTACAAACCTAACAGGGATACTTCCCGCATTGCGCAATGCGTGAAGTATCCCTGTTAGGTTTGTAGGCGTCTATGCGCGTGTCACGCTGGTTGACCGTTGCGCTGCGGAATGCCACGGCGCTTCAAGAAACTATTTCGCGACAGAGGTGTTGCACAGTATCATAAATTGTTTGCAATGAATCGATAGATCGCTGTCATTAAAATCTACAAAAAATGATCAATTATCAGGGTATACCTAAAAAAATCGATTCTTTTCCATACTTTCAAACGGGAATATATCGATAGCAAATGATTCACCCTTCACCACTGAGTGCCAATTTTTTGCGATGAATCGACTGGTCTGCCTATGGACAGTGATGGATTTTCAGGATATACCTAAGTAATCGATTCTTTGCCATAGTTTCAAATGGAAATACGTCGATAGCCGATATGCTTAGCGCTTCGCTACGAATACCCGCAATGCGTTCTTCCGTGCACGCAAATAACCCACACTCCCACATACTCTACGTGGGGATATTGCGTGTGATCGATACGCATCGATTAATAATTAGTCATAATTGAGTTATAATTTTCATGTTACCAGAGCGTGGGGCTTCAGCTAATCGACGGTGTAATTCTAGACTCCAGCTCGTGAACGTAGGAGATTTGAGCTTAGCTCACCGCACGCTCAAATGCTCTAAAAGCGTTCAGGATACAAGTGGCAACAGCGCTTAAATGAGTCCTCCGACTCATGTGTCCCTGTTTGTGGGTAATGTAGGTCGTGTTTATTGAACGCACCAAAAACTAAACAGCTCAACTGTATGAGGTCCCGATTTACGGAGCGATAAACTATAATCGCCGTTCAGGCAAAGGAGAATGCCTGTCTGTCATTACAATTACATGTTTACTCTAGCGTTGCCTCCTCTCGCGGCACACGGCCTGGTTGCGGTCTCCAGGAAAATAACTTGTTTTGTTCTTGATCTCTAGGTTGTAGAGTGGTTTGGAAAATTCACGCCTTGGAAGTGGAATCCTGGTGAAACCGATCGCGATTTGGCCACATTTATTGCGCCGCTGAATTGAGGTAAAAACTTTTTTCGTTAATATTTCAAAATAAACAACATATTAAGTCGATGGATCAAGCCAAGAAGCATGTATTTTGAAAGCTGCGTTTCAATTTGATTACATTTTGCAATAAGGAACCATTATTTCTGGCCCATTTTAGAGACAACATACATGCCATCAGTTTCCCTATGCAGATATGTGCTTTTATGGGAGAGCCAGAGATAGTGGTTCCTTATTGCAAAATTTAATCCAATTTGTGCTCCTATTTTGTTTTTTATAACGGAGACGATTTTGGGTTTTTTCTTGGCATATTCGTAGAATCATCCTCACGTGAATCGAGGCGGAAAAGGCAGAGATCGAAAAACTCATGAGCCCTGACATCCGTTGTAGATTTCGCCGAGTTATCATGTGAGAGTATTGAATTCATTTTATCAGACGTAATGCAAAAAAAGGTGGAGGCTTAAAAACCCGAGAACATAAATAAGAAGGCATATGCCAGGGTCCATATGTTTTTTGGACAACCGACCTTTCCGGTTGTCATGGTCCTCATTTTGAACTAAGGAGCTACAATTTCTCGCTTGTGCCTACTGGCTATAGTACTAACTCTGGCTGATCATTTACATTGGTAGACAAAACTATAGACGAAGATAGAGTCCCTCGTGGGCTGCCGTTATCATTCGTTCAATTTCTTGTCTCCTTTGGCCATTGTAACCACCCGCTCCCATCAGTAGGATCGCTTCATTTTCTCATTGTCTTCCATCGCTTGCCCATCGCTTTGTCTATAGGTTTATCTATCAATTGCAATAATCAGCCCGCTACATGATTTCAGTAGATTTTTTTATTTCATAATGTTGACGTTTGGAAAGATCTCAGCGTTGAAAATTTGGCTAATACCACGCAACCACGCTGTGTCTGAGCACGGGGGCAATGAACCTATGGGAGCTGGGCCATACGATCAAACTGAAGCTGTCAAACATCAAACTAGCGAGATCACTGCGCATGAAGCTTTCGCGAGCTAATCAGAGATCTGTGTGTGATCCCTGATATGTGATTGAAATTCACAGAACCAATCAGAACCCTGACAGATTATTGAAATTTATAGACAAAGCAACAGACAAAGCAAACATAGGGAGTATGGAGGGATCCTATCGGTTGAAATGGGTGGTCCTTATAGACTGAGGGGTAAATGATGGACTTACTACAGGGTTTCTCGTGGGTTGCCGTTAGTTAGTCTATTATCTACGTCCTTGGTCCTATGCAACTACCCGCTTCCACCAATAGGGATCTCTCCATATCCTTTGTCTTCTTCGTCTATTGCTTAGTCTATCAGTTTCAATAATTAGCCCGCTGGGAATTAGATGGCTCCCTTTCTCTTCTTTGTCTATCGTTTTGTCTATGAAAAAACCCTGCTAATCGTAGATGTTTGATTTTCTTGCAGGATCAAGAGACTTTACCAAGCATCGCGTGATTTCAAGGACTTTGGCGGAGGTGCGACATCGAATGGGAGTCGCCATTGAAGGGGCTCAGCGTTGGGGTTGATGATCGAAGGTGGATCGGACTTGTGCGTTGAGTTTGGGAGCGAGGAAAAAGGCGGTAAAATGAGCGCGGCGACTCCTGTCTCGGTCCAGCTTTCCCTCTCCGATGGCCAAGTCAAACGAGAAGACCGCAGCCGCAGCCGCGCGCCCGCGCAAACCCAGGAAAAGGCTCTCGACCAACCGCTTCGAGAACGGACTCTTCCTCCATTCCAACCCGCCTCGAGGTCCGTCATCTTCATGCATGCAACTTTTCCTGTTGGCATGTTGTCTGGTTTGCCTATAACCGAGATTGAAGGCGTTTTCGTCTCTCTGTCTTTACATGGACTGCATTTTGCAGTAAAGGACTCTACTACTTCTAGCTCACTTTAGAAACAACGTATATCCCTTTAATGTTCCTACGCAACCAGACGCCTCTTTTTTCTCATTCCTCTTCCTCTTCTTCTCCTCCTTTTCTCTTCTCTTCTTCCTCTTCCCATTCCTCTTCTTCTTCCTATGTTTCTTCTTCTTCCTCTTCTTCTTCTTCTCCCTCTTCCTCTTCTCTCTATTTTTCTTCCTCTTCTTATTTTTTCCTTTTTTCTATCTTTCTTTTTATTCTTCTTCCTCTTATTTTTCTTCTTTTTTTGCTTCCTCATTTTCATTTTCTACTTCCGTTTCTTTTTCTTTCCCATTCCTTCCATTCATTTTCCTTACTTTTCTTTCTGACTTGTTTTCCCTTCTTTGTCCTCTTCCTGCTGTTCTTTCTGCTCCTTCGCCCAATTCACATTCTCCCATTGCAGACAGGTGTTTTTTATGGATGAGCTAGATATGGTAGCTCCTAATTGCAAAATGTAGTCCATATATGATTATTCCTCTCTGTATAGTGAGCGCGGGACAGTTGAAATGTTGCTAAAATGACCAAAGAACGTGGGATTCAGGGCCGTGATCCTGGGCGTTCCTGAAACATCTCCTTTTCTCAGGAGGCCCCATAAACTCCCAAACCACGTCTCTCGTTTGTGGTGTTTGAAAATCTCCGTTCTTATTGCACTTTTTTAAAGATAAACAAAACATCATCATTCTTAAAGTTTTCAGAGAATTTCCTTCGCAATTGGAGGAAAATTCACGACAGTTTTTGAGAATTGCCGTTGAGTAGTTTCCATTTAAAAAATAAAGTATGACAGGAAGTCTTCGACGTCGCAAACCGAGATACGTGATTTGGGAGTTTCACCATCGCTACGATTTACATTGAGGGAGATCCTAACATGGCATCACAAAAAGAGCCACATTTGCAAACCTCGAGTTAGATCCAGCCGTGTCACTTTAGGAAAAGACCCTTCCAAGGATTACAATGATTTGTCTCCACAAAAGATAAAAAATAGGTACAGGATAAAAATTTTGCCGGTTTTCGAAAGGAAGAAGTTGGTTCCAATTTAGCTTAAAGGTTGCCAAAATCATAGAAATTTTACATCCGCATAGTGGCTAATCATTGTAATCTCTTACAAAGAATCTATTGCATTTCTAAATTATTGAATTATAAAGGTCTATTGAATCTCTAAACACGAGCAATTCTTACAAAATTTCCGAACGTCTTTTTTGACAATTTGAATATCTGCTTCAGTGGTACCTAAAAGGGCGTGTGCCATCACTCCCACAATAGGGTGCTTAAACTCTGAAAAGATAATAAAATCCATGAAAAATGGCCCAACAATGATTTTCAAAATTATTATCATCGAACATGCATAAGCTATCTGGCTGTCACAATATCGCTGAACGTGGCAGCACTGAACGATTTTGTGGAGAAAAATCAAATCAATGTATTTCTTGCCTGGATTCTCCAACCCTCCTCTTGTGACCGTATGCTCCTATTTTAGATGGTGAGTAGAGCTTGGATTAGTTTTTTTGAACAGCAATATGCAAAATGGGTCAGTTGCGCTGATCACAGAATCGTGTTTTGATGCTTGATTCTTGTAGATCAGCTAAAAATAATAAGATCAGTCCAAACCGAAGGTTTTTACGTTCAATATTAACCGAGATATCGCCCCTTGATAAGTCGAGTTCTTGACATCCTCCACCGCGGTAGGCGGTGGGGACAAGTGATCTTACGAGCAAATGCTAAATGTATGCGCACATCTCCCTGCTATAATTTTTTGTTCATAGCTTTCGTTTCAGTTGATAATGAGCGTGTAATTTGCTCGGATGTGTTTCCGGTCAATTTAAGCCTTTTATACACATTTTTTACTGTACTTTCTTGAGTTTTATCGTTGATTTGTCCTATTATTTAGTTATTTTTCCCCGCTTGTTTATTTCTAATTCTTCTACAAAAGTTGTCCTTTCGCTGAATACAATCCTAGCTTGAGCATACTTAAGCTTCGCGGTCAAAACTGCAAAAGCAGCAAAGGAAAACCGACAATATTAATCTTCATTGCTAAGGCGCAATGATACAACTATTCGAACTCTCCGGAATGCGTGAGGTATCACGCCACAATTGAAGGCGTTTTTGAAACTGCCAACTTCCGCATTGGGATTCTCGTTTCGCATAAAATTCGGAGCATGAAATAAATGTAGTGACTGATCGGGACACCTGTGGTTTTTTCCACCTTGCTTTCTTCCAAGTTTCACGTTGAGTGACCAGTGCGTCACTGACTGATGAAAGCAAGGTGGAAGAAACCACAGGTGTCCCTACCGCGACCGCGGTGGAGGATGTCATGGACCGAATTTTTCAAAGAGCGATATCTCGGTTAATGTTGAAAGTAGAAAGTTGCTGATTGGACGGATCGTATTATTTTTAGCTGATCTACAAGAATCAAGCATCAAAACACGATTCTGTGATCAGCGCAACTGACCCACTGTCGAAGAAATCAAATTTTTTCATATTCTCGAAACTTGACTTTTGGCAGTTGCGTCCTTCCTCAAATAACCCATTGAAGTAGGCATACGCCCTATGCCCTTCCCCCGAATGAACTTAATGGATTTAAAGTGCTAAACTTGGGTTGTTTTTCCTTCCCGCAGCACTCTCGATGCAACTAAGTGAGATCAGACGTTGGATCAGGGCGGGAGATTTAGACAAATTAGAAAATGTTATACTGGATGGTCAAGGACAGAAACTTCTCAGCGAATTTTCCAGCGATGTGCGGACACAGGAATTCCTCAAGACAGTGCCGGCTTATATGGTAAGTTTACGCATGAGCAACGGGTTGATTCTTTTTTATAGACAAAGCAATAGATAAAGATACAGAGAGGAAATGGAGCGGCCCTGTTGGTGACAGCTGACGGTTACAATTTGCAAAAACGTTAAGCATTAGACGCACTTATGGCAACTCAGGAGAGACGCAATACCAAATAGAACCATAAAATTGGGCCTCTTATTGGTCGCATCTTCACCTCAGGTCTTTTTCCACCAATCAGAGCTTCAGTTTGATGGCTCAATTTAATCGTCTAACTGGACCTCAAGAGGATCGGTCCATTTTTCCTTTGTATTCTTTCTGTCGATTTGTACTTTGATGATCAGCCCCAGCCCCCTTGTAGGCGTTTGAACTAAAATATCGACGGTGAAACTACCAAACCACGTATCTCGGTTTGCGACGTCGCAGACTTCCTGTCATACTTTATTTTTTAAATGAAAAACTACTTAACATCCAGTCTTGAAAATTTCTGTGATTTTTCCTCTTTGTGCGGAGAAAATTCCGTGAAAATTTCAAGGAATGATATTGATTTGGTCTACTTCAAAAAAATAAAATGTGAGCGTAGATTTTTAAACACCGCAAACGAGATACGTGGTTTGGTAGTTTCACCGTCGATATGAAAGATACAGGGTGTCCCATTTGCACGCGTTATATTTTCATATATATATGTTCAGAGTCGATTTTTAGGATCAAAACACCACCTTGAGAGACCTCTAAACCTTTTTTTGTTGTTATTATTTTATTTGTTGAGCAAACTTCACCTCCATATTTGTCAAATTTAAAAAAAAAGAAACACCTCAACGCGTGTTGACGACGGCGCAGAGATACAACTATTCGTGCATGATGAATGTCCGCGTTGCATCTGAAAAATTGAAGGCGCGATGGCGCGAGGCTTGAACTCTCGATGCTCTGCTCTATGCTGCCAATGAGGTGTGTCGATCAGATTTTGGGAAAAAGTTAAAAAAAAACGAGGGCCGAGTACATCTTCCCTATCCTCGGCTATATTGCTCAGGTAGCCTTTGAAACATCACTACTAATAAACCAACAGAACATGGATATAGAGCGAAGAAAAGGAGTGGCGTCGATAACAGGGCATCGATACAACTAATCGTGCTTGATGGATGTCCACGTTGCGTCTGCAAAACTGAGGGCGCTGTGGCGTGAGGTGTGAAGTCGCAGTGCTTCGCTCTACAATGCCAAGAAGGTGTCGCTCAGATTTGGAAAAAAAGTAAAAAACGAAGCCAAAATACGTCACTCCGATCTTCGGCTGTGTTGACACTCGATTTTTTTTATCTTTTTTCAGATTGACGTCTGAGTCTTTTTTAGGATGTATTTGTAGACCTATGTCTGAAGCTCGTGCTTACAGATTCCATACAATACTGCCTTACTCGGAAAAAACGCAGTATGAACCTTTAGGCGTTGCCTAATTTCCTTTCGTAAATCACGACTTTTCTGGAAAATTTGTAAATATTTTTCCTCCAATTTTTCAGATAATTTTGATCGCAATTTCACCTAAGTTCCTGAAAATTTAAAGGAAAATTACGCATAACTTTCTTCAACAATAACTATTCTCTGAGAAGAAATTTGGCAACTCTCGAATGTTCATACGGCGTTTTCCCTGAGCACGGCAGAATTCACGGGCCACGTGTTTTTGGCAAGCATTGGATCAATCACGGTCAGTAGAGTCTTGACCCGGCTTGGGTATCTATGGGTTCACAACGTGTATGAGTATTTTGTTTCGCAAACAAACCGGAGTTTGATCAACTTGTTTCGCTTATCACGTCATCCGAAGCTCACCATACACCTAGTAGGTGGGTCTCGAGACTAAAGACTAAAGACTAAGTAGTCGAGACTAAAAATTCGAGTTTCCCGTCGAAAAGTACCCCTGATCCCGCGGTTCACAAAGCTCTAACGCACAGAAACGGAGGCCAGAACCGGAGCTCATTTTAGGCCACATACAACATTTTGGAGTTGAGAATTTCAAAAAGTTAACTAAAAATTCGAGAATCCTGTCGAAAAATACCTCCTGACACCGAATTTCAGAAAAATCCATCGAACAGGGGCCGAGATAGCATTTTAAGCCATTTCGGATTTTCGAATTTTGAATTTTTTGAATTTTGACAGATTTTGATTTAAAACGCGTGATCCCCAAAATCGAAGCTCAGATTCGGATTCCTCGTAAAAAATCGATGCGATTTTATGTATCATACCCTGACACCGAATTTCAGGAGAATCCATCGAACAGGGGCCGAGATAGCATTTTAAGCCATTTCGGATTTTCGAATTTTGAATTTTTTGAATTTTGACAGATTTTGATTTAAAACGCGTGATCCCCAAAATCGAAGCTCAGATTCGGATTCCTCGTAAAAAATCGATGCGATTTCATGTATCAAACCCTGACACCGAATTTCAGGAGAATCCATCGAACAGGAGCCGAGATGGCATTTTAAGCCACTTCAGTCATTTCGGATTTTTGAAGTTGAAAAATTTTACTTAAAACGCGTGATACCCAAAATCGAAGTTCAGATTCGGATTCCTCGTTAAAAATTGATACAATTTCATGTATCATACCAGAGCATAGCGTGAAGGAAAGAGACGTAACGTAGACATACTGATTCGAGCATATGAATGCAACGTGGCAACATGGGTAGTGCTCAGTGGGTCAGCGGAGGAGGAAGAATAAGAATTTATCGTAAGGAATTCCTCGCGACGAAACCGAACGCTTTAGCCGGCGCTAACGGCGCCTCCCTGTTCGGTTGCATCTCGGGCGACCGGCGCGCGGCGGCGTAGTTCAAAGAGAATCTATACGCGTCGTTAAACCTTTTTCCTTCACGCTATTCTAACATATGATACATGAAATCTCATCAATTTTTCACGAGGAATCCGAATCTGAGCTTAGATTTTGGATATTACGCGTTTTAATCTATTTAAAATCGAAAGAGAATTTACAGAATTGTCCTTGAAAATTGACCACACATTAGTGTTTTTTTTACGTCATTAAACCTCTTTCCTTCACGCTATTCTAAAATCTGATGCATGAAATCGCATCAGTTTTTCACGAGAAATCCGAATCTGAGCTTAGATTTTGGATATTACGCGTTTTAATCTATTTAAAATCGTAGGAGAAATTACAGAATTGTCCTTGAAAATTGATCGCACATTAGTGATTTTTTACCCCGTTTTTCTTCTACGTTCACGTAATGAAATTAGATCAACAGTTGACTCATCGACTAGTCTAGCCTAACCCCCCAGAATCGGCCTTAAAGGGCGAACGATTTTATCAGATAAGATATGCGGTCCTAGTTTCCGGGCAATTGCGGTTGATGGAAGCTGCGATGAGGAGAAACGGAAGATATGCGAGACTCGGGCGGATATTAAGTGAGAAACCAGGTAGGGGAAAGGCTTTCTTCCCGAAAAGTTAGTGCTCGGGCCAACTTACATGGCCACTGGAGCATTGTATAGCAGGTTGTGGGAAACTATTTTTTTGCAGCAACAACCAATTGGATCGCATTTTGCAAAAAGGAACTAAGAGCATTTCAATGTTGCTAGGATTGTGCAACCTAGGTACATGCTTTGCAAAAAGTAAACTTTGCGACGGTAATTTTCGTCTTGAATTCGTTGTTTATTGGGAGTAGAGGTGAAACTAGTTTAGATGATCGTTTATGTTTGCGAGGTTAGCGACATTGGAATGCTCTTGGTGCCTTATAATTCCCATTAATTCTTACGGCCCTCGACTGAGAAGCACGCCCCTTCTTTCCCACCTGTCTCTGCGGGCCGATTATTGAAATTGATAGACAAAGCTATAGACAAAGAAGACATAGGGAGTATGGAGCGATCTTATTGGTTTAAACTGGTCCGTTCTTTACAGACTAAGAGGGAAAATGATAGGCTAGATGTCGAGTCTCTTGTCGGTTGCCGATAGTTGGTCTATTACCTACCTCCTTCGTCCATTACAACCACCCGCTTCCACCAATAGGATCCCTCCATATCCCTTTTCTCGTCTTTGTCTATAGCTTTGTCTATCAGGTTCAACAATCGGGCGGCTGCGGGCCGATTATTGAAACTGATAGACAAAGCTATAGACAAAGACGACAAAAGAGATATGGAGGGCCTATTGGTGGAAGCGGGTGGTGGCAATGGACATAGGCGATAGGCAATGGACTAACTAACGGCAACCCACCGAAGACCCGACAGTTAGTCCATCATTTTCTTCCTTAGTCTATAAGAACCAACCATGCCAACCAATAAGATCGCTCTATACTCCCTATGTCTTCTTTGTCTATCGCTTTGTCTATCAGGTTCAACAATCGGCCGGCTGGTCCGTCTAGCAGAGATACGTCCAATTGATGGCGGCTCCTTTGCGCTACGCTTGTTATGATTGGTATGTTTTGTTTGAGATAGGCACGATTGGACATCCTGCACGAGAGCGTGGCTCGCGGACGGTTGTGGGACGTGAAGCTCCTGCTGGGGAGCAAAGGGGAGGGCGACAACTTGAGCAAGAACGCGGCGCGCCTCGTCCTCTCCAAAGACAGATACGGCCTCGGCCTCCTCCACAAGGCCGTCAAGAGAGCCGATCTCCAGACCATCGACTGGCTCATCGAAAACTATCCCAACGTCATCCACGTCCGAGACAAGGTGACAAGACCACAATCCTCTCTCCAATCCCGCTCCGCGCCGTGCTCAGAAACAGAGTCGTATATTTAGTAGATTTTCCAGTTTGGGATCATCTCAAAAATCAACGGTATAAGACGGAAAATCTATAATTCTGCCGTACTAAGGAAGAACTCTGTATAAGCCCTCAGACGTTGCATTATTTTCTTCAATAAAACACGAATTCTTTAAGGAAATTGTTAAAAAAGTGTTTCACAATTTTCGGATAATTTTGTCCGCAATTTAATGTTAAATAGGCTAAAATTTCAAATATACGGTATAAAACGGAAAATCTATAATTCTGCCGTACTAAGGAAAAACGCCGTAAAAGCCTTCAGACGTTGCCATATTTTCTTCAATAAAACAGAATTCTTTAAGGAAATTGTTAAAAAAATTGTTTCACAATTTTCGGATAATTTTGTCCGCAATTTAATGTTAAATAGGCTAAAATTTCAAATATACGGTATAAAACGGAAAATCTATAATTCTGCCGTACTAAGGAAGAACGCCGTATAAGCCCTCAGACGTTGCCATATTTTCTTCAATAAAACACGAATTCCTTAAGGAAATTGTTAAAAAAGTGTTTCACAATTTTCGGATAATTTTGTCCGCAATTTAATGTTAAATAGGCTAAAATTTCAAGGAAAAATAAGCACTTTCCTCAAAAATTTAAGTTTTATCCGGAGAAAGTTGGCAACTCACGAATGTCCTTACGGCGTTTTTCCTCAGCACGGCCGAATTGCAGTCCATCCAGCGGGCTGATTAGTGAAAATGAAGGACAGAGCTATAGACAAAACGATTGACAAAGCGATAGACAAAGCAATGGAGAAGGAAGACAAGGAGAAAGTGAAGCTATACCGTGTTGGTGAAAGCGGGTGGTTGCAATAGACGAAGCTATGTTTCATCGACTCACGGACAGCAACCCACGAGAGACCCTATATTTCGTCCATAATTTTCCTCCTTCGTCTGTAACAACCACCCATTTCAACCAACAAGATCGTTCCATTTCCATTTTTCTTCCTTGTTTAGATTTGTCCATCGGCCCAGAGCTGTGATTAGTGCGGTCGATACACCCGAAAATCACATATTTTTTTGGAGAAAATTGCCACTTATGAACTCCGTTAGTAAAATATGGTGGTCATACTAGATAATGAAACCCGTGATGCTACTTCCAAATTCGCATTTTATCCAAGATGGCGGCTAGCAATAAGACGGCCGCCGAACGGTGTTCCTCCATTTGCTGTACATTTCTGTCGCTAATAATCGTCCCTCGATCTGACGTTCTTTTTTTATATGTAAGCCGATGGAATGTAACTCATGCTTACGCCATAAAATTTCCAGTTCAACTAATTATTGGTGTTTTAGAATTATAATTAGAGTGTTGAAATTCTGGAAAATTTTGGAAGAGAAATAACTTTAAACTGTGCGAAAAAATTGGTGGTTTCTCATAGACTCTGGCACTTCTTATGGACTCAGTCCCCAAGTAGCATTTCTCAACGGAAAAATCGATATATATTGCGATTTAATTGGCGATGAAATCGCCAGGATCATCTATGTCTGAGCGATTATCCTCGATCTTATCGCGATAAAATCGCGCTTTTATCGCCCAACATTTCGCCCGCGATATTTTCAAAGTAAAAATCGCGATACAGGGCTATTTAATCTAGATTTTACCGACGAAAATTGATCACGATTTCATCGAACCAAACATTGCGATGTGCAGCGATTTAATCGCCATCTTTCGCGATTTTCAATGCGATAATATCTCGATCTATTGCCACCGATATGATCACGATAACCAACCGATAAAATCGCTATTCATCCCGATCACTGCTACTTGGGCCACGGCATTTCACACTTTTTAACGGTGTGTCAATAACTATTCTGCCGTGCTAAGGAAAAACGCCGTATGAACCTCCAAGCGTTGACGAACTTCCTCCGATGAATTACAATTTTATCGGGGAAATTTTGAATATTTTTCTTCCAATTTTTCAGACAATTTTGTTCGCAATTTAATCTAAAATCTGAAATTTTTAAGGAAAAATGTAAATAAATTTCGACAAAAATACATGTTTTATCCGAGGAAATTCAGCTACTCTCAAATGTTATACGGCATTCATCCTTAGCACGACTGTATCGAAGAAATTGTCACGGTGATAAATTCTGCCGTGCTAAGGAAGAACGCCGTATGAACATTCGAGAGTCGCCAAATTTCCTACGATAAAATTTTTATTTTGGAGGAAAATTATGAATATTTTTCATTGAAAAGTTCAGAAGTTTTAGATCAAATTACAAACAAAATTATCTGAGAAATTGGTAGAAGAATATTCAAAAATCTTCCTGAAAATTAGTGATTTACCAAGGGAAATTCGGCAACGCCTGAAGACTTATACGGCGATTTTCCTTAGCACGGCAGAATACATATCGACGGTGTAAGTCGGCAATCACATAACTCGATTTGCGACGTCGCAGACTTCCTATCATACTTTATTTTTTAAACGGAAAACTACGCAACGGCTATTATTTAAAACTCCAGTGATTTTTCTTCTGTATGTGAAAAAAATTCTGCAAAAACCTCAAGGAATCATGTCAATTTGTTCTCCTCTAAAAAAATAACATAGAGGCGGAGATTTTCAGACACTGCAAACGAGTTATGTGATTGCCGACTTACACCGTCGATATTTGATTGAGAGAAATTGGGCAAGATGGGAAAGGTGATAGGGCGTTTTTCCTCGGGGGAGGAGGGCGGTAGGCGGTGACGGTGAGGAAATATGAATGCCTTGGCGTAATAATAAATTCGGGTGGCGTGATGCTTGGATGTGCAGGACCGGAGGACGGCACTCCACTTCTGCGGCGTGAGCGGGGACCCGGAAGGGACGTGGCGACGCCTCGCCGACGCCGGAGCCGACCCAGCCGCGCTCGACGCCTTCGCCAGGACGCCCGCCTTCTACATGCACCGCCCGGACCAGTTCCACGCTCACCAGCCCCGCAGATACGCGCACCAACACACACAGCCCAACAACAAAAACCTCAAACACAGTAAGTTGTTGCCATTTACCTCCACTCTGCACCCCCCTAGAACCCCATCACATTGAGAGTAAAGACAATGCGAATCCATTCCTCATTGCTTCCCGTATTTTAGGCCTTCACAGTCTCACAAACGGGGATGAAGATTGCATTTTCACCAATTGCAAAGATTATAAACTGGGATGAACCGGGGAATCACGGGTTCGGCAAGGAACAAAAGGAATGAGAGAAGGAACGGAGTCACCAATTCGGAAATGAGTTGATCAAAGATTACGAAAAACGCTCGATTTGTGTAATCTTTATTCCCGTTTGTGACTCCATGAAAGGGGGTTGTCTTAACTCTCAGTATAAAGGGACTAGAGTTCGGACCCCCTAAGCCAGGTAAATGGACCAGCGGGCTCATTGTTGAGATTGATAGACAGAGCGATAGACAAGGAAGACATAAGGAGCCTGGAGCGATCCTATTGGTTGAAAAACGTGATTGTTATAGACTAGGAGAAAAATTATGGACTTACTGTAAGATCTCTCGTGGGGTGCCATTGGTTAGTCTGTTACCTACCTCCTTTGTCTACCGCAGCTATCCGCTTCCACTAATATAATTTCGACAATCAGCCCGCAGTGGACAAGGTACGAATTTTAACATTTTGGTACATGTTTTCCAACTATAACTAAGGGGCTTGGTGGACAAGACGTATGAGCGCAGTTTCTGCTATTTCGAGAAATACGAGTTTGAAATTTCGAAATCACATCAATTCTCACGATTGAGCACAAAGGGAAAATTTCATGGGCGCCGCCGCCCGCGGCGCACTTTAGTCCAAAACTCAAGAATAAAAAGAAAGAAGTCGGATTATGACTGAAAGATCACGAAAGTTTCGTAACTGATGTTTCTAGAGTTGCTATTTTTGAATTTGATGTCAAATTGCCTACATTTTAACACCCTGACCTATTAATTGTGGGCAAGTTTATAGCATGCTGCGGCGCGGCGCGGCATGGCGTGCTGCCAGCGTGAAACGCGCACTGACGCCTACAAACCTAAGAGGATACTTCAAGCATTGCGCAATGCGTGAAGTAGCCCTTTAGGTTTGTAGGCGTCGGAGCGCATTTCGCGCTGGCAGCACGCCGCGGCTCTTTCCGCAAGCGGAGGGTGAACGATTTCTTGCGGGGAGAGGTCCCTTGCGGAGAAACTCGTGCATCGAGTGATTTTTTATTTTATTTATTAATTTATTTATTTTTAATTTTTGACTTTTAGAATTACACACTGGTCGTGTGAACTCTCAACGCTAGATGAAGTGTAATAATGAAAGGCAGGTCGTTCGCCCCTGTGCTCTGTCGCGATCCTCATGGCGGAGAGAAAGTTCAAATTGACTTTTCGATTTCGATGCTTCAGAGTTGGAGTTGGGGAGGCGAATTTGTCACAAAATATGCGCATTAAGACTAGTTTCACTTGAAATCATTAACAACTCAATTTTTTCAAAAACTGCACTTATGCGTCTTGTCCTCCAAGCCCCTTAATGATTGCACGTAAAACACGATTCGCGCGACGAAAATTACTGTAACTAACGCCTAACTAAGATATTCACTGTTTCTTGACGCGGAAATTCAAACATCTCGCTCCTGAGAGAACAATTGTCTATACGAGAGTCAAGCCGCGCACCAAACGTTACCAAAATAAACTCTGTTGTATGAAAATATGACAACCTCAATCTCAGCGCTTCGGCCCAGCTGTTGCATGTGGTTGAAACTATTGAAAAACACAAGGCAGGGAAAGAAAACTGCTCCGTTGAGAAACCTTCCAAAACCGTTGCAGTGGGTAATTTGTTTTAAGTAGACTATTGTCTCTCTTGCGAGCGGGAAATTCGAATTGGCCGTAAACAGTGGAAACTAAAAACGTTGATATCTTAGTTAGGAGTTAATTTCAGTAATTTTCGTTGCGTAGATCGTGATTTACGTATAGTTCTGGTTGGAAAACATTTATTAGTATGCTTAAATTCGTGTCATGTCTAATACACTGAAAAAAAAGTTACTGGCTATTTAGACATACTGTCCGTACCGCGCTCAGAAGCCGTAAGTGCCACGTGCTGGAGCCGTAGCTTGGATTGCTCCGGGTGCTACGCCCGGAACTTCCAGCCTCCGAGCCCGAACGCAGCAGCAGGCCGATTATTGAAACTGATAGACAAAGCTATAGACAAAGACGACAAGAGGGATTTGGAGGGATCCTATTGGTGGAAGCGGGTGGTGGCAATGGACATAGAAGATAGGTAATGGACTGACTAACGGCAACCCACCAAAGACCCGACAGTTAGTCCATCATTTTCTTCCTTAGTCCATAAGAACCAACCATGTGAACCAACCATGTGAACCAATAGGATCGTTCTATACTCCCTATGTCTTCTTTGTCTATCAGTTTCAATATGTCTAGCTGGTATGTCTAGCCCGTAAGTACGGCTTCCATTCGCTTCTACGGCCGGAGTTTTTATTCAGTATAGACCATTCTGAAAAAAAAAGAAGCTGTCGATAACCGCAAAATGTATGGAAATCTGCCCAATAACGATAGAACGAACTGTGACGAAAAAGGAATATGGTCTCAGGAAGCTAGTGGTAATGATGGGAAAGAAGGTGATTGCGGGGAGTAAAAGAGTGAAGATGACGAAAATTTCCTTGATGTCGAGGCGAGACTCACGCAAGGTGGACTAAGTGATGATTGCCTTTCGGTTGCCTTCAGTGGCGAGGCGTCAATGATCGCTTATCGATATTTCTCCATTAAACTGTGGTAAAGAATCCATTATTAAGGTGTTGGTTGCGAACACTCAGTTTATCGATTCTTTTCAGTGGGTTTAAACGGGAGATCAATCGATGGATCGCAAAGCACGCTGCCTTTCCTCTCCGGAAGTAGGAGTGGAGTCCATTTACTGGTCGCCGTTTTCATAAATAATGCATGGCGCCCATTACGTAATTTAATATTCTCTCAGTCTTGAGAATAAATATCATTACAGAGAGATAATGCCCTAGGCCTGCGCCAACGAGCCATGATAAAATTTCAGAGGACTTCATCCTCAATACTTATCGTAGCCGATTATTTAGACTCTTTCAGCCGTTAGGTTACACGTTATATCGACGATGTAAGTCGGCAATCACATAACTCGGTTAGCGACGTCGCAGACTTCCTGTCATACTTTATTTTTTTAACGGAAAACTGATCAACGGCAATTCTTTAGAACTGCCGAGAGTTTTCTTCTCTGTGCGAAGAAAATTCTGCACAAACTCCAAGGAATGATGTCACTTTGTTCTCCTTTAAAAAAAATAGCATAGAGGCGGAGACTTTCAGACACCGCAAACGAGATATCGACGGTGTAAGTCCGCAATCACATATTTCGTTTGCGGGGTCTGAAAATCTCCGCAGCCATGTTATTTTTTTGAAGGAGAATAAATTGACATCATCCCTTGAAGTTTATGCATAATTTTCTTCGCACAGAGAAGAAAAATCAGGGCAGTTTTAAAGAATTGCTGTTGGGCAGTTTTCCGTTCAAAATATAATGTATGATAGGAAGTCTGCGACGTCACAAACCGAGTTATGTGATTGCCGACTGACACCGTCGGTATCCTCCCTACATTGCCTCAATATTTCCAAAACTTCAGCGCTAATAATAAGGGCATTACTTCGGCATCAAAATACAATTACCAATCACACTTCGGAATCGATAATTCTAGGCAAATGCTTCTCTAAGAATCAATGCGCAAGGGATTCCACATTTTCCAGGCAGTCCTTAAAAACGGGCGTGGTATGAAGCAAACAATTCCAAACCTTCTTGCGGAATTTCCATAATTTTTCACTGATTTTAAGTACTCCCGGATCGCCCTTAAAAACAGTCCTATTTCCAGACTTTCCGAATATTCCGGACTAAGTAGTGGACACCTTGACTCACTAGGACGACAGCGTGGTTACCCTTGACCCCTGGACAATGAAACCCTTACAATGTCGTAAACCGCGATATGCCCAAGTCGTATGGAAAGTGGCGACGACTTTATTTCGAGGAAAACAGGGTCGTGAAAAAATAATTGTCACGCGATCACAGTCATACACGACCAGCCAAGTTGATTACAAGGTGGGAAAGTTCCAGGAAAAAGGACAGTGGAAAGGGAAAGACTTCCTTACTCATGATATCGATGAAAAATATACACAAATTTCCCATTTTATGCCGAAGTCCCGAGAAGGAGGGGGAGGTGCTTTTTGAAAATTGCTTCTAGGTCCAATACCCCTAAAATTAGCAATGTTTCGACCATATTTTTGAAATATTGTTACGGTTGTCAGAATGCTCTTCATGACAATGGTATTGCGGAAAGTATTTCGAAATTATTTTAGAGCATTTTCATGAAAATGTTGTAAAGAAATGTTTACAAGTATTCAGAAAATACTTAATACGATTTATTGAAAATACCTTCTTGTTCATGCAGATTTCTAGAGAAAATCAATCAAAGGTCAAATTTTTGAAAATTAAATCATTTTCAAGAATATTATTCGGTAATATTTTTTAGTATAAAAATTGTTGAAGATAGTTCAAATTCAGCATAACAGCAACTTCTTGATACTTCGAAAATATTGTTAAAATATTTCTGACAAATTATCTAAAAAATATTCACGATATTTAATGAATTTTTTCAATTTTACCGGGTTTTTGCCTCGATCCGCTGGGACAGCAAATTCTCGGCATATATTTCGTTCCAGAAAGTTAATTATTGAAATTGATAGACAAATCCGTAACAAAGAAGATGACAAAGAGAAAATGGAGCAATTTAATCGGCGGAAAAGGGTGGCTGCAATGAACATAGTAAATGATGGAATAAATAGGTAACGGTAAAGCTCGAGAGACCTTATACATACTTGGTCCATTATTTCCCCTTTTAGTGTACATCAACTACCCGTTCCAACCAATAGGATAACTCCATTTTTCCCGTAGTCATCATTATCTATTGCTTTATCTGTCGCAGGCAAATAATCAAATCAGGCATTTTTACATGTAGTTAAATATTCTTACTTAAATTGAAATTCTGATCATTTTGCTAATTTTAGACGAAATAATGCATTGCTCACGAAAGGAAACAATCTCTGTAAAAATTTGCATCATAGAATAGTATTTTAAACGGTATTTAGCTCCCTGAACGAACCCACAACCGGCCATTGAAATGCACAGCATGGTATAAAATATAGAATTTTTTACTATACTCATTTAAATGGATAAGGAGCATCTGAAGAGGAAGGAATAAGGAGATATTCCTAGATTTGATGAGTCATTTTTTCTAAAATATTGAAAACTCGTGAATTTTTCGTCATAAATTTACAAAATTTCATAAGCTGTCGATTATCTGTCTTCTGGGCATCTGATAAAATGCCTGATTAGACTGCTATTTGCCTGCGACATCTATAGCTTTGTATACAGTATTTCTTTCGCTTTGTCTATCACTTTCAATGGAATCAGGCTGCTGGACGGAGGCATGATGAGTTAAACTCATTTAGGCAATAAACTTGACTTGTTTCTCTTTTCCCCTGTCCTCTCTTGTGTGCTCCTCCGGTTGTGGGACAACCAGATGTGCCAATCCAAGTACGACCAGCTAACATTCGGACATGGATTCACGATCAGAATCTCGGGAAGTTGAAGCGAGTCCTATGGGAAGGACAAGGAGACAAACTCAGGATGGAAACTAGCGCGCATCCGGCAGTGCGAAAATTTTTAGCCGCTGTTCCCTACATCATGGTAAGTTCAACGCTGAAAGTAATTCGCTTGAGCCAAGCTATGCTCACTGCGCCTTCATGATAAGTGGTAAACCCCTGAGATTTCATGACAAAACTCGCTTAACCTTAGAGAAAGAAGACCCCAGAGATGCTAAATTTCGTGAAAATTAATGAAATGAAATTTCAGAATGACATTTTTCGAAAACGTTGCCATGAATTCGATATGCCATGTAGCGAATAGGGATGGTGAAATCCTACTTTTAAAGTTTCAAAAACCAATCTTATTTGGACAGCTTTAGGCAGATTGGAGCCAAGCTGCACCAGCAATCACCAAATTTAACCCGGCAATTTAATTTTTTACATGGAAACAGCTGCGCGGATTTTTGTGCAAACTTCAGTGAATTTTCTGAACAGTGCAAAGCAAATTCCTTTGAACTTTCAAAAGAACTCGCACGAACGTTCTCTTGTAAAAAATTATATTGCCCGGTTAAATTTGGCAACAGCTGATGTGGCTTGGTTCCTTTCTGTTGAACACGATTTATTTGTTGCACCACAACAAATGAGACACACGGAAACGAACACAAAATGGGAACAGAGCAAAGAAAAGGACTCTCGTTGATGAAGGGGCAGAGATACAACTATTCGTGCTCGATGGACGCCCGTGTTGCGTCTGCAAAATTGAAGGCGCGAGGCCATGTGCGTCTACAAGGCTCGTTCACACCGGTCCCGCACAACCCGCGGGCCACGTGTTTCTGGCAAGACTCGGTCAATTTGATCCGGCTTTGACATTTGGATGTATTTCTGCCAAACGGAACTATGCGCATTATAACGTGAGCCCTGTTATGCACGTATGCTTATGGATCTCAGGGCTCATGTCTTAATGCACATAGTTCCGTTTGGTAGAAAAACGTCCATTTGAGGGTTAGGGTGAAACTAAAACTGTTCGATACAGCAAAAATCCGATGCAGAGTCAATTATATCGATTTCCTGTTTTTTACGGCTGACCGTTTCTTAACACTCTCAAAAAGATTTGGCCAAAATTTTAAGCCGTATATTTGTCAATATTGATTATTACAGAATCATTTGAGATTCATATTTTTAGAATTGGTAACTTCAACAAACTTATCCTGCTTCTACTTAAATTTACGATTTATTAGTTCTCTAACTTAGAAGTACCTCAGTGGATCAATTTGTGGGTTTTGTTTGCACGTGGGGCAGATTTATCTTCCTAAACTGTGGTCGCGTTGACTCATTTGGACTTCATTTTGAAATGAGGAACTACAATTTCCCGTTCATTCACCAAAGCACGTACCTGCATGGAGAAACTAATGGCACACATCGACGGGGAACTTTCAAACTATTAATCTTGATTTACGATGTTGTAGACTTCCGTCATACTCTACTTTTAAATTGAAAACTACTTGACAGGAATTTTTAAAAACTGCGGGCTGATTATTGAAATTGATAGATAAGGCTATAGACATAGAGAACAAAATAAATATGGAGGGATCCTATTGGTAGGATTGGGTGGTTGCAATGGACGAACGAGGTAGGTAATAACTAACAGCAACCCACGAGAGACCAGATAGTTGTTCCATCATTTTCTCCCTTAGTCTATAGGGATGACCCATTTCAACCAATAGGATCGCCTCATAATCCCTATGTCTTCTTTGTCTGTAGCTTCGTTTATCAATTTCAATAATCGGCCCGCTGGCGTGATTTTTCTTCTTTGTGCGAAGAAAAGCCTGTGCAATTTGTTTTCCGTTAAAATAATACGGTAGGAGCGAGGAGTTTGAAGCACTCCAAACGAAGTGCGTGGTTCGGGAGTTTCACCGTAGATACATTGTTTCAAAAAAGAGCTAGAAATAGCAGTCCCTTCTTGCAAAGTGTAGTCCATTTATCCGTCGTCCAATTGAAGCGCATGTTTCCCGGCTCCCTGATTGTGGGTTAAAGCATTTTTAATTTCATTTTCTTGTTCGCAGGGCATAATAAAAGACACGCATCATGCCACGGTCCATAACAACCTTCAAATGCTGAAGAGAAAGACTGCCGATCCGGTGCCTCCAGAGATTTTGCTCAGTAAAGACACCAACGGTCTGAACCCCTTGCATAAAGTATGGACGATTCGGTAGCTCCCCTCAAGTTGTTTTTCCAGTTTCCTAACCTTCACAAAATCAGAGTGATCCCGAGCAGTATTGCAACATTACTTTCTTTACTTGCAACATCGCCTTGCTTTGTTTAAGTCTTTTTCAAAACACTTAAACGTGAAAAATGGCGATGTTTCGCGAAACAAAACCGAGTGGTGTCAGCTGTTGCCACATTTCATTGGATAAAATATTTTTTCACGAAGAGAGCAGTTCTGCCGTGCTATGGGAGAACGCAGAATGAACCTCTAGGCGTTGTCATATTTCCTTCAATATAAAAAGAATTTATTGGGAAAATTGTGAATATTTTTCTTCAAATTTTTCTAACAATTTTGTTCGCATTTTTATCTAAAATATTTGAAAATTTCAAAAAAAAATATGCATAACTTTCCTCAAAAATACGTATTTTATCCGCGGAAATTTGGCAACTCTTAAATGTTCATACTGCGTTTCTCCTTGGCACGGCAGAGTTGCAGTGCCGAAGATCAAAAGCGCTGCAATCTCCATCCCGACGTCTACAACAGTGGCAATGTAGCAACAGTGGAATGATCGTTTTTCGATATTTCCCCGTTTCAGACTATGGTGAAGAATCTATTATTAAGGTGTTCGTCGCCAACACCCTACTCTTCGATCCTTTTCCAAGGGTTTAAGCAAATGGCAGATCAATCGGTTAATCGCAAAGCACGCCACGCCACTGGTCCAAAAATGTGGTGGGTTTTTTTAATTTTCAAAAGAAAGTGATCAATAAGACCTCTGGCGTAAAATACATACAGTCTTGATTTTCTCGCTAACACGCAGAAAATTCTTGAGAAAATAGGCAAGTTGAAACTCGTCTACTCTCTATGTGAAATATAAAATGATTGCCAAATTCTTAGACAGCGCAAAGGAGATTGCAGGATTTGATCACAGCCGCCCCGGGTATATACCAATTCTCTTGAGAATTTCAGGTAATTTTCTTGAGGCCAAAGAAGAATTTCCTCTTTTTCAGCAACATCAGCGCCATTGTCCTCTTGTAAAAAATAAACCGTCGCCTTGACGAAGTTTGAGGAAAGCTCATGTCACTTGGTTTCCTTCGGAAAAACGTAAAATAGAGTTCATCGGCTGAATGCGGTTCAAAATTATGAAAATTGATGAATTTCAGGTTTTAGGACGCAAAGGTTTACCCCAAAGAATTGGGTCAGACACGGGTGGAATATATTATGGTCTAAAATTGTCGTGTGTTCGGGTGGCATACATAATCCCAGACTGATAGATGAGATGGTAATAAGTATTTTCCTCGTAAAAGGATGAGGCGCCCGACTGGATCGATGATGGTCTGATAAAAGCGAAAAACAAAGTTGATAGTCAGCGATGTGATCGAATGTATATCGTCGAGTTGTGGCACACTCTCATCGATTCGTACTTTAGTATCACTTCAAAATAATTCAAATGATAGAAATAAGATAGGACGGAATTGATCAGGTCATTCTTAAAAAGCATTGCGTGCCAAAAATAAAAATACAAGAAAACAATAGAAACTGTATTAATCGATCCGTTTTAAATCGTAGCTTAATTAACAGTGTATAGCTAGTTAATTCATCGCTCTGATGTTTTAGAGCTCTAAGATTTAGAGTGGGTCGATTAAGACGGTTATCGCTGTTTTTCTCGTTTTTCATTCCCAACGCTGTCTTTAAAGCCCAATTCACACCAGCGCCGAATTTACCTACTTGCCGTCCATGGGCCGCCAGGCCGCTTGTATTTTGCTGCCCCCTTCTCATTCGTTTTGAAACATCAATAAAAACCATCGAGTGAACGTGCCGGTGGGGGAGGGGTGCATAAGACGCGTTTACTCGTGTTTTGGACACAGTTTTTGCGAAAGCCCTGTCAACGCTACTAGCAAAAGTTCTCGGAGCTTTGTGCATAAGTTAAATTCCGTAAACCTATCTCTGAGTGGACATGGCCTTCTTTTTCTAAGAAATGAACGAAAAAATTATCTAAGAACAAACATTAATGTGGTTTAATAATGTTAAATTCCGATGTCGCCGCGCTGCCGCGCCAACCGCACTGTTTTGGCGCAAGGCGTGAAGTATTCCTTCAGTCTTGTAGGCGCTATGCGTTTCGTGTCGACCGCTGCTGACCGTACTGTGTTTGGCGCAATGCGTGTAGTATTCATGCAGTCTTGCAGGCGCCATGCGTTTCACGCCGACCACCGCGCCGAGGGCTTCTCCTTTTTATCTCGAGTCCTCGTCATCATTGCTCTCTCCGCCGCGCCGTTCCAGACCAAATAGCGTGTTTGATTTCTCTCTTAACGCGACTAATTAAAGGTGCTGTCTCTTGTATCACCTGAAGACGGCAAAATTAGAAATTACCATATTCTCAGGAAATGAGAGATTTTGTTGCCTTTTCTAGTTTGTAATTTTTTTTTTCTGAATCCGATTATTTTTACCTACATTTAAAAAAACTTAAAAATTTGCCGACATGGGCCGCGGCCCATAAATCCGGCCCTGATTCACACTATCAAAATTTTCATCCGACATAATTGAACGAAAGGTGTATGGAAAGTTGGTGGCAAAAAATGTGATTCAATTACAGTTGCAGTGTGATATCGTCATCAGCCTGCGGTTCGCGAAGATACAGTTTCGGCTCGTGTCGGTCGGAAGATTTCGTTCCAACTTTTCGTTCAACTTTCCATCCAATTGTCACCGTCCATTGGATGGAAAGTTGAACGAACAGTCGCTTGTGACGTCACATTTAAGTTTCCGTTCAATTTGTCATCAAATTGTCGTTTTCTCTCGTCGGTATCACACCACCCAACGTTCCATTCGACAAGATACATCCCAGAGTTGGACGAAAAGTTTGATAGTGTGAATTAGGGCTTTAGAATGACCTAATCAGTTCCGTCCTATATTATGTCTATATTTTGAATTATTTTTAAGGTAATTCTTAAGTTCGTATCGATGAGAGTATGACACAACTGGAAGATACATTCAATCATATCGCTGAGTGCCAACTTTTTGTTTTTCGCTTTCATTAGACCATCATCGATCCAGTTGGGCGTTCCTTCCTTTTACGAGAAAATACTTATTAGCATCGATCAGTCTCGGATTATTCATGCAGACCTAACACAGGACAATTTTAGACCAGAATGTGCTTATCATCCGAGTCTGACCCAATTCTTCAGGGTAAACTTGTGCACCCTAAAACCTAAAATTCCTCAATTTTCATAATTTTGAACCGCATTCAGTCGATGAACGACTCTATTTTACGTTGCCCAATATAGGTGGGGTTTCTCCAAGGGAAACAAAGTTACATCACCTTCTCCAAACTTCATCACGGCTACAGTTTATTTTTTACAGCAGGACGTTTCTAACGCTTCAGTCGTTTTTTTAAAATGACCGTTTCAAATCGGTGTTTAGGTCAACCTACTAATACAACACCGAGTTGGTCACGGCGCACAGTGGATAGAGTCAATTAGAGAGGTCGGACATGAAATTGTTTACTAAAACTGCAAATTTCGATGCTCATTTCGTCAGATTTTAAATTTCAAGGGGTGCTTATAGAAGAAAATTTTACGATCTAACCAATGAAACCACTTTAAAAACCTCAAATTTTTGTGTAAACGGAGTTAGAGGCGTTTAAAGTTTCCAAATTTTGTCCGACCTCTCCTATTGACTAGGTCAACTGTGCGCCGCCGTAATGCAACTATTCGTGTTCTAAGGATGTGCGTGTTGCATGTTCAAAATTGAAGGCGCTTTCGATTTTCTCGCCTGTCTAGAAACTCGCCTGATTCAATGAACAACTCATAACAAGAATCAACCCGACCGCCTCTTTCGATGACCATCTTCTTTCCCATGTTTCATTTTTGTACAAAATGGCTGAATAACACAATGCCCGGAAAATGTTGTGACTCTCATATTATTTTCGATTACGAGTAGTACAATTAAAAAAACTTCACAACAGAACGCTTAGTTTTTTCTACGAGGGTCATCCAAAAAATAAGGTTCCCTACCTTGTATCTTTGAAACAAAAAGAGATAAATCAAATCGGTAAAAATTTACATATTATGCATACTCTAGGCTTTAAAACAAGCTCAAGTTTTTGAAAATCGGTCGAGAAATTCGCGAGAAAACTCAATTTTACTGAGACGACCTCCTGTCGCCGCGTGCCCACCTCCGAGGTCAGGGTGCGCGAAGAGTCGCTTACTTCAGACTCGGCTTATCGCCTCTAAACATCAAATCATAAATGCATTCAAAAGTTTTCATTAAGTAGGCCTTACCTAACTTTTTAAGACAGTTTCCGCATCTTTTTTGACATTTCTGGTATCATTACAGCAGCTTTTTCGTGCCTTCCGCGTAAAAGGTCTCGTCTTGGCTCCAAAACCAGTCATTACCTGCGATCTGCACTACCAAATCAGTTGCTTTTCGTGGTAGAATTTTTCCCCAGTCCTCCGTACTCTCTTTATTTAGCCTCAGGTGACTTTCGTCTATTTCTGAGATGAAAAACTCCCACTATGGAAAGCAATTTTCAATCGATTTAGAGGTGAGATACTTTTTGAGATAGTCACCGCATCTTTTTTGACATTTCTGGTATCATTGGGTTCTGGTATCATCTGGTTCTGGTATCATCAGACGAGACCTTTTACGCGGAAGGCACAAAAAAGCTGCTGTAATGATACCAGAAATGTCAAAAAAGATGCGGAAACTGTCTTAAAAAGTTAGGTAAGGCCTACTTAATGAAAACTTTTGAATGCATTTATGATTTGATGTTTAGAGGCGATAAGCCGAGTCTGAAGTAAGCGACTCTTCGCGCACCCTGACCTCGGAGGTGGGCACGCGGCGACAGGAGGTCGTCTCAGTAAAATTGAGTTTTCTCGCGAATTTCTCGACCGATTTTCAAAAACTTGAGCTTGTTTTAAAGCCTAGAGTATGCATAATATGTAAATTTTTACCGATTTGATTTATCTCTTTTTGTTTCAAAGATACAAGGTAGGGAACCTTATTTTTTGGATGACCCTCGTACTTAAAAAGGGAAAATAGGCGATATTAAATATAGTTAGGCTAATTTTGGTTAATGATATCAAATTAAGATGATGATATATATACTTGTCACATGGGAGTGGGCCAGAGGTCCCTCTTTGATTGTCGGCGATTTTGAAACACCGCAACCAAGAAACGCCCATTTTACACTCAGCAGTGCTTTCAATTTCAAGCCACCTCTCTCAGCGCACGATGTTTCCTCGTAATAAGAACTATGAATAAGGGCATGAACAGTTATACTTAATCCCGTCAATACTGTGACCTGCGTAAACTATCATATAATACTGCTAAAAATGACAATATTATGTGGTTTTGTCGAAGAAGAGCATATCCACCAAAATTTAACAAAATTGCATTTCCTGCCCAATTTTTCAGACCCTTCTCAAGTGACCATGGCCTTATTATAGATGGTATTTAGAACGTTCGTCGACTTTTTCAATGAAAAAAATGAAGAATTGTAGAGGAAATCAAGTTTTTTTCATGTTTTCTCGAGATTCGACTTTTAGTGATTGACCTTTTTATAAAATACGGCGTTCATGCGTTCAAATCAAGGGAAATTCGCAAAATCTCCACGCATTACATCTCATGGTTTTTCGTAAAAAGCAAAAAAGGGCAGGGGGAAAAAAACGCATCATAAAATGGAGTTAGGCTGATTTTCTCATTGAATGTCCAAATAATCGCTAAAGATGATTCTCGGGATTTCAGGCAGCGGGCCTAGGATTCACAGATGTGGTGCGGTATATAGTTGATAGATGCCCAGAAGCAGTGACCCGACTAGACAACGAAGGAAGGACGCCCCTTCACTACGCTGCAATTCAGAAAGATGGCCAACAAATTTTCAACATGCTTCAGAACGTTGGAGGAGATCAAAAAATTTTCGATAGCGTACGACTCACCTTTGTCTAATTTCATCATACGTGAAGAGACTTCCTGAGCTTGCCAACAAAGCGTTGAATTCCAAAGAGATATTTGAAAATTGGAGACGTTTCTCAACTTTTTTTTTTAAATATTTACTCAGCGCACCTTTGATGTCTACAAAAATGAAGAAATTAAAATTTAGATTTTTATTTACTTACAAGGTTATCCAAAGTTGTGCCCACTGTTAAACCTCCGACTGCTTAGGTACACGAAAATCTCAATGACTATAATCGAAAAATGCATAAGATAGCCAAAATGCAAAACCACCTATCTCCATTGCGGTATTTCAAAATTTCGGCTCATATTTTATTTTTCCGAGGAGAGACAAGCCAACTGCACAGGTTGAAATTTATGTAGAGTATTCCGCTTACAGAGAAGAAATATCATAGTGATTTGCAAAAAGTTATATTGACCAGTTTTCCAAAAGAAAAAATAGAGAATGACAGGAAGTATGCAACATTGCAAACGAAGATAAGTGGTTTCGCACTTTGGTCGTCGATGTGCTTCATCATATCCCTTCCTTACAAGTATTTTTCTGCCGTACGTTACATGCTTTATAGAAAAACTGGAAAACACTTCAACCTGAAACTTTCGCTCTTGTGTCCTCTTGTACCGCACAGGAATTTTCAAAACATACGAACAAATTTAAAGCAATATTTCTTAAATGAATAAAATATGAAATAGCATTTGCGACGTTAAAAAATAAAATACGGACTTTTCGACTTCCCAAGTAGCATTTTTCAATGGAAAAGTCGAGATATATTGCAATTTTATCGGCGATAAAATCGCTAGGATCATCAACATCTAAATGATTATCCTCGATCTTATCGGGATAAAATCGCGATTTTCTCGCCAGGAAATAAATCGCGATATTTTCGAAATAAAAATCGCGATAAATGGGGATTTAATTCTGATTGTATCGACGAAAATTAATCGCGATTTTATCGAACAAAAAATTATGCGATGTGTAGCGATTTAATCGCCATAAATCGCCATTTTTAATGCGACAATAACTCGATTTATTTCTATCGATATAATCGCGATAACCAACCGATAGAATCGCTATTTATCGCGATCGCTGCTACTTGGGTTATGCCATCGTTTGACTTGTACTTTTTGCAGAGGGGCAAAACTGCGAGTTACTACAAGCTGAAGCCAAACGAGTTGGACATGAAACTCCTGCAGACGATTCCCTCTGCACCGCGCAACTCGAGTGTGATGCCCTCCGGGTGGAGCTGGGAGCTGTTCAACGATTGGGAATCCGGACCGTCGACCCACAGCAACAGCCAAAAATCGGAGGACTCGACTTTCAAACCAGAGGACGCTTCTCAAAATGACATTTCTGATTATAAAAATGAGCCTGAATCAAATGGACTTCACCTTTCGGTACGGCTCTTCATTTCAGAAGGATCGATAAGGGCCGTTTTCGAGCTCACTCTGAATTTTCTTTACTCGACGATTTTTGCTCTCCTTGAATTATCAATGCACCCAAATAGAGTTAAATTCTCAACAAAAAAATTGAGGGAGGTGCCCAGACCCCAGGGGCCGAATTTTGCCGGCTTTTTTACACGGACGACAACATCCATCGATGAGTTCAAACCGCATCATCGGCTAATCAGAAGCGCTAAGCCGGACTTGGAATTGCTTGGGCTTTGGTCTAGTGTACCGGACCGGAGTTTTTCCTACCAAAGGGGGGTAATCCTTTCCGACGAAGCCGCGTAAGTGCATCGGAGACCCGTCCTAAGTATACTTAAGTACGGTAGAAGGACCGACAAAATTCGGCCCCTGATGATAGGAGGACCAGCCCCTTCCAGGTATATATCGTATAGCTACACCTAAACTTCCATATTCCCTTAAGACTCCAGTATAAGCATTTCTGATCATGTCGCTTTGATCTTACTCTTCATTTTTACACCGAGTGATTCAGAGTTTAATTTTAAATCGCCGTCAGACGTTCGATCTTTCATTCATTCTTTTTCTTGAATCTTTCAACAGGATACAAATGGAACTCAAGTAAAAGACAAAGAGATGACAGTCGACGAAAATCGATACGGGGACTCGAATAACAATGAAACAAACTCGGAGCATAAAGCATTAGATAAATCGTTAGAGTTGCATGCACTAGAAGGAATCAGCCATAAGTCCAATACTTCTTCGAGGATCAAGGCACGTGACTCCAGTAATATAAATCTCAAAAAAGATACCCCGGCAGACGTTAATGGAAAAATTTCTGCTTTGCACGAAAGAATATCTAAAAGCATATCATCAAATGACTCGGGAAATCGAAGAGGCACCAACACGCACGGAGGTCACAGTGACTCTGAGACTAGCCTGAATGAATCGGAAAAAGAGAGATTTGTGAAGCTGGAAGATGAATTTCGGGATGAACACATTAAAAATGTAAGTAAAGAAAATTCTGAGAACAATAACATAATCGTGCTACCCCCGCCGGCTGATATGAATACTGATAAGCAAGAAGACAACGAAGAGGACTCAAAAAGTGGTGACAGACAAAATGATGCGAATAAGCCAAACGACAGTCCTAAAAAAGAGACAGTTCAAAATGTTCAAGATTCAGAAAATTCTGATGTTTCTGTGTATAAACGTAGGCAATCTGCTACACATGACGGGTCCCCGTCGCCTAAAAAAGAAAACACTTTGGAAGATAATAATAATAACAATACGGAGGGAAAAAAGTCACCTGCCCAAGCTACTGAAGACGAGCACGATCATGGCGAATTGCATAATCTGCCGAATGAAGGGGCAAACACTCGGTCACATTTGCATAAACATCCGAATGAAGGGGCAAATACGCAGTCAAATTTGCATAGCCATCCCAATGAAGGGACCGAGGAGCATTCTGATTCGCAGGACACTCCGACCGAAGATAATGGACCGACGAGAGAAGAGAATCTCCTCAAAATCGTGGACGACGAACTGCGAGAGAACCAGGAGCTGACGAGCCAAGTTTTCGAGAGCGTGAAGAAGAAGCAAGGTCCCGAGTCGGAGGAGCTGGCGGAGATCACGAGTAACTCGACGAGATATCGGAGTATCTCCGCGATACCGCCCGCACCGCCGATAGGCGAGACCGTCGTGCGGGAGTTCGACAACGGGGTGGAGATGACCGACAGGGAGGAGGTCACCGAGGAGCTGGAGAAAGCCTCCCTGGAGAGTAGGCAACACGCGCAGCAGCTGGTCCAAGAGGCCGACCTCGAGAAGTTGGCCGAGATGGTGCTCAGCGGCCAGGGGACCGCTCTCCTCGGACTCACCAGCCAAGACCCACGCGTCAACTCTTTCCTCGAGGCTGTGCCGTCGTACTTGGTAAGAACCATTCCTGTCAAATTGTACTAAAAATCACCACTTTTCCTCAAATGGAGATCTTGCATGTGTGAGGGATTTGCGATTTGACCATTGATTCTTATACTAACTATAACTAAACTATATTAAACAATTGATTATATTAGAATCGATATATTCAATAGATTTAAATGGAGTATTAAAAGTGTTGCCAACTTGCTGAAATTTCCATTGCCTTGGCAAAAACTTTGTCCATGAAAAGTGAACCAAACTATTCCTGGGGACTCCTGGTCGACAGGCGGACTAGATTGTCCAATAAAAAACTACTATTTCTGGTTCATTTTAGGAACAACACATGTGCCGTACATTGCCCTATGCAGATAGATGCTTCTCTAGGTGAGTCAGAAGGAGTAGTTCTTACTTACAAACTGTAGTCCAAGTGTGATCAAGGCACCCTAGTCATTAAAAAATCGATTAATTTATTTACCATGACTGGATGTATACATGCGCCGTCGCGGCCACGGTCTAAGGCGGGAAATTTGGGCAGAGGGTAGGGGCGGCAAAAAATGTAAGAAGAGAAAAATGCATGCATTTTGCAATTTAGAACTATAAATTCTGGCTCTTCAAGAAAAACACTTACGTGCATAGGGAAACTAATGGCACATACGTTGTTTTTAAACCGGGCTAGAATGTATAGTTCCAAATTGCAAAATGTAGTCCAATGAAGTTACGGCGCTGCCGTGAATACCGTGCCGTCGGAAGGGCGGCGCGGCAACGTGACAGCACGGCAACAGTAATGAACGATGAGTGAATGTGAACAATGAGTCCGCTAAACTGCGATTCTTCAAAGTTCCTTCTATTTTCCGGGTATGCAATTTGATCTCCGGAGAGTTAAAATAGTTGCTCGAGCGCCTTCACGTTTTGTGTACATGATTTTCCTCGCCGCTCTAGAGGTAACTTTCGGGAATCATCACTCAATCAGTCATCTCCATCTAACACATGCAGGGACGGACAAGCAGTGGAGTTTGCAAATAAAGATCCTCGAAGAAGGAATTGCAATTGGTGAAGTTTTGAATTCACCTCTTAAAAGCATAAGCCAAATGAGAAAACATGGTGAATTGTGTGCTATTTTGATAACGTTTACATCAACCTGGAACCTTATCATGAAGCTCATTCTAAAACATTCTGTCTGGAGATTTTACAGAGCGTAGTAGACCCCCCCCCCCTTCTCAATCCCCGCACGGAAGCCTCAATTTAGACCTTTTAGATTGGCTTATTACTGGTCTTCTTTTAAAATTATTTATTCAGAATTATCAGGGGTACTCTATTTTGGGTGAATGTGTTCTGTTGGCTCAGCTTTTTTCCGCGATCATTTACAAGCACTAATCCGCCGAAGTTGATTTCAAAATCAACATGCACATTTTTTTAAATAAAAAATGATACCTAAAATCTCTCTTAAGCAATCTAACTATCATATAGTTATTCAACGCGGCTCACTGTAATGAAGAATAGTTAAAGATTTGGCAACAGCACCCGTCCAACAAAGTAACATGGATTCTATCCTAAGTTCAATCCACGCACTCATAACTTATTCAAAACCTCTTCGCCTACCCAGATTATTCACCGCAGCAATGTTAAATTAAAAGTTACTTTGTTTGTTGCCAAACTAAATTATTTTTATTTTTTTCAACATCAAATGATGGGGTATTTTAATTCGGCTGTCTGCCTCGACGTAGAGATTTTTTTTATGCCCGACTCCTGATGTAGGCATTCTTTTTTTCTTTGCAATAGTTCAAATGCCGAGCCATTGTAGATAAAAAAAAAAAGCAAAACTTATCTAAAACAACCACCGTCCCTTTGGAAAGATTTGATTTAGAAGCTCTCTGAGAAGTGACACTTTTTCTCGAAATATCTGAAGCCATCGAAGTAAGAAAGTGGCTTAGATTAAGTCTCTCAATTTGGAGTCCGGTACCGAAAAATTCATAATTGAGATACTGGTTAGGTTGCAAACTCCACTGCTTCATATTTTTCCGTCCCTGCATGTGTTAGATGGAGATGGCTGATTGAGTGATGATTCCCGAAAGTTACCTCTACAGCGCGCGGCGCGGCGAGGAAAATCATATACACAAAACGTGAAGGCGCTCGAGCAACTATTTTAACTCTCCGGAGATCAAATTGCATACCCGGAAAATAGAAGGAACTTTGAAGAATCGCAGTTTAGCGGACTCATTGTTCACGTTCACTCATTGGTCATTACTGTTGTTAGGGCGGTCGTTCATTTTCCATGGAGAAGACGTGGAAGTATAAAAGAGAAGGGAGAAGAAAAAGAGGAAGAAGGACAGGAAGAAGAGGAGGAACAGGAGGAGGAACATGAGGAATAAAAAGACGGAGAAAGATAAAATTATCTTCTTCTTTTTCTCTCCCTCTTTCTCCTTCCTCTCTTCTTTGCTACGTCTTTTTCCTCTCGTCTTTTTCTAATTTTCCTCCTTCACTTCATTTCCATCTCATTTTCCTTCTTGTTCCCCTCCTTTTCCTCCATCTTCTTTTAATCCTTCCTCTTCTTCATCTTCTTTTTTTTCTCCGGTTTCTTCCTCTTTTTTTCCTACATCATCCTCCTCTCCTCTTTTTTCTCATTCTCATCTTATTTTTCTTCATTCTCTCCTTCTTCATTTTCCTACTCCTATTCTTCGTTTTCTTCTGTTTTCTCCATTTCCTTCTTCTTCTACTTATTCTCCATCTTCTTTCTCTTCTACTTTTTTCCTCATCCTCTACTTTTTTATCCTCCTCCTTTGCCATTTCTCCATGTTGATTTTCTTCTACCTCACCCTCTCACCCTCTCTACCTTTATTTCCTTTTTTTCTCCTATACCTTCCCATCTTTTTTACATTCTTCCTCTTCACGTAATTTTTTGATTCCTCGTCTTCTCCATTCCGCGCCTTTTCCCCTGTTCTTCTTCTCCTTAATCTCCTTCTCTCTCATCGAAAATCTAATACATCCTCGTCCGACACACATTACGAGGCTTGGAACCCGAGTCCGTTGGACTAGGGTCAGCAGGCAATCGAAGAAGTCGAAGAACTTGTCACTGAAAAAAAATTCTCGGCGTTTTTACCAAGGTCCGTTGGTCCCTTCACCATCTCACTTTTTTACCAATTATTGGTAATTTTACAAAGACAGACTGGTAAGCTTACCTAAAAACCGGTATTTTTACTGTTTTTTCCAGGTAAGAATACCACTTTTATTGGTAATCGATTCCCGGTAACTTTGCCATTTTATCTCGGTAATTTTACCACAGTCGATAAAAAATATCGGTGTTTTTACTGGGGATCAGTAAAATTACCGAGAAAGTCAATAATTTTACCGAGATTTCTCGGTAAAATTACCAATTCCATAAATGGTAATTTTACCAAGAAAAAACTGGGATCAAACAGAACCCTGAATTCTTGGTGATTTTACCCTTTTCTTGGTAAATACACCGAGATTTTTTTTTCAGTGTGGGGTCGCAAGTGGAACCGAAACGGCAGCCGTGGTTGCGCGTCGGTATAATGAGCAAACGCCGCGTCGCGTCGGCGGCTCTCACAAAAAAACACCATTCCTTTATTTCCAATGAGCTAAAGAGAGGAAAGGGAGCCGCAAGTCCAATCTGCGGATGAGCCGCGCAACATTAGTATTCTTGCGTGTAATGCGAGGCTCATGAGGAGAGTGGTTTACTTGTGGTATACTAAACGGGCGGCGTTGTTTACCCTTTCAGCGGACGATCGACTCGGTGCATAAAGCATGCATGAGGGGGGACCTGCGCGGGCTGGGCCTGGCGTTGACGCGGCGGAACCTGGCGGTGGCCCGCGACGGCGAGGCCTACTTCAAGCCGACCCCGCTCCACGTGGCCACGCTCTTCGAGCACGGCCAGCTCCTCGAGTACCTGGCCGCCCGCTTCCCGGAGACCCTCCACGCCCGCGACGCCAAGGGCCGCACCGCCCTCCACTACGCCGCCACCCTCCCCGATCCACAGCACCGACTCTACCAAGCCCTCCTCCGACTCGGCGCCGACCCCACGCTCCCCGACGAGGTAAGTCCCACTTAGAGTACCCGCACGCTGCCGTCCTATGGAAAAAACGCCGTATGAGCCTTCACACGTTGCCAAGTTTCTTTCGATAAAACCCGAATTTACTGGGAAAATTGTGAATATTTTTTCCCAAAAATTTTAGACAATTTTTTGCGCAATTTGATCCAAAATATCTGAAAATTTCGAGGCAAAATATGCATGAATGTCTTCAAAAATACATGCTTCATCAACGGCAATTTGGCAACTCCCGGATGTTCATACGGCGTTCTTCCTTAGCACGGCAGCAGAGTACGGACATGTTCAAATATCCATGCTCCCACGCTCAGGAAAAACGCCGTATGAACCTTTAGGCGTTGCCACATTTCTATTAATAAAACAGGAATTTCCTGGTGAACTTATGAATATTTTTCTTCCAATTTTTCAGAGAATATTGTTTGCAATTTCACACAGAGTCCCTGAAAATTTCAAGGAAAACTAATTATAACTTTCTTCATAAAGAAACATATTATCGAGGGTTCAGCAACTCTCGAATGTGCATACGGCGTTCTTCCTTAGCGCGGCAGAAGTCTACAACGTTGCAATGGAGAGACGTCGTTTTGAACTTTGGCCATCGATAATTAAACGAGTTATTCAGAGAATGGGGTAACCGCCAAAACTGATGAGGCACGTGCTAAGAGAAAACGCCTTATCAATCTTCAGGCGTGGCCAAATTTCCTTTGATAAAATACAAATTTATTGAGGAAGGTGTGAATATTTTTCGGACGGTTGTCCGCACTTCAATCTGAAATATCTGAGAATTCCAAGGAAAAGTATGCATAACTTCCTTCCGGCCAAAATACATTTACCCTATGTTTGCATAGAGATTTTGACTGGATATGGAGGTAGACTCTCAGCGTAGTGCGAGGAATCTCTTCTATTACAGCCTCAAATTCTGCCGTGCTAAGGAAAAACGCCGTATGAGACTTCAGACGTTGCCCTATTCCCTTCGATAAAAACTGTATTTACTGAGAGAATTCCGAATATTTTCCCTCCAATTTTTCAGACAATTTTGTTCGGAATTAAATCTATAATATCTGAAAATTCCATGGATATACATACATAACTTTTTTCACAAATACGTTTTTTATCGAGAGAGATTTGGCAACGTCTGAAGGCTCATACGGCGTTTTTCTTATCACGGCAGAATCAGAGAGCCTTTTTTGAGCTTGCGAGTTCGTGTTAGAGCAAATATTGTGTTCCTAAAAAAAAATCACTTATGAAAATGTGCTCAAAATTGCAAGCCCCTGACGCATGCAAGAATATCATTCCAGTTCCGTTTGACTTCATAAGTACTAAAATTTACACCATTATTTTACTCAAATGTATCCTCTTAAATCTAATCTAAAAATTTATGTTTTCTTAAGGAGGGTTACAATCCAGATCAGTACCTGAAAAATCGACATCTACTGCAGCATTCTTATCTCATGGAGATTTATCGAAGACAAAACGCAGCTGAGAAAAATGGTAACACTAATTTTTGTTCATAATAACCAGATTATAACAAGAATAACAGTAACTCTATTCCATACTGTAATGCTGGATATTCAATTGCAAAACGTAGTAAATTTTGCCCGCGTTCCTGTAGCTAAATTACAAGTGGATTGCATTTTGCAAAAAGGAACCAAGAGCATTCCAATGTTGCTAGGATTTGGCAACTTATATTCCTTGCAATGAAATTACTGAAAACATGCAAACAATCAAATAAACTATGGTAATTTTCGTATCGAATTTATAGTTAAGTGGCAGTAAAAATAAAACCTGTCTTGATTATTAGTTTTTATCTGCAAGGTAAAAAAAGTTGCACAATCTTACCGACATTGGAGTGCTTGTGGTACCTTTTTGCGAAATGCAATCAATGAATTAAGCGATGATTAATGTATAGAGAAATATATGCTCGATGCGCAGGTGTCTCACGATTTTAACTGTTTATAAATTACTAGGGGCCTGAGGCCGCTACGCGGCCACTAAACACTGAAAGGGAACTGCTCGTAAGAAATCATAGAACAACCACGTTCAAGTTTTTTATTATAATTGAATAGCAACTTGAATTGACAATAAATTTTGAAAGAAGATATAACATGCTCTGAAATTTTGGAAATTGAAATTGGAATTTTGAATTTATCATCATTTATTAACAATTTAAATTTATAATCTGGAAAAATTAAATTATTCCGGAAAATAATTTCGGACTTTTAAATGTGAAGTGCCAGTACTGTGATGCCTTGCATTTCAAAAAAGAGGAGGTGAACGGCCATTTTAACAGATGTTGTCATAATGGTCTTCTCAGATTTGTTGAGCCTGGAATCAATGACCAACTTCGCGACCTCTTCTCCAAACCCATTTTCATGACCAAAATTTTGAGGTACAACAGTTGTATGGCTTTTGCATCTCTGTCTGCTTCCAAAGCTCGTATAATTTTGAACCAAATCTTCTGTTATCGAATACGAAAAATCCTGGAGAATTTAAGTTTTATGTTAACCAGCTTCTCGAAAGAAAAATAAACTTTCTAAGGAAGTCTGCAACGTCGGAAAAGGAGAAACGTCGGCTCTCATTTTGCCCAAAAATAGTTATGTATAAAATTGAAGGCATTATGACTGGCCTCTCTCAACTTATATTCGTCTGTAACGATAAACAGTGGGACGCGTTCGCTACGGCGCCGTGATACAACTATACAACCTCGACGGATGTCCGTATTGCGTTCAAAAAATTGAAGGCGTTTTGACTCCCTGCTCGTACTACCTGTAGTTGATTCGATCGACAAACGCGTTGGTCGGCGGTGACGGGGACTTGATGCACGTATTTAAGCTTGTTGGATGTCCGTATCGCACCAACTGAAGTGCAAAACCGCGTATCTGCATGTTTGAATATGTTTTGGTAGGCTCCTCAATCTACCATTGTTCATTCCCACTCTTAATGTTCAAAGTGTAAACAATTTGCTATAACTGAGCCCAAGAATAAGATTGAGGTTGCCATATTTTCAAATGGCAGAGACTGCCACGGTAATGTTTAGTTTGCGAGCTGACGCACGTAGACCATTGTGTTTTCATGAGCGGGAGGTTTAAATTCACGCGTCATGAAACATTAAATATATCCTGGTTAGGAGTAAATTTCAGATTTTCGTTGCAAGAATCGTGTTTTACGTACTAAAGTTTAGTTAAGAAACATGCATCAGAATGCTTAAATTCGTACCTTGTCCAGTGGTCCATCATTATGGTTTCACGTGCTTGTTTCAAAAATAAGATCTGCAACACACTTCAGTTGTGACATAGTGTCCCGAACTTTGTTTCAGAAACTCAAGACTCCGAGGAGAAAAAACCTCCGACGCCGAAGCGACCTCCGTCGATCGGAAACTTGCAAATTTTCGGGGCGGAAGACGGACGATATCTATCGCAAAGTGAGTAAAAGGGAAGCAGCGCCTGAGTGGATAAGACTAATGGACGCATTTCTGCTAAACGGAACTAAGCGCCAATATGAGCTCCCTAAGAGGATTTTAGAATCCCGGATAGCGCGTTCTGGCAAACGGAACTAAGCCTCAAGCATTGTGAGCAGCCCAAGAAGCATTTTTCAACGGCAAAACCACGATAAATTGAAATTAAGTTGCGATTTTTTTTTACTATTTTTCGGCGATAAAATCGCAGGGATTATCCTCGATCTTGTTGCAATTTCATCTCTATGAAATCGCGCTCGATAAAATCGAAAAATTGTCCCAGCATATAACGACTTTTTCTTCTATAATATCGCGATGAATCGCCGCAGGGCCGGATTAAGGGGGTGGCCACATAGGCCGCGGTCCATGGCGGCAAATTTTGCAATTTTTTGAAATGTGGGTATAAAAGAAAATCAGATTCAGAATAAAAACTATACAAACAAGAAAAGGCAACAAAATCTCTCAATTCCTGAGGGTATAGTAATCTCTAATTTTGTCGTCTTTCGGTGGTACAAGAGATAGCACCTTTAATTAGTCGAGTTAAGAGAGAAAGCAAACACGAAATTTGGCTTAGAGCGGCGGCGCGGCGCAGAGAGCATTGATGACGAGGACCTGAGATGAAAAGGAGAGGCCTTTGCCGCGGCGGTCGACATGTAACACATATTAGCGCCTACAAGACTGCATGAATACTTCACGCATTGCGTCAAACACAGTGCGGTCAGCCGCGGTCGGCGAGAAATGCATAGCGCCTACAAAACTGTAGGAATACTTCACGCGTTGCATCAAAAACAGTGCGGTCAGCGCGGTCACGCTCAGCAGAAGGGAATCAAGCCACATTAGCTTTTGCAAAACTTGATTAGGCAATTTAATTGTTTACATGAAAACGGTTGTGCGAATTTTTCTGCAAATTTCAGTAAATTGTCTGCAAATTACAAAGAAAATTCCTCACAAATTTCAAAGGTTTACGCACAAACGTTCTCTGGAAAAATTAAAATGCCCAGTTAAATTTGACAATAGCTGATGTGAATTGGTTTCTTTCTGCTAAACGTGATCCAATTATTGAGTCTCTCGTGGGTTGCCGTTAGTTAGTCTATTATTTACCTCCTTTGTCCATCCCAATCACCCGCTTCCACCAATACGATCGCTGCATTTTCTCTTCGTCTTCTTTCTCTATTGCTTTGTCTATCAAATTCAATAGTTAGTCCAATGACACACTCTATTTTCTAAATTGAAAACAACTCAATATCATTTGGACGTATTTATTCTAAGGTACTATGTGCATAAGTATTGCCTGTAACATAGTTCCTTTCAGCATAAATACGTCCATTTCTTGAACAGATGTTTCTAATGTGTAATTTTCATACTTTATTTTTATTTTTTTGCACTCAAGTTCCGAACCTGACGAAAACGTCCCGAAAAATTCTCTCAGCGGGTTCCTACCTACAAATTACCGATATAACAATGGACGATCATACATCATTGTGTTAGTAATCGTTTATTTTATACGCGTATTTATATGTTTCTCTCGTTTTTCTATGTCTCTTCTTTCCAGTGAAAATCTGATTTACGTCATTGTTTGAATGGATGCTTTTGAACATTCACTGGTTGAAGTTTTTATCTTGCCAAAAATAAAAAAAATCCTGCCTGATTTAGGCCATGTTTAATTTATTTTGAAATCTTTGAATAGAATATTGGCGATCCCAAGTAGCACAGACTGCAATAAGTAGCAATTACATTGTATAAATATTGCAATTCCACTGAGTGTTGTGTATGTTGCCTAGCTCTTATTTGAAGGAGCCCCATTTATTGAAAAGTATTGCGATAAAATTGAAATACGTTGCAATTTTTCATTGCATTGCATATTGTCATAATGACTGGCGGCTGTTGCAAGGTTTGTGTCCNGGGGGGGGGGGGGGGGGGGAGAAAACATACAAATTGACACCATTCACCATGTGAGAGGCCATGAAAAATGAAAACTGTGTTTTTTTCAAAGAAGAGAAAAAATGATGATTAAACATGATCTAAAGATCAGGCATTAATGATGCAAGCATACGTTCTTCTGATTACATCATCGATAGGTAGTGATTTTCACATTCATAATCAGCGAGTCCACGATACCTGTTTGCCAATTACTGACGAAAACTTGCTGGTGTCAATTGGTAATTGAATCAGGAATTTCAGCCTCATCGAAAAAGTTCCGTGGGAGGGAGGAATTGCAATCCGAAAAACAATACCTATGCTTTCATGCAGACTCAGGGGCGGACTGGAAGTCGAAAAGTTAGGAGGCGACCTAGATTTTGGGGGCCCCTCCTGTCGTTCGGGGGCCCCTCTAAGGAGATCCAGGGGCCCTCCCCCGGAAAATGTGGAAAATTACACACTTTTTAAACGCAATTTTATGCATTATTGGAGTCAAATTCTACAGTATTTGAACTTCAAAATAACCCATTCTCAGGATTCTTCGGGGGCCCCTTCATCACAAAAGCTTTAGACGACCTTTCATGTCACTTAGAGACAAATTTTCAAGGATTTTGGGACCTTTTAGTGACTGAATAGGATAAAAAAATTACAACATTACAGGGGTAAAACCATAACTCGAAAAAAATTCGCCGCGGGGGCCCCTTCGGGACCTCCGTGGCAAATTGTTAGGAGGCGATCGCCTCCCCGCCCCCATGGCCAGTCCGCCCCTGTGCAGACTTAAGTATTGGGTGTAACTTAAGGAAGCTTCAGCTACGATCGACTCTTTTGAAGATGTAATAGAAACGAGTAAATGGATGGCCAAAAAGCGAAACCACGTACTTCCGTATGCGACGTTGCAGACTTCCTGTTATACTTTATTTTTTCTTTGGAAAAGTAGTCCACCTATATTCTTGAAAACTTCCTTGATATTTCTTCTCCGTTAGCAAAATATCCTGTTATGTAAATTGCAAGTTACAAAGTTAGCTTGTTTCTCTCAAACTTCGCAAAACCGCGATGGAGATACATGCCTGCAGTTGTGCACGTCGGCCATTGACATATGCCGTTGTTTTTCAATATTCCTTGAAAATTCCTACGGAATGAGGCTCTTGCGTGTCGCAACGACATGCGACGAGTATATCATCCACTGTAAAATGTTGCGGAAAACACGACGGTCCCCCGATTTTCTCTAGAACGAACTTCCACACTCCAAAAAAGTTCTTAAAAGTCAGACCATGATGGAGGAAAATCACCTGCGTTAAGGTGAGAGTCCACCTATACATCCAGTTAAACTAGCCATGCGCAAGTGATGGAGCAAACGTAAACAATAAGTTTTCCTTGGCTCCGCAGCCTTAAAATCCATGCACGACCCTATTATTCGTTCTCCATCGGTGCCTATGAAGATTGATAGGATGAATACGTAAACCCTCACGTACCCGAGTGGTGATCGCGATAAGTTGCGCTTTGATTGGAGAATGTATCGCGATTTTATCGACAGCGATTCATCGCAATATTGTCGATAAAAAATCGTGATAAATTGGGATGAAATTCCGATTTTATTGAGCGCGACTTTACAGAGATAAAAAAGCGACGAGATCGAAGATAATCGCTCAAATGATCCTAGCGATTTCATAGCCAAAAAATCGTAAAAAATCGCAATTTAATTTAAAAATATCGCGATTTTTCCGTTGAGCATTCCTCCATCACGGCCTTGATTTTGAGAGTTTTTTTGAGCTTGAGAGTTGATTTTTAGCAAACCAATGGCAGCATCCAATGTCTCGCGAAATTTTATAAACATGGACCACATTTTGCAAGAAGGAGCCACTATCTTTGGCTCTTCCATAAAAGCACATATCTTCATAGGGAAACCATTGGCATGCATGTTGTTTCTAAAGTGGGCCAAAAATAGTGGCTCCTTATTGCAAAATGTAATCCATATAATGTACTTAGATCGCAAATCCCGGCGGTATGCATGAGGTCCATTTGAATTACATTTTGCAATAAGGAACCACCATTTCTGGCCCATTTTAGAAAGAACATACATGCCATTGGTTTCCCTACGCAGATATGTGTGCTTTTATGGAAGAGCCGAATAAAGTGGTTCCTTATCGGAAAATATGGTCCATTTGGACTACATTTTGCAATTAGGAACTATAAATTCCGGCCCGGTTTAAAAACAACGTGTGTGCCATTAGGTTCCCTATGCTCATAAGTGTTTTTTCAAATGAGCCAGAATTTATAGGTCCAAATGGCAAAATGCAGTCCACTTGATTCTGAGTTATTTTCCCCCACTGATTCCCTTTCTTCGTCTCTGGTAGCTGTAGGGGGTCCTTTGATTAAAGGTCTCACCGAAGTTGTCAACGTCCGCCCTAAGAATCCGGTCAAGTATCTGGGAAACTTCTTGGTAAACTACGAAGAAAAGTCTGGAGACACGGATGAGAAACTGGTGAGTTTCTCTCTTTTTTTTTTGTACACTTCGTGAACACAGGAAAATATGAAAGATACGTATGCTGCCGCACTAAGGAAGAACGCCGTATGAACATTCCAGAGTTGCCAAATTTCCCCGGATAAAGCATGTATTTTTGAGGTAATCCTTGCATATTTTTCCTTGAAATTTTCGGATATTTTAGATTAAATTGTGTAAAAAATTGTCCATAAAATTGGAGGAGAAATATCGAACAGTGTCCTTGAAAATTCGTATTCTATCGAAGGGAATTTGGCAACGCCTGAAGGTTCATACGGCGTTTTTCCTTAGCACGGCAAAATACGGGCCTCGTTTTTTAAACTTTACACCTGAGTCATGAGCGAGACCTAATTGGCGGTATAGAACGGAGCATCGCGAGTCCGAGCCTCGCGCCATCGCGCCTTCAATTTTGCAGATGCAACATGGACATCCATCAAGCACGAATAGTTGTATTTTGCGCCGTAAGCAACGGTCGTTGAAATATTTCTTATTTTCTAAATTTGACAAAAATTAAAGACGAGTTTGCTCTAAATATGCTCTGATGTGTCCAAATCAATAATCGTTCTTAAAAAAAAATGTTCACAGGTCTCTAAAGCGCCCTGAAGAGCGCGCGTCTAAAAACTGGATTGGATTTTGCGAGAAGGAACCAAGAGCATTCCATTGTTGCTAGAAATGTGTAGAGTACCTGTATAGGGAGAGTACCGACAGATCGGTTCATGGAGGGCTTAGGGCCCAAAAGTGCAGCCACCCTTCTAACCAACTTCTAACGCACAAAATTTCACTGCCAGTCTGCAGATTCCAATTCTAACCAAGATGGCCAAGAATGTACAGAAATGAGCGTTCCTCCGCGAAATTGAGTAAATTTATGCAAAAACTGAGTCCAACACGTGCTGAATAAAGGACGGTTCGTAACAATAGTATCAGTAAATCGCTCTGGATAATTGAAATTCATAGGTTGGCTGCCCTTTTGGGCCCTAACTTTATTCGCGGAGGCATCGGTGAAGGCCTGATGGACTTTCGGAGTTTCAGATCTGTCGGTACTCTCCCTATACAGGTACTCTAGAATTGTGCAACTTACATTCTTTGCAGTAAAATTACTGAAATCATGCAAAAAATCAAATTAACAAAGGCATAATTTTCGTCTTAAAGTTATAATTGATTAGGAGTAAAGATAAAACTTGTTTAGTGATCAGTATATTTGCAAGGTAAAAAAAATGTGCACAATCTTAGCGACATTGGAACACTCTTGGTTCCTTCTTGCAAAATGCAATCCGATGGAGAATTTGCACGCAAAATTTGTATTGCTTCATATCTGAAAGTGCCTAAAGAGCTGATTTGGCAGTATTTTTTATAATTTTTTCGGCTATGGAAAATAGTATAAAAATATATTTAAAAGTGAGAAAATACGCCGCCTAATGGTGTCATCTGGGAGCATTTCCCATAAAAACGCATGTATTTTAGCAGAATAGATCATTTTGTCATATATCCTCGAATAATTATTGTTCAATTTATGAAGCGAGGGTATCCTCGTCGTGTTCAGCTCATTCAAAGATGGAATTAATCAAATTTCAGACACCTGGAAATTCTCCATTGGTATCTTGGCGAGAGTTGTGTCGAGCGAGGAAAGTTTTTTTTGACGGCTACTTCTGCAATATGTTTCTTTCTCTACTCCCAATAAAATAGTTGATGACCCCTTCTATCGTTTGATGGCACCTTAACGGTGAGGTTTTTTTGATGGCAGCAAAAAGGTCGCTTCGAGATCGTGGCGAGCACGTCGAGGCCAGCAATTATGAGCAGCGCCGATAAAAACAAGGGTTACAACCTCCAGAAGAGTAAAAGCTCGTCCGGATTGAAATCTCCGACTTCGTCTCACTCCATTCAGATCAGATCAAACTTCAATCCAATCGCCAGGGTAAGTCACGAGTATTCACACAAATTACTACGAGTATTCATACAAATTACTCGGCAACTCAAAAAGAACGGAGCCTATGGATTCGATCCACATGAATCCATCAATAAATGAAAACGTGAATCCATCGACACCGGTTCGATTGACCAATTATTTAAAAACCGATTTCGATTCGATGAATCGACCGAAAGACTAAAACGTGGACCGATCGACGTGATTCGATGGTTTCAGGACATTCAGTCAACGATTTTTTGTCCGCGCACCTGTATTGTCCAGTAGTTTACGTCCACGCGTAAAATAAGCAACAGCGACTTGGTCCAAGTGTTATATTTTAGTCCGTATATAAAATTATATTGACAATATTGAAATGAGAAAATTAAGAGAGAAGGAGGAGTTGTTGCGGTAACTCGCTTTTTAAATGAAATGTTACTCTCTTCTTCTGATTTAAAAAAATGGGCATGGGTGAATACTTGGTTTTATTTCTATCCTTAAACTTTCCGATATAAAATTAACCTTATATAAACTTTTTTAAATGAAAATATTACTTTATTTTAAAAAAATTTACATTTTTAAAACGTGGGAAATATTTATAAAACCTGTTCCGAGCGATTCTATCGATATTAAAGTCAATGAGATGTAGTTGTGTTGAAAGAAACTATAAAAAATGAATAACAGGGGAAATGAACCAAGAAGCACACAATTTTTGGTTTTAGCCCATTTGTACATCTTTCACAAGGAACCCATCGAAATTTTACAAGGAACTACCTTAATATTTACAAAACATACATTATATTTTCCTTTCATGCATACCTACATTTTTTTCATCATTTAAATGAGAGTAATCCATGCAAAAATCAAGAGTTGAAAAACGCTGACTCCGCAAGTTTAAATCATAGGGCCTGACACAAAGCGGAGTGATGCGACGTGCTGCCAGCACGAAACGCGCACTGCCGCCTACAAACCTAAGGGGATACTTCACGCATTGCGCAATGCGAATAGTATCCCCTTAGGTTTGTAGGCGCCAATGCGCGTTGCGTGCTGGCCGGCCGCCCGCCGCGCCGCAGCGTGGCACCCACGGCGCTTCACAATTTCACAATAGAGGTGTTGTACAGTATCATATGAAATTGAAGAAGCCCCAACATATTAAGAATGACAGGCATCTATTAAGAGTAAGGAACTTACCTCGCAAAATAAATCGAGATACAAGAGATAAAGAAACATTCTTGAGTATGCCGTCAAGAAGATTTTATTTTGAATCAAGAATAAAATAGGTGAACAAAAGCGGGCTTTTGCTTGATGTAAGTGACTTTTTTTCTTATAAAAGCCTCTTTTTTTCGTTTAAAAAGCATTATTTTCTTTATTGACTCATAAGGAAATCTTCTCGGCGGTAAATTTGAGGATATTTCTCTTTGAATCAGGTCACTTTTTCCTCTAATGGGGTTATATAATCATGCTAAACGTTATTAGATACAGATACTAGGAAAGAAAGTTTTTCGACTACCGCTCTCTTTTTGTTGCCGTCACTCGATTTAATTTGCGAGGGAACTTCGTACTTTCGCAAGATGCCATCAATCATGAATCAATCTCTCGTGGAAATGACGCTCCCTCATTTTTACCAAAAATCTCAATTACATATTTTTCTCCGTCGGAGCAAACAAACAAAAAAAATCAACTCTTCATTCTCCCAAGACATTAAACATTTTCATCCAAAAACGTCGTAAGCAATTGGACTGAGTTAAGCAGAAAGAAACCAACCCACATTTTGGAAAAAATTGAGTTATGAGTGGTTTTGAACTCAACCACTGCTCTACTATCGATCGCCAAAAATTCGAAATTTTTGTTGGAGCAAAGTTTGCAGAAATTGAACTTGAAGTTTATCTTTTACACTGAGTCTTATGTAGGAGCTTAACTTTAAACCTCTTTTCCTCGGTTCGATCCCGATGTGGCTTGGTTCCTTTCTGTTTAACTTCGTCCAATTGTCGTTTGTATTTACATGTGGACCAATTTACTTTGGGTCTCAAGTGGTGAGTGGACCGAAACTCCCCTTCCGAAAAAACGCGTGGACGTAAACTACTGGGAAAAACAGGTGCGCGGACAAAAAATCGTTGACAAAATGTTCTATAATCGATTCGATCGACTCACGAGTTTGTCGATCGATTCACGGGTTTGTGGATCGACTAATACGCAGCTGTACCAAGAGCTAATAAAATCAGCTGTATTGACATGACATTCTATCATGGAGTATAATGCATAGGGAGGGATCATGTTTTATAGTTAATGGGTGCGAAGTACCCATCAAAGTTCGGCGGGAAAAAATATTCTAGATTCAAATTGTCCTAGGGTAAAAAAGGGTTTTTTGAAGTTTCTGTCAGATAAAATAATACGCTTTTGACGGGAAAAGGTTCCCAAAGGTTTCCCCTGAGAAGTCGATTCGGTTTTTTGGCGAATGACCATCAGAGCTTGGTAGTATAACGGTTAAAACACGAATAAACGGATCCGACGAAAAAAAAAATGGACCGCCCATAGACCGTATTCGATATAATGGTTCGATGTATCGTTTGGTTCAAAACAATAGAACATAACCTCAAACCAAACAATTAGGATTTATGTTGGAAAAGCTGAAAATGAGAAAATTTCTAACAATTTCACTTTGCATTGGCATTTGGTACTCAAAAAAATGAAACATCTGTTACAAAAGACCCGTTCCCTCCGATTTCTAAATTGACTTTTGAGGCTATGTTTACGTTTTGAACCAATCGATATCGATACAATTTCATCTGTTTGATGTATCGAATACGATCTATTGAATAACATGGGTTTACTGGTGTGCTGTACTGTGGTACATCCAAGTGATTTCAAAAAGCGAGCCCTACACGTACGCTTAAAATACTTTTAACTCACTTGCACTCACTCTTTTTTTTCAAAAAAAAAAAAAAAAAAAAAAAAAAAAAACGCAAGTGAGTTTTCAGTATTGTTTGATTGAATTTTTGAATTTGATGCGGCAGGATGAGTTCGGGCAATCGATGGTGCACTTGGCAGCGGCCCGACCGCACAGCCGCAACGCTTTCTACGAGCTCCTCATCGAGTTGGACTCCAATATCAGCCTCCGGGATGCGCTCTATCGCACCGCAAGGGACATCGCCGTCCTAGCCAGCAAAATCGAGAATGCAGTTTCCATCGACAAATACGTTCTCTATCTTGTAGCTAAAGGTAATATAGCTCCAGCGGGCTGATTCTTGAAATTGGTAGACAAAGCGATAGACAAAGAGGACTAAAGGGACATGAAGGCAATCTATTGGTGGAGGCGGGTGGTTGAAACGGTTGAAAAGAATTTTTTTTAGGGCCCCCCCCCCCTCTCATCCTATATATTAAAATGCAAAGTCCCGAATCTTGTGGCATTAACTTTGAGAGAACCACCGGACCGATTTGCATGGGATTTTTTTTAAATGAAAGCCCCTGAGCTGTAGATTTGCAGGCTGTGATCGTTTTTTCGATTTTCTCAAATTTTCTCCCATAATTTTCTAAAATTGTCTTCGATGCATTAAAACGGAGGTCCGAATCTTTGGACGTTAACTTTGAGAGATCCACCGGGCCGATTTGCATGGGGTTTTTTTTAAATGAAAGCCTGTGATCTGTAGATTTACAGGCTGTGATCGTTTTTTCGATTTTCTCAAATTGTCTTACTTTTATCGACGAGTGAAGTTTAGCTGGGCTCAAATTTTCTCCCATTTATTCAGACTAAAGTCCGCATTTTGGGACATTAACTTTGAGAGAACCACCGGACCGATTTGCATGGGGTTTTTTTTAAATGAAAGCTTCTGATCTGTAAATTTGCAGGCTGTAATTGTTTTTTCGATTTTCTCAAATTTTCTTACTTTTATCGACGAGTAAAGTTCAGCTGTTTCGAGCGGTCATCTGGCCGCTACCTGCTTGCCCGTCTCTAGATACCCCCACTAAGGTCTCAGCCACCCCTCCCACCACGTTCTTTCGGCTATCTCCGTTTTCTTTCGTATAGCTTTCCTCCCACCAACCTCAAAGAAGGTTTGGGTCGCATTGTCGTTCGTCACTCACCACCCACATTCCGTCGCAATCTCTCAGCTACTCCGCTTCACCACTTCTTGATAGGCATCCTGGCGGTTTGACTGACCCTGACTTATTACTGCAGCGGTGCGCACACGTATTGCTAACAACATGTATTGTTATGGACATTTCATTCTTATTTATTCTTTTCTCTTTCCAACTTTGTTTCAAATTTGCTTGATACTTCGTTTCTTCCTCTCTCTTTATTTTGTTGGTCGGTCGACTACGTTGATCGGCTTTTTGCTATTGAAAGCACATTAAGACTTCATGGATTTTCAATATCATAATTTGATCTTCCGGAATTGCTTCCAATTAACCTGAATCTTCAAGGGTCAGAGCCTGACTCTCCTCCCCCTAAAACTATGATTCCATGATTTCTGCCGCTAACCCAGAGCAACATCAAATTATTTCTGAAATAATTAGTCTCATCCAAAATCCATCTTACACGTGTAATGCGATTTTCATTGATGGTCCAGGAGGATCGGGAAAAACTTTCGTTTAAGAATGTCTTACTGCGTATTGTACAAAGGAAAACTTAGACGTCATCTCCGTTGCTTGGACAGGTATCGCCGCATCGTTGCTACCTAACGGTCGGCCGGTTCATAGCAAATTCAAAATTCCTTCGGTTCTGAATGAGAATTCTGTGTCGAGTCTCACGGTTAGCTCAAGAGAGGCTGAGACTATTCGGAAAACAACGATCATTTTTTGGGGCGAAGCTCCCATGGTTATCACGCATGCTCTGGCATGCATCGACCGACTTCTTATTTAGAGAATGGGTAATGATATCCCTTTTCGAGGAAAAATTGTCGTCTAGGGTGGTGATTTTAGACAGGTTTTACCCGTTGTTCCGCATGCTTCTCGCCAAACATTAGTGCAAAATGCAATCAAATTCTCACCACTTTGACCTCTTTTCAAAATCAGAAAACTTACTCAAAATATGAGAACTTTGCAAGACGAAGCGGAGTTTGCAAAATTTTAACTCGAAATAGGTGATGGTGTTTACCTTTCTGCTAAAAAAGGCCATGCCGGAATTCATTGATTTACCGACAAGCAGTATTACTGAAACTGATATTATTACTGAAATTTATGGAAAAGATAGCTTCCTCATGTTCGAACGTAGATTTCACAAACTGCGCAATTCTGGCCCCTAAAAATAAGCATTGCAATGAAATTAACGACAAGGTTGTTGAAGTTCTTTCAGGTGTCTCTAAAACGTACTTCAGTGTTAACAGGCTCATTGTAGAGGAAGAGGGAGAGGCTCTCAATTTTCCCCTCGAATTCTTGGACAGTCTTAATCTTAGTGGCTTACCACCGCATAAACTCACACTTTTGGAGGGGGTTTTTGTCATGCTTTTAAGAAACCTCAACGTTTCTAAAGGTTTATCGAATGGTACCCGATTGATCGTCTGGAAACGCTATGAAAATTGTCTTGATTTGCAGGTCATTTCCGGCGAGAAGGCCGGTGAAAGAATTTCACTGCCAAGAATTGATTTGTCACCTGCAGAGTGCAGACTCCTCTCTCCCTTTCTCTTTTAAGAGGCGACAATTTCCAATTCGCATTGCGTTCTGCATGACCATCATCAAAGCTAAGGGTCAAACACTGAAGCGAGTCGGCATTTATTTACCCCAAACAGTTTTTGGTCATGGTAAACTATATGTTGCACTCTCACGAGCTACATCGTACAAAAATTTTGAAGTCCAAATTCTTCCCAAAGGCAACCGTACAAAAAACATCGTGCACAAAGAGGTGCTTCGATCTTTTATAAACCCCAAAAGTCTCATAGTCATTAGAAAATTATCAAAAAATAAAAATAAAAAAAATTTAAACAGTAACACAAAAAAAAGAAAAATTAATAATGCGAGCTTTTTATAACATTTTTCGGTAGAATGGCAGTCTCCACCCTGTAACGCAGAGAGGCAGTTAAATTCCTTGATCTTCTGCCGCAGAATCATCATCATTATTAAATAGATTCAACTAATCGCTCCGATTCCAAATAAGCTACTGCACCACCATTGCTAGCTGTGGAGGGCGCCCGTCGGGCGCCCGGAGCAGCTAGTTCCAATTAAATTCCAAAAATAGACCCATCACATACTCTCCTTCCCTCCCCTACTTTCTCCTTCGGAGGTCCGAATCATAGAGATTTTCGAGTAGATATAAAATAAAAATGAGAATACTACTATGCTTTTGCAAGTTTTAAGATAGGGATGCCTGTAATGTTTCTCAAAATCATTACCTAATTTTTTTGTTAGGGAAAATCGCCGAAACTGTAGGTTTTCCTCGATCAAATACTCGCAAAACATGAAACTTATTTGGTGGTTGGTAAAAAATCCGAATTCCAAAAAGTCAAGCTGATAAACGTAAGTGCAATGCATGATGAATAATGCAAGACAGCGATAAGCCCGAGAAAGAATGGATCAAAATTGGAAGTGTTTCTATCAAACGAAACTATGTGCACTGAGACATGAGCCCTGAGACCCATAAGAATGTACGCATAATAGGGCTCACGCCACAATGCACATAGTTCCGTTTGATGGAAATACGTCCAATTGCCTGAGGGAATAAGAGCTCTTGGGCAATGAAAGAGCGAAAATCTGATCTTCACTAGAAAGGAAATGGTTGAGCATTATTTTTGATTTAAAGAAACTGCATCTTAAGGTGATTCGTCAAGCTCAAGTGACGTGGTCGAACTGTCATGCGATAGATCGCATCGATTAGGTCAAAAATCTCGGCAGATTTTGAATTTTTAGCAAAGAAAAGGACGATAGCCCCTGCGCATGAGCCTAACGAAAATCCTTTATCATTCTAAATCCAAAAATCGGCAACATTCAGAAAAATGAAAGCAGAATACTGTTTGGAAAAAAACCTCGCACTCGATACAGCCATCGATTTCTGCATCGAATGCAAGGTTTTTTTCCAAACACTACCTATTCTGCTTTCATTTCTCTGAATTTTGCCGATTTTTGGGTTTAGAATGATTCGTTAGGCTCATGCGCAGGGGCTATCGTCTTTTTTTTTAGCTGAAAATTCAAAATCTGCCGAGATTTTTGACCTAATCGATGCGATATATCGCATGCCAGTTCGACCACGTCACTTGAGCTTAACGAATCACCTTAAAGATAGGAAATTTACTTGCACGCGAGCACTCACTTTTTTATATCATGACCAGGTGAGATTGATAAGCTGAGAGAACTGATGTTGGATGGCTACGATCATTTGGCCGATCTAGAAACGCCTGAGCCGCCACAGAAAGTTGCAGAGGACCGAGGACACGAGGCCGTAGTTGCATTATTTGACAACATCAAGTCCTTCCAGGTCAGTAAATTACGGCAAAATGCTAATATGCATTGCCTCCTAGGAAATTAACCTCAAATTTGGAAACCAAGCTCAATTTCGGAGCTCATAAAAAACAACAGGACGTATTTATGCTAAATGGAACTATGTGCACGCGGATAGATGGGGTCTGCTCGTCAGTGTTCGGGCCGTAAGAATGAATGGGACTTTAAAAGCGCCAGTGACGTCAGTGGCAACGTACGAGGAGCCCCGACGGGGTGATCGGTGGCAGGACTCTTTAACTCAAGAGCCCTGTCCACAAGGCTCTTGTCACATACCCACGGCTTACGAGTTAGCGTCAGTTCCTTTTGATTTAATTGAAAATCCCGCTATTCCATTTTCTCAAAAGGAACTACATCCACTGACCACATTGTTTCTTATCCAGCTTCCACGAGCACGCCCCATCTTTCCACTTCCACATAGTTCCTTTTCGCATAAATACGTCCACAGATCCAAAGGCACAGGCTCAAAACTTTGAAAAGCAACCTACTGCACTTTTCCCTTCCGACTCCTGTCATGCACCATTCTGCCGTGCTAAGAAAAATACCGTATGAACATTCGAGAGTTGCCAAATTTCCTCACATAAAACATGTGTCATTGAGGAAAGTTCTTCATATTTTTCCTTTGAATTTTCAGATGTTTTAGATCGAATTGCGAACAAAATCGTCTGAAAATTTTGAGGAAAAATATTCAAAAGTTTCCCGGTTAATTCAGCTTTTTCAAAGGAAATCTGGCAACGTCTAAAGGCTCATACGTCGTCTTTCCTTAGCACAGCAGCATTCATTTCTTGAAAAAGAATATTGCCGCGGCAAATCTGATTAGACAATGGACCACTGGATAAGGTATTGAATGAACGCCCCATAATTTAAGTAGATCATCGAAACTTTGACCACGGATTGTGCGAAATCAGTGGCTCATTAGAACATGGCGCAAGGTGACTTTTGATCAGCGTTTTCAGTCTTAGTAGACGGTTCAATGAAAAAAAAAAAAAAAAAAAAAAAAAAAAAAAAATTGAAAACCGGTATGGGCACAAAATTCTATTAAGGGTTTTGCGAGGGCCTTTTTTTGTAAAATGGCGTGTGAAGTTTCGTGATCTGGCAAAGATTCCCGAAGATTCAGTCAATCAGAGAGGTCGGACATGAAATTTGTTTACTAAATCTGCAAATTTTGATGTTTGTTTCGTCACATTTTTTATTAAAGGGGTGCCTCTAGAAGAAAATTTGACGAGGAAACCAATGGAGCCACTTTTAGAAGCCTAAAGTTTTGTATGAACGGAGTTATGAGCTTTTGAAGTTTGCAAATTTTGTGGGACCTCTCCTGTTGACTTGGTCCACTGTGCGGCGTAACTCTTCGAAACTGGGTGTGAAACCGTAAACCGTCCTCTGGGGGTGGACTTAACTATTTTTTCGGTGACTCGTTGCAGGAAAAGAGGGACGCGTTCCACGGAGCGATCCGCGTGGGCGACGAAGCCAAAGTGGAGGAGATGGTCAAGGAGAATCCGGGGACGATCCGGGATCTGGCCGTCGCCAAGAACATCCAAAGCAGATGCAGCTTGCACGTGGCTCTCTTGGCTCAGGCAGAGGACATCGTCAAATTCCTCGTCGAAAGATTCCCCCAAACCTTGAGGATCGGTGACAATGTACGATATTTCCATTTCCCACCTTCCAGACTTCCTCTCATACCTAATTTTTTCTTCCGAAAACTAGCCCTCCTAATTTCTTCAAAACTACACCCTTCTTTTTCCTCTCTCATGGCAGAACATTCTGAGGCGGATCCAGAAATTTGCCAACGCCGGATTTCCTGCATTTAAACTATGCTACATAATCGATTCTTGGCGGAGCGTCCCTCTAAGAATCGATGTATTTCCATTGCTGTAAATTGAGAGAAGGCAATGTTGCCAATTTTCTGGATCCATCAATAAGAATATTCTGTGTGAATTTCAAGCTGTAAGGTTGACTTGCTTCTCTTCAAAAAAAAGAAAAAAAAGGCGGGGAAATTTTTAAACATCCAATTTTCGAGGGAGAAGCTCTGCAGTTTGGCCGTCGATAGATACGAATAAACAATCTACCTATATGAGGGGCTTGCAGGAGGACAAGGCGCATGAGTGCAGTTTTTTAAAAAATCGAGTTATTAGTGATTTCAAGTAAAACTAGTCATAGTGCATATTCTGTGAAAACTTCGCTTCCAAATTCCAATTTTTATGCAACAAAAAGACAGTTTGAACTTTCTATTCGTCATGAGGATCCATGTAATTTTGAATGTTCAAACATGCATTTCTCAGATTATGAGCAAAAACTGCACTTCCGTGCCTTGTTCTCCAAACCCCTCAATTCCAAGAAAGAAGAAGAAGAGGAGAGGGGTGCAGACTGCAGAAAGTTCTTCGAAGTACGCTTTCATTGGGGATCCACAAATTCCGACGCTATACACGCCGCGGTCGAGTGATTTTCACACGAAAATCAACACGGCCTGAGTAAGATCAACCAGCAAACAAGCAGTAAATCCTACATTTTTTATCAAAATCACAGAACTTGCAGAGTTACCGGCAAAAAGAATGCACATCTAATCAGGGCCGGCTATAGGGTGTGGCCACATGAGCCGCGGCCCTTGGCGATAAATTTAGGGGGCGATAATTTTTGCAATTTTTTTAACTGTATGTATAAAAAAAAATCGGATTCAGAAAAAAAATTACCAACGAGAAAAGGCGACAAAATCTCTCATTTCTTGACAGTGTAGTCATTTCTAATTTTGTCGTCTTTCGGTGATACAAGAAACAGCACCTTTAATTAGTCGAGTTAAGAGAGAAACCCAACACGCAATTTGGCCTGGAACTGTGCGGCGCAGAGAGCAATGATGGTGAGGACTTGAGATGAAAAGGAGAAGCCCTCGGCGCGGCGATCGGCATGTAACACATATTAGCGCCTTCAAGACTGCGTGAATACTTCACGCATTGCGTCAAACACGGTGCTGTCAGCCGCGGTCAGCGAGAAATGCATAGCGCCTACAAGACTGTAGGAATACTTCACGCATTGCGCCAAACACAGTGAGGTTAGCGCGACGCGGCGGCGGAGATTAAAAATATTAAACCACATTAATGTTTGCTCTTTCATAATTTTTTCGTTCAATACTTACTAATGGAGGGCGTTGTCCACACAGAGATAGGTTTACGGAACTTGACTTTCGCGCCACGTTCCGTGAACTTTTGCCAGTGTTGACAGGGCTTTGGCAAAAAATGTGGCCAACAGTCCAACACCAGTAAACGCGTCTTATGCATCCCTCCCCCTCCGGCACGATCACTCGATGGTTTTTATTGATGTAAACTACCTTCATTTTGTAGCAATTTTATGATAATGTCAAAGGTAGGTACTTGAGAGGATACCAACTTCTTGACTGTTGAATTGCAACTGGATACCTGCCCAAGTAACAGTGATCGTGATAAATAACGATTTTATCGTCTGGTTATCGCGATATTATCGAATTGAAAATTGAAATATATGGCGACTAAAATCATTGAAATAAATACATTGAACACACATATCGACGGTGAAACTACCAAACCACGTATCTCGTTTGCGGTGTTTAAAAATCTACGCTCGCATTTTATTTTTTTGAAGTAGACCAAATCAATATCATTCCTTGAAATTTTCACGGAATTTTCTCCGCACAAAGAGGAAAAATCACAGAAATTTTCAAGACTGGATGTTAAGTAGTTTTTCATTTAAAAAATAAAGTATGACAGGAAGTCTGCGACGTCGCAAACCGAGATACGTGGTTTGGTAGTTTCGCCGTCGATTCATAACATAACACACATAACAGACATACATACATAATTCATTAAATACATTGACATTTTTCGCTAGATTCGCGATCAATTTTCGTCGATAAAATCGAGGTTAAATCGCCATCGCGATTTTTAGTTCCATGATATCGCGATGATAAATTGCCGAGCGATGAAATCGCGATTTTATCGCGATAAGATCGAAAATGATCGCCAAACTCGCAATGTATCGTCGCCTTCCGGCCAAAGTATTATTACAAGCGCAATGCGACGTTTACAAATTCACGGCCCCATTTTATTTTCTTAGAGAAATTTTTCAACGAAGCTGTCCGAAAATTTCATTGAATTTTCTTTGTGCTGCCGATAAAATTCAGTGAAATTTTCAAACAGGTTCAACCAACAATTTCTCTGTGAACAAATAAAATGGCGGCGGAAATTTTAAACGTGGCGCCTGTGATACTTCGGCCGGAAGGAGACGATATCGCGATTTTTCCGTTGAAAAATGCTACTTGGGTGATTTCATCACTAAGTAATACAAATATTGAAAGGCCCGAAGATGTATAGCTAATTTAATGAGATTTCTGATGGATTTTCAGTTGGAACGGACGCCACTTCACTACGCAATGGCCTTGAACAAAGTGGAGATGGTGAGCAACATTCTCATTCAAGCCGGAGCAGAGAGAGTTGCCAAGGATTTGGTGAGTGAGAGATGTTCACTATCTCTTTTTATCCTAGCACTTTCGTGCCGATCGATCGTCGATCGATTCACGTTTTCATTTTTCGATCAATTCATTTCGATCGAATCCATACCCTCCAAAACTAGTGCGCTAACTCATTTGAAAATTTTACTCTAATGGTTCTTCCGCAATTAAGCCAAGGTTAATCCCTCAAATGTTCATAAAAGTATGTGCAAAAGCTTTAAAGAGAAAATCAAAATATGTTGTACTGAGATGTCTGGCAACAAAGTGACACGGCGTGTTTCGCGGTACATCAATTGATCTGCCATTTAAACCTATGGGAAAAGATCGATTAAAGGGTGTTCGCAACAAAAACCTTAATAATCAATTCTTTATCATAGCATCTAATGGGAAAATATCGATGATCGATCATTCACGCTTTGCTACTGATTAGAATTGAAGACACACATTGTCAGTGAAAGAATACTGAAATTTAAGCTAATTTCCATTTCCGTTTTTCAGAAAGGACGACAGCCGAGCTATTACTTCATGAATAAGTCTGACATACACGAGCTTCAAGAGGAAGAGAAACAGCTCAGAGAACAGCCGGAAGAGCAGCCTCCTGAGGGATAAACATGTTTTGATCCGACATGATGCATGGAAGTTCAGCATCTTTGTTTAACCGATTGGAAAAAAAGTCAATAAAAAAGAGGGGGGAAATGTTGGCATTTGACTGTGATACATAAGTTTAAGAAATAAAGTTTGTTTGTTGAATACTTTGAAAACAAAATTTATTTCTCTTTAATAACAACGAACTAACAAAATTTACACAAATACATTTACAAACACATTGAGAGCGCATTGAAAGACAAGGCTGGGCTCATAGCTAGTAGTAGTCACATACGCCTTGTGACAAGTTCTGACCCTACTCCACCTAACCATGTAAGAAAAACCCTTGTACTTTCCTTAACCAGTTATCCTCACTCCTTTAATTATGACCTTCTATTGTAAACTATTTAAAATTGGAAAACTGGCACTTTAGCCTAGAGGAGGGTCAGTTGAAAATTTTGGCACAAAATACAGCCAGTGGTATCAAACCGACATGAATTAATGACTGTTTGAAGTTGGCAGTGCATAGAATGTTGATATAAGAGAAGTTATTGGATTTTTATCTACCTACCATGTTTGGAGCTGTAAACTATTATACTAAAATGCAACTGGACTACATTTTGCAATTAGGAAATACTATTTCTGGCTCAACCAGAACCATTGGTTTCCTTAAAGACATATGTGTTTTTACAGATGTGCCAAAAATTGTAGTTCCTACTTGCAAAATGCAGTTCAACTTGACGGCAACTATTCTGCAGTGCTAAGAAAGAACGCCAAATGAGCCTTTAGATGTTGCCAAATTTCTTTGAAAAAAAATCCCTTATTTTTAGGAGAAATTATAGATATTTTTCTTCCCATTTTTCAGAGAATTTTGCTCGTAATTTTATCTGAAATGTCTGCATATTCATGACTTTCTTCATAATAAATACATTCTGAAAAGAAATTTGGCAGCATTCAAATGCTTAAACGGAATTTTTCTTCAGCAGGACAGTAAGTATTGGGACAAAAATCAACCAAACTGCTTGAACTTAATTTTGTAAAATGTGTAGATAGGTAAGAAAGTTCTTTCTATGGAAACTAAAATCCCTATTTCCACGTTTACATCCGTTGTCCTATTAACAGTCATATTTTCATCGTTTTTTACTTTCTTCTGAAAGTAAGAGGAGCGCCAAACAACAAAATAATTTCAACCTAACTATGGAATTACTACAACTTCCTTGTAAGCTGCTTAGTCTTTTGTATAGTTTTGACTGATGGCCTAACTTGGCTTTCAATGGCAATCTACAATAACATTAAGGATTGCTGAAAGACTAAATAGAGGAGTAACTTTTATCAAAAATAAACAAAAATAAAAAAATACTATAACTGATACTGAAATACCGATATCATATAACAATAGAAAAGATTCAAGACACCATGTGAAATCATGGAGGATGGATTGCACGTGTCTCCAGTGGAAATTAAACCACCAAACAAACCATTTGCTTATTATTGTTGTTTGTTTTTCTTCATTCAAGCCAGTCTTGAAGTCTTATTTGAACACATGTTTTCAAAAACATTATCTATCAGAGAATCAAATTCAAGGTTATAATTCTTCAAATGGACAGCATTTTGCAATTTGGACCTGGCTCAGCTGAAAAAACACATATGTGCAGAGGGAAACTAATGGCACATACGTCGTTTTCAAACTGGGCCGGACTTTACAGTTCCAAATTGCAAAATGTAGTCCAGTTATACTGCTGAATTTTACTAGAGTTTGGGGAAAATTAATATACACTCAACTGCCATTGATGAAATATGTAACCTGAATCTGCTTTGGGGCAATTGCGCCAATTTTCCAAACTATAGATGAAAAATTGACACGAGGTGCCAATTTTAATCCACAATTCATCACCAGATGCCAATCTGAGGGGGTAGGATTGGATAGAGAGTTATATAGTGTTGTTAGGAGGGTGCAAACCTGTGTTACGACGGCATCAGAGAGGGGGGAGGGGCGAGTAAAAAAATCTGATTTTTAACGTTACGCATTTTATGAGCGGCCAGTTGGAGCACAACTTCAGGATTGCTTCAAGAAGTTGAGCTTCAAATAGAAACTTGCGTCAAAGTAAAAAGGTTTTGCATTGCATATCAACAGAATTGGCAGCTAAGACAGACACTCATTTTACCATCTCAATGCATTCTTTATTTTTTTGCACCATCTATTTAGATCCCTACCTTCCGACAAAGTACAACCTCGAAAAATTGCTTCAACGATTAATGCAATTACTCTGATAATAGATTCTCATCAGTCATGCATTTCAGACAGTTGCTCCTGGGAAAGCTAGGACATAAAATATGACCCCTCCATTCTTTGGATTAGCGTATCATAAGCTCAACAAGAGGCCTATTTTGAGCTGACTGAACACTAGCTCTTCACAGAGTAAATTCATTAATTAGATGATACATATGATAAAGATATGGCATCAGGTAAAAACAATCAGACATTGATTTGGGGGATTTTTGATCAAGATTATTCAACAGTCGATAACATTTAAAAATCTGCACCCGACAAATTTGAAGAAGACTATCATGGCCAATGTATTCATTACAGATACAGAGAGTGTTTTGGGTTTATACCTGGGATGCTGTGATGCATTTCATACGCTTAAGATTCATTCTTTTGATGCTGAGTCCTCGGGGAGCACCCAATTTTTTTGCCTTTATTTCGATCAAAAAATCGAAAAAATCGGTCAACTCTGCAGGTGAATTGGACAGGTTTAACCAAAGTCAACCCAACTACATTTCACGTTACCTAATTTTCTCTTATGTTTTATTTTTCAACTATTTAAAGCATATGAACTTTCTGTGAAGTTGCCGTAAATTATGAAAAATATACTCAAGGAATATGTCTAGAGTGGGCCGAAAAAGTCCTGCTCCTCTGGCAAAAAAACAGAATGCATGCGCATAAGCCAAAAATGTTTAGATTACATGAACTTCTCTGGCTCATTCCTTGACAAATTTGATCATTGCAGTCGAAGGCAAGTTGCCATATCACAACCATTAGTCGAATGAGATTAAGTCTGATTATAACTTACAAAGCAGAGGGGAATCATTGGACTTCATGTTATTCAACATCACACTACTATCCGACTCTGTCATTCCATCAAATGCTGCTTGTAGCACCTCGCTCATTTCAGTCACCAAAGAGAACTCAAGATCATTCTGAAAAAAAAGAAGTAAAAAATTCAGCAAATCAAAGAGAAATTGTTGAGAAAGAAGTGAACATAGCAAACAGGAATACAAAAAAATTTGGAATGAGAAAAAAGTTCATTTCAAAACCGCCAAAAAGCGAATGGACTCAGAGAAAGGATTGAAAATATGGCAGGTAAGTTCTGGATAGTGAGATAACAAAAAATATTCAATTTAAGACAACTGGATTTTTTAAAAAAACATTTCAAAGCTTTGCTGAGGGTTGGTAAAATTTGCTTTTTAAAGGACCATTGATCCTCCCACGTTGCATGAAATTTGAGGCTGCCGACTGAAAAGTGGAGGGTGTCTCCTTGTATCTCTTACCTTATTTTTTGGGAAGAAAGGCTCTTTAATTTTTGGATATTTTTAGGGCTGTGCAAATAGCGAATAACTAAAGTCAATTATTCACAACTACAAATAGTAAAATGAATAATTTAAAATGAGTTTTCTATGTGCGAAAATTCGCAAATATCACAAAGGTCGACAAAAAAGCATGATTAATTTTTTTAAGAATTTTTCATTTGCTCATACATTTGCACAGAAAACAATGAAATGCTATGATAGTAGCCTACGCTGTTAAGAATGTGTTTGAAGATCCCTGGGTGCTGGCTTGACTGTTCCTGCAGTTATGTATGCATTTCCCGGTTTTGAGGGTAGCTGCGCGGCCAGTCAAGGTAGTATCTAAGGATCACCAGGCACATTTATAGTATTCTATTTTTTCCGGTGTTAATGAAAATGTGTTTATGAACTTTTCCCTCTTTCCGTCTTGGTTATTTAACTTTCAATGTGTGGTGCTCTCGGAGCAACCAAGATACGCGGGCCAATCGCAATCGCTGTTCATAAACTCGGCAAAGTCAGTAAAGATCGGAGGAGATCCGATCCACCTTTTGCTTTGTCTTGGATGGAAGCCTTGCACAGGTCCTTGCAAAGTTTCACGATTGCCACTAGGAAATTCGTTTCTTTTTAAGACACGAATATTTGAAAATTTGTCATTACAGACAGCACGAATATTTCAAAATGTTGGTTTGTAAATTCACTATTCTTGACGGTGCAAAAATTCGCAATTTACGAATAGTGTGCGAGTCAGATGAAGCAAATATTCGCACAGCCCTAGATATTTTTTAATCATCATGTTGCATTTCAGAAATATCTGTCTACAAGCGTACAAAACCTCAAAGGGAAAAAATTTTCAGCAGTTGTGTACAAACTTTCATTGTAAACAAAAATACATCATAGAATTGAAAATCTATGGATAATTTTGAGATTTACACAATTATTAGGTGGAATACTCGCAAACATTCTATTAACACAGGCGGTTTTCCCGACAAAGATAGAATCTCACCTTGGTTGACTCAGGAATGTCTGCTAGATCAGAATAATTTTTTTGGGGGAGAATTACTTTCTTCAAACATGCTCTGTGTGCAGCAAGGACTTTTTCCTTCACACCGCCAACCTACAACAAGAGATACAATTTTAGAGTTAATTTTAAGAGGTATAATTAAAGACATGTTCGAAATTATGGGAATGGCAGAAATGTTTAAGAGCTGAGTACATAGTTCAATTTTTAACTGAGTCAATAACTAAAATAATGCCTTCGACATTAGAAACTAGCCTAATTTTTCACATGAAACTATTGGATGGTTAGAAATATGTACGCTATGAAAGGGGTCGGAATCGTTTCAATTTGCCCGATAGTTTTGATCCATTTGATCAAAGAAAATGCCCTGTGCCAAGTTTAAGCTGCATTGGTTAATCCTGACCCATGTTGATAGATAAGCGTGTTTGTGAACAGGAAAAAGAACTCCCAAGATCTCAGAACACTGAAATTATGAAATAAAACTTGACTTTAAAAAATTAAAAAAGCTTTCTTTCTTCTGATGGAATCCTTTGAAAATCAAAGGATCAAAATACAGCTTTGCATTCATAATTAAAAGTGTGTGTTGAATGGAAAAAAATTAATAAACGGTAATGAGAGAACATACTGGTAAGACAGCGCCAGAAAGAGTTATTTCTCCTGTCATCACGACCCCATTGGCAATCGGTCGATTCGTGAAAAGAGAGTACAATGCTGTTGCAATTGCAATTCCGGCTGAGGGTCCATCTTTGCTGATTGCTCCGGCAGGAAAATGGATGTGAAGATCAGCATCACTCAAAGGATCAGACGAGTTCAAACCATACTAAAAATAATTGTAAAATAATGACTGAAAATTATGCAAAGACTTAAAAATCTACAGAAAAAAAATGCTGCAGGAAAATGGATGTGAAGATCAGCATCACTCAAAGGATCAGACGAGTTCAAACCATACTAAAAATAATTGTAAAATAATGACTGAAAATTATGCAAAGACTTAAAAATCTACAGAAAAAAAGATACGTTTTCAGAGTAAGCAAACAGTTTCAGTAATTGAAAGTAATCAACTTGTTAACCCTCATGCGTTTTTTCTAAGGAGTTTCTGTGATGCTAAGTTCCGTGAATAAGCCAAAGGCAAGCGGTGCATAAATGATCCAACAATGTTGTAAAACCTATAAAGTATAAACTACTGATAACACTATTTCAGGCCTACAATGGCATTCTGAAATTGTCTCATTTAATTATTCACATTTTTTTACATTAATTATCAAGGTTAAAATAAAGTAACATCACAGTGAGAAAACTTTGAAATCCAGCCCATGGGCCGGCAACATTGCCTATCAAGTTGATGAGAGGGCGATAAATGAAAAATGAACACTACATTGAGTGGAGCAGTGTGAACGTAGAATTTCAGATTCAAACCAAATCTGGACTTGAACCTGAATCGAACGTTTAAAAAGATTTCCCAGCCCAAATCTCCGAACGGAATAAAACTTTATATTCATCAATGAAAGTTTCTTACTTGCAGAGATTTTTTTTTATTTTATTTTATTTTATTTTTTTTTTTTTTTGATAGTACAGACAAGCTTAGCTACTACAGCTTGATCATTTGATAAGTCAATTAATGGCAGGAGAAGCTTGGATTGAGTAGATGACATTAACTTGAGACAACATTTGTAATCGTGTCTTTGAAACCATAAATATACATAAATTAACAGCAATTAAATAAAAGTATCGGCGAGTGCTTGGAACAAGATGTAATTTCCACCAGTCTTGTTTAAGCTCGTCTTTTTTATTCCGTACCGTTCAGGAATATACACTGGTAGCAACTGGACTGGGGGAATATCCTTGACTTTTTAAGACCTTCATAATCATCCATTTATACTTGAGATCGAGTACCAAGATTGGATACCAAAATTGAGTCTTACCTGTTTGGCAACACTTCGTAACCAGTCAACCGCTAATGACGCAGACTCTTTCATGACATCGCCTAAATGACCTGTTAGAACCAGAGATCCTTGAGATGAGCGGTTGAGGCGTGTTGTCTCAATAATCAAAACCCTTCCTCCATATTCAGTCCAACTTAAACCTAAGGCCACACCAGGAATTCCAGCACGACGCCATAACTCAAAGTCGCCAAATGGAGGAGGCTGTAAAAAAGGATGAATGAAATCTTCCAAGAGAATGTTCAAAACTTTTTATCATTGGAAATTCTAATTGGTTTATCAGGAGAGGTGGAATAAATGGACGTATTTATGCTAAATGGAACTATGTGCAAGTGGAAAGGTAGGGTGTGCTTGTGCAAGCTCCATAAGAGACAATGTAAAAGTGGATATAGTTCCTTTTGAGAAAATGGAAAAGCAGGATTTGACATTAAAACAAAAGGTCAATAACTCTAAAATCCATGTGATCAATAAATCACAAGTCAAAATAGTTGTTCAATCTAAAGAAGATTATTCTACCCTTTTTGAATTTTTCAAAACAAACAATATAAAATTCCATACATATCAACAAAGAGATAGTAGAAATATTCGCAGAATCATAAAAGGTTTATCTGCTGATTTCCCCATAGAAATCATAAAACACACTTTTGAATCACACGGAAACATTGTAGTGAAAAACTTAGTCCAAATTAGGCATCCTATCACAAAAACTCCGCTACCTATCTTTAAAATTGAATTTGAACCCTAACCAAACGTAAGCCAAATTCTAAAAGGAATAAACACCATAAACGACTTCATCATTAGGCTTGAATTCCCAAATAAAGCTAGAAAAGTAATTCAATGTAAAAAATGTTTATCAATTGGCCATTCCCAGAATTTTAGTTATAGAAATCCCCGATGTATTGTTTGTGGAGATTTTCACGAAGCTGATTCCTGTCCCCGTAAAATCGAAGCCATTAAAACTTGCACCCCCATACCGCCGACGTGTGCCCTCTGCGGAGGTGTACATTTCGGCAATTATAGGGGATGCAAAGTCTATAAAGAAATAAACAAGAAAAGATTCCCTTCAACCCCCTCCCCTAAACTTCAGAATACTTCTTTGACATCAAACCTTATCTCCCCAGGCATAAGTTACGCTAAAGCCTTATCAAACGGAGCTGATAAAGCACATAACTCAGTTTCAACTAATGAAACTAGGTCCGAATCACAAAATAATGTCTTCTTATCCAAATTCGAAGTAGTAGATAAGAAAATCGACGACTTAGAGATAATGATTAAAATACAAAGTCAAAACTCAAAAGAACTCTCAGATGCAATAAGAGACTTACTAATATTTTACGGAACATTAATGGAAAAAGTAGGTCTCATGGGTAAGTTAGTCTTACCAGGAGAGGAACCTACCCCTTAATATTTTAAAATATATTTTTTTGTATAAGACATCAGTCTTATAAAAATTGTAATCACACGCCTCCTAATGTTCCTCGCTTTGCCTGGACATATAAGGAGAAACGATTATGGTTTCGAACGATTATGGTTGCTATATCTTTATTTCTCCGCCAGTTTATTTTAGGCCGGTATCTTTTCTGTTAAAAATATTTATGTAGCTATTATTAAGGCTAGAGTTAAAATCGCTTTTAAAGATGAAAAGTCTAAAAGCTCTACTCTGTACAATGATTATGTTTTTTGTGCAAATAAATAAAAAAAAAAAAAAAATTAAAACAAAAGGAACTGAGCACTAACTTGTGAGCCATGGGTATGTGACAAGAGCATTGTGGACAGGGCTCATGAGTTGAAGAGTCCGGCCACCGATCTTCCCCTTGTGTCCAGTCTCCCTGGTTGCCGCTGACACCACTGGTACTTCTAAATTTCCATTCATTCTTATGGCCCCTACCACTAACGAGCACCTCCCATCTTTCCAATTACTCATAGTGTCATTCAGCATAAATACATCCAAATGTGCCGCTTATTAATGTATAATTAAAAACTCAAAACAAGGAGTTTTGTTGAGTACCCTTCCAGCGAGAAACGTCTAAATTAACGAGGATAAGACTTTCAGTTTTCAATTTTAGCCATTGATATGTTAAAAATGAATTGTTGCCATGTGAGTATGACCTTTTCATTTTAAAATTTTGAATCAACATGAGTAACCCTTGAGAAGTACTCACCCCAAGAATATCTATCAAACATGTTTCATCCAGAGTGACTGGTGCTAGAGTATTTTGAGCAGAATTATCACTTTGATTTTCAACTAATTTTACGACTCGATGCCGACATAAAGCTCCAAGATGTCGTTCAAGACTCCGAACACCAGCTTCTTGAGTATAATTTCTAACTGCAAAAAATAGAATAAGATTTTATGAGAAAATTTTATCTGTGTTTACTGATGAAAGAGTGGATTTATTACCATTCACTGCCTTAAAATAATGAGAAATTACAACGTTAACTGCTGCCGCTTTTTGAAAGTCTATCACACCTTGCTAGGCTGGCCTGTAGGGACCGGAGAGAGTAGCCTTGAAAGAAACTGCTCTAGTGGCTCCAAAGAGATAAAAGCCAGTAAACCAACAGGAAAAAAAAAATGCTCTAGTAGCACCATCGGTCAGCGCGCATAGCACATGCGTGTGTAAACATTCCAGACCAGCGTCTCATGAAGAGTAGAACAAACGCAGAGTCTGCGCCAAATAAGTTTATGCACTTTTACACTGCAACAGAAGATCCGCCATCTTGATTCTTGCATTTACTATCAATGCTAAACTAACGTCAATCAATCTTCTGTCGAAGGGTAAAAATGCGTCAAATTCTTTGGAATGAACTCTAATAACTTTTTTATCTGGATTTCTTTCACCCAACATTCTTTTTATTTGATTTTCTTTCTTTCATATTGTTCGACTAAGTATCTAGTGATGTTATGCTTGATAAGATGAAGATAAAGTTGTTACACCTCATAAAGTAGATTTTAAAAACACATTAATAAGCAGTAAATATGTTAAAGCATCCCCACTTATTATTAATGGTGAATTAGTAATTTAGTTTGAGATATTTTTTTCAGTTTTATAAAAAAGGGAGAGTAATACATTTAACAAGTTTTGTTACAAATCTGCCAACTTTAGAGGAGTTCTAACAGGAGTTCCAGTTAATTTTAGTTTTGCAAAATAGTACGTTCCAGAACTTTCTCAACTACCAAATATGTGATTAAACAATCACAACTAAGAGGCGCACACACACATTCATACCACATTCTGTCACAGACATTTTAAACGGACACAAAAATTTCTACTCGTATCATTACACTTTATAAACTTACTTATTTCAATTATACAACTTTCAGGTACTTGTAGGCCACTATTTTCTAATCCATGCTCCCTCAATTGCTTTGGTAAGAGATGCTTCTGAGCAATTTGCAGCTTTTCTTCCTGAAAAATTAGTTACAATAATTGTTTACTGATAAGCGAGTTCATTTAGTGATATTTCCCCAGAATGGAACTCAGCAATACAATTACTTACACTCTCCATCTAAAGAGATTGAAAATGACATCGTTTGCTTTTACTTTGGCTTTCCACTTAAAATTTACTAATTTCAAAGTGGAAATACGTTCCCACGGCTAAAAAGAGTGATTAGGGAGTCATTGAGATAATTAAAACGTTGATAAATAGAATGTTCAAATGACTCAGAGCTCTTGCTTGATACTGTTATAGAACACTCATATTGCTGTTAAGACAAGCCTTAAAAAATCAATACAAAGTAACTTAGAAATCAATGAGATCTGCTTTCTGTAGAAAAAATAGAACCTTTAACGTGAGGGACAAGTTTGAAATTGTTCTCTTGATAACCTTTGTCCTCACTAGGAGAATGGTGATGACAGGCCATTAAGTAGAAACAGAGGCAAAAATGATTAAATAAAGAGAAAAATAAAGACTCACTTCTGTATATCCATTGAGTTTAATTATTTCCATCCGATCAAGTAAAGGCGCAGGTATCACATTAGCGTTATTTGCAGTGGCGAGAAACATTACTTGCGAGAGATCAAAATGTAAGTTTACGTAATGGTCTGTAAAATGTGAGTTTTGTGCAGAATCTAACACCTCCAATAAAGCGGCCGCCACACTTCCATGTGCACCAGATCCCTGATCATGAAAAAAAGTGACAGGAATATTAAAATAAAAGCAGAAACTTTATCTGTGGGTCTCATTTCTGGAAATGGTTTTGGCGCAAATGATTGAACTAATCACTTTTTTTTTCAACGAACTTAGAAATCAAGTAACCACTACAAATTTTTAAGTAGAGAAAATCTAAAATTTGGTGGAGTTGTTTCAAATCCTTCATTTACTCTGTTTCGTCCTTGGTTCTGTTAAGTGAATAATTCAAATGGAACAGTTTGAGAAAAAGCATAGAATCTATAACAAACATTTTACTGTGAAACTTTCGAAATTAAAACACATGACAATCGGATAAACCCTGGTTTCATGAAACTTTAAAATCTTAAAGATCCATGCATTTTACGAAAGGTATAAATTCTGATTATCAAACAGTTTCTTCAATAATTACAGATATGAGAAAGAAATTTCAACTTCAACAAAAGACACTGTACCACAATATGTACCATTTATAAATACGTTTACATACTTGGTAAACATATAAGCATCTATACTATTTACATACATGGATACAAATATTTTATACACATTGCAGATTTGCACCTATTTGACATCATCACAAGTGGAAAATCTCAATAAATTGGGAGGCCATTTGAAATGGAAATTAAAATTTGCTAAAAAGAAGCAGCAAAGGAGATTTACATTCTTTGGAAAAATTCTACTGCCTTAATTACAGCGCTCATTCAAATTTGCAAGCCAAAATTGTGTACTCAAAATCTGTGATATTAAGAATTAAATGTCTGTAGACGAGAAGGGAAAAAGGGCCTCACCACTTTATCTACTTCATCCAGTAATAGCACAGGATTGTTCACTCCTGTTGTTTTTAAAGCTTGAATGATTCGACCTGGCATTGCACCGAGATATGTTTTTCGATGACCTCTGATGTCTGATTGGTTATAAGTCCCGCCCAAAGATATGCTGCAAAAAAAAAAATTACGAAAAATGTCAAAGGATACATAAATTGTAGACAAATCAAATGACGAGTATTGACTAAAAACTCCTACAAGTAGCATCTCAATGGCTAATATAGTTTTTTTGAACAAGGGTAGCTATTAGGGATTTGAGATAAGCCCGTGTGATTTCCTGTCATAAATGGATGGAATGCAAATGATAAGGTAGGCACTTATCACATGATATTTTGTTTAAATCAAGCTTGATGCATCGATCAAAATGATTCATAGTTACAGTTAAATACATCATAAAGATAACTGGGTAAAACTGAAGCAATGTAATCTTTTGTTCTGCGATGACAGTTTTATTCTCTATAGAATTTTTTTAGTTTCTCTTACCAGTGAAATGGTCTCCCTGTTGTTTTAGCTATTGATTTGGCAATACTTGTTTTTCCGACACCAGGTGGTCCCACGAGACATAGAATCGGTCCTTTTTTGCTTTTGTTCAGCTGTCGCACAGCAAGAAACTCCAATATTCGTCGTTTGACTGATGTCATTGCAAAGTGGTCATCATCCAAATCCTGTAAAAGGTAAATATCCATTCAGAGAACACATGCATGGTATACACATAAGTAAGGTACATTCATAGAAAACATAAATAGGACATTCAGCGGATGCATTGCTGAAAAAATTGAATGGAATAAAAATAAAATTAAGTTCCTCAGGGATGAAGCCACTCATTTTTATAGAGGAAAGTAAAGGTTTGCAGGAAAGGAGTCTATGGTGTAGATGATTTGTTTCAAGACAAGCAGTGATCTTCATGATCAAAGTTTCGTTGAGGTACTTATCCCCTTTCGGAAAAAATTCAATGGGATGGGTCATTTGATGTACCAGGAATTTTCCTATTTCACTCAAAGGTGAATTTTTAGAGGGCATTTTCGGAAAGATCCGTCTAACTCTGCTACTCAATGGTGAAGCTGCTAAAATGCATATCTTGGTTGCGATGTTTCGAAATCTCCACTACTATTTTATTTTATAAAAGGAGACCGAACCAACATCATAGCTTGAAGTTTTCACAGAATCTTCTCTTTCTGCCTGTGTGCTTGGAGTCAAAAAAAAACTAAAGTCAGTGAATTTCAGAATACTGATTGGGTATGTAATTAAAAGAGAGAAAGAAAAAAAACCAGGAGGATGAAAAAAGTCCTTATAGCAATGCTAATTCTTCAAAAAGTAGATTTTACAAGCTTTGAAATGAGAGTGTTGAAACCTTTCGTGCTTTGTGTATATCCAATGTTTCAATTGCAGAGACATTCCACGGCAAGTCCATCAGAAGCTCGACATAGGTTCGAATGATACTATGCTCAGGGTGGAAGGAACCCATTCTCTTCAATCGTTGCAACTCTCGATTCAGAACTTTGGAGACATGTGCTGGCACACTAAGATCCCTGGAAAAAGAAACTGACCAATGGGAGACGGAGGAATATGAAAACAGATTTAACTGAAGCACTGAACAGATAAGAGATTAAGTACTCAGTTTTACAGATTTCCTTATCACACAAAAACTAAAATTTTTAAATTTATTAATTTAAACAATTAACTTTTGAACCAATACAGAAAGGTGGGGGGGAAAAATCTGGGGCTGTGCGAGAACTCGAATTTCGAGTCAGGTCGAGCCGAGTATCAGTATCTAGTACTTGACTCGACTTAAAAGATAGGTTACATTTGAGAAAATACACAAACTTGACTCCAATGCCAATAATATGAGTTTTTTCGAATATTTTGAGCTTTTCTGAGCCGGAGATGCCAAAAGAGTTCAACTCTTAAATTATTTTAATTATTCCACTATTATTTCTAGCTTTGCCATCATTTATTATTGTAAAATCACTTGTTAAAACTCAAAATTATTCGTACTCAAATCTAGCTCGACTTGGCTTGAGGGTCATGTTCAAAGCTCACAAAAGCACAAACTCAGCTCAAAACAGTGAAAAGATATTTGAATTCGGCTCTGATCCAAAAAATCAGGCTCACATAGCCCTAAAAAATCTTTTTGATTTTTGTAGTTTGACTTGAAAAATTGCTTGTAAAAATTACATCCTATGCCAATGACTTGCTGCACTTTTCCCCCAACAGCAGGTCACTTTTGGACATGGTATGATATTTAAAACGACTTCATCTTAAAAATGTGTTCAATCTTGTGAGATAAACAGCAGTGCAGGTATTAAAATGAAGAGGGATGCTTGTTGGACAAAAAATTAGAAAGGGCTGCTTTCTTCCTTTTAGAAGGAGTTTTTCCTAGAGCTTTCTGATAAGATACATATTTTCTGAGATTGCCGATTTTCAAAGGTTATGCTGCTTAGTTTTCCGTCCTTTAATTCTCATTTTATTGAAAATCCTCCTTCAGCTTTTATTAGATAGACATAAGCAAAAATTGATAAACAACATATCTACTTACTTTGCTCTTTTTATCAGATCACTGAGGTCATCACCTTCCTCGGAAAAAGTTCCCATCTCTAGGGGCTTCATTCGAGTTAGTTTGGAATTTGATGTTTTGAAAGGCATCAATCTTCTGTCATTCAAGCCGCTCTTGTCTAGTTCTGTAAAGTCACCAAGAAAAGACAATGAGAATATTGTGGACCTTAAAGTTAAAACTTAATCAGTGCATCACTGTTTACATGGGACGTTGGCAAATTTGTGAGCTCCTTATTTCAAAAAGTATTCTGCATTAAACATCCAATTTGATCAGCTGAGTTTCTAAGACTTAGTAGCTTTCGTCGAATTTAAAACGGTCATGCAACTTCCTTTTCTAGTTCAGATCTTGTCTAGTCGCTCATTCCTTGCTCAATACAAATGAAACTAATTTTTGGAACTGCAGATTTCCTCAGCAGCCAGCATTGCATGTGAGCCTGATTTTCCCCAAGTTTACAAACTTTTAATTATTTTTTATTTATTTATTTTTTTTAAAGATCTAGCATTTTTTTTGCATTTCTTCTATTGAATGCATGGGTTAGTTGGAATATCTAATAAAAAAGAACAAACATAAATTCTAATTTCTACTGAGAAATTTGATGACACAAACCTTGGATAAATCTTTGCATAATAGGGATTACTTTCTTTAATCTTTCGGCTACATCAACAGTATTTAGCACATCAAGTTTCTCCGCATAAGTGGCTGAAGAGTAGCTACAACAAAAATCCGCCAGTCTGCTCAATGGCATTAGATCTAAAATGTGCTGTAAAAAGAAGGATGTCAAAAAGATCAACTATCAACTAAACGTACGAACCGAAAGAGTCGAAAACAAACGAAACTAACGGAAAAAACCGAGGTAACAAACTGTGAGCTAATTAAATGAGAAAACAGAGAAGAATCGGAAAATTAAAAAACTCAAACTCACAAAATAAAATTTTTTATTTTGTGAGTTTGAGTTTTTTAATTTTCCGATTCTTCTCTGTTTTCTCTATCAACTAAACGATATTGAAAAGATTTTAATTACAATTAAAGATTAAGGAAATATACTCTTGACGGGGCCAGTTGCCTTGGCCCCTTGAGGGCGCCTCGCTGATCAGCCCGGCCTCACTTACTTGCTTACTTATATTCTTGACGGGAAAAAGAAATGCTTCACCTATTTTCAAAGCATATAACATGAAGACACATTTCAAGAAATTAACTTTTATGAAATGACTAATGAAGGCAGGGAATTAAAAATGCGTTATTTCTGACTGCATACTAACCTAACATTAATTCACAGCCACAAGGACGTTGATTGGAATGATGCCATCATTTCCAACGAACCTAGAATTTCCGGAGGATCATAAGATCGAGCAGGGTCAGGTGGTGATGATAGCATGATTCCATCCAAAAAGTGTACAGTAAGCGCAATGCTGATGTTCAGAAAACTACTCATTGTAGAAAAGTCATGTGAAGGTTGCCAAAACCACCTTAACAGCCGTTCCCCAGTCAGGCAGGCCATATCTTAATTCAAAACTTTTGGCATCTCAGTGAGGCCGTCGGACTGCCTCACTGTCTCTAAGACGCGTTGGACAAAAACCTTTGAGAAGCTTTGGATTATGAAATAAGACTTACACTCATTTTATCTGTGATATGAGAATAAGAGGTGGTCAATTTGGCAAACAGTTTGGCAGCCACATCGCGGAACTCTTGAGCAGTCGGGTCCGTTTTGCTGATTTCTTCACCTTCCATTAAGGGAGGATACAAAAAAAAAAAAAAAAACCCAAAACAGTATGAGAGTTTTTCAATAAATTAGATGTATAGATAGATTATAATTTTAAACAGCTTCTTCTAAAAAATATGCATCTTGAACTGTGAACTTTAAACTGCATTAACTAAGGCGAACCCAAGAGTAAGGTAACCTTGTGACTGTAGGTACTGTTTAACAAATATTTGTAACTTTTTTCAGCAATTGAACATTTCTTTGGTAAAGCACTGCTTTACTTCCATTAGGAATTACTCACTACCATTGAGGAGCGTACAGGCCTAATTTCTTTGCGCTTGCCAAAGTATCCTCAAAAAAGTTTCTTGTAAGTAAAGCAGTGCTTTACCAAACAACTTTTCGATGCCTGGAAAAGTTACTAATATTGATCAAACGCATTGACTGAGATGTAGCTTGACATTTCTGAGCTTTAGTTTTTTGAAGTGTCAAAGAAACACCCCACCATGCTACAATATCAATAAGTCAATTTTAGATTTTTGTGAGCTGAGGTCCTTGTCTTGTGGACAATCACAATTCGTCGTCTCCCGGACAAAATAATGTCACTACATTTGAATGTTGCCAAATTTTTTCCTTGCAAATTGCATTTTTACCTGGAGAGACTTGGATGGTTTTCACTGAAAATTTCACTGATTTGTCTCATGATCAATGCCAAAATCAGGAAAATTTTGGACAAAAATTGCTTAAGTACATTCTCGTAAAAAATTGAATTTTTTGAGACAATTTTGCAAGTTTGGAATGGAGGTACCTTCCTTCGTACAGGAAACAACGAATTATTTTAAGTAAAGGTGGAATTCTATGTTCAAGATTCCAATTCATGTCCTTTTTTGATTCCTTTCCTCTTTGAGGCATTCAGAGTAAAAATTTAAATTCATAATACCCTAAACAACTTATTTTCAAGTGATTTTCTAATTATTGGATCTTCCCTGGCATTCACTTATTTCTAACTTTCTTATAATTTTGCTTCCATAAAAAAGGAAGAAAGTAAAAAAAAAACCATGCCACTTGATAAAATAATAATAATCAACTGTGAAACTACCAGAACCTTGTAACTCATTCACCGAGTTAGAAGATCTTCACTTCCATTTTTGTTTCGTTTTTTGAAACAGAACAATTCAATATCATTCCTTGAAATTTTCACAGAGTTTCCTTTGCACAGAGAAGAAAAGTCCCGGAAATTTTCAAGAACTGACATTGAGTAGTTTTCCATCTAAAAGATTAAGTAAGGCTGGAAGTCTGTAACGTTACAAATCAAGATACGTGATTAGGTTATCACTATTATAATATTTCGTAGTACCTACTTAAAATTAATGAAGAAAGAGAAAATTTTCGCCATGTAAGTGATGAAAAATTTTGATACAGAGGAGCGGAATTTAGTCCCTCAACCTACCTGATTCATCTCCAAAGCCATCAAGCTGAGTGGCAATAGCAACGAGGTACGGCTCTTCCATGATCAGTTTGTCAACTCGGAATCGGCACAAACCAGAGACCAAAACCATAAATGTAGGCTTCGGCCAGGAAGTCCTGGAAATATGGAACACTTGCCCAATCACACCAACAGTATCTTTGTCTATTGTCACAGCCTGAAAACCAGCGGAGATAAAATAAAATACATCAAGGAGAAGGATAGATTTCTGTGTCTGCTTTGAAAAATGTTTGCACTCTTAAAGAAGGGTATCATTGAGGACCAAAATCAGTTCCACCCTACCGCTGAACTTGGTCTCATCCTAGAATTTTGTAACTCCAGTTTATTTTGAAAGAAAAGGGTTTAAATAGATAGGGTCTCATGAGATACATATTTTACCTCAGGCTATATGGATATATATATTGTATATATATCGTGGTGCAGTATCTTCTACAACTCATTGCCTTTTATACCTACTCCTAGATGCAGTAGCTTTTGCAATTTAATAAAATATTTGGATTATTTGAAGTTCTTGGAATGAAAAAGAGAATAAAAGAAAAAAGAATTATAAACTTACTTCAGACGAATCCTCTGCTTGTTTTGGAACAATTCCAATGATAGGATTCGGAGATGAATTTGACCCCAAAAGTTGACTCCTGACCATGTTGACACTGAAATTAGAAGGAAAGAGGGGAAAAAAAAATTACTTTCAGCAGGACTGAATAACCTTAAATAGCAATTGAACAGGGGCAGATAGGCAGGCCATTTCCCGCAGAAGGAAAAATTCCGGCCGCCCGATACTTAAAATGATTAATAAAAGAATTTGCCCCTGGCGATAGGTTCCTTAAGCTATTGATGTTCCTTCCTTTGTTTCCACTCTTACTTGATAGTTTGTCGGAAAAAATAGTACACATTTAGTGCATGGTTTGGGATCTGCAGATAAGAATTCCTAACTTAATGAAAAGAGAATGTTGAAAATGAAGAATTTGCATAAGAAACTTTTGCTGCTTCATAAGAAAAAGCTTGCTGGGTCGTATGAAAGTGCTACATATCGACGGTGTAAGTCGGCAATCGCATAACTCGGTTTGCAACGTCGCAGACTTCTTGTCATACTTCATTTTTTAAACAGAAAACTACTCAACAGCAATTCTTTAAAAGTGCCGTGATTTTTCTTACACATGAGCAAATGCTACGATAGTACTGCGTATGCCACTTTGTACAACATTATATAGCTATATGTAATAAAATACAACAGAGATCTGGTCTGTAATCAAGCTCTCTACAACATGCTGTCCTATGGGAGAGAGACCTGGATCCTTCAGTCGTTCTGTACCCAGCCCTTGTGAGGGAGTCCTCTTTTCTTTCTTACTTTTTCTTAAGTTGTCCTCTACAAATTTTATAAACTTTTTTTTATTTTGTATGATATTTTTCATTTTGTTTTAACTGAATTTATTTTTCAGACTTTTTCTTACCTAAGTACATACTTACTTTATCTTACCTGGGGAAGAAAGAGAGATCAGGGAGCACACGATGTTACCCATCTAAGAAATGAAAAGCCTTGGAATTTTTTATTGTTGGACATTGCTTCTTTTTATCATCCTACCAAATGAGCTAAGCTGAATCGCAGGACAAAAGGTTCTTTCATTATTCCTTCACTTTTTTGTTAAACATACTTTTACTTTTATTCAATAGTTGTCCTCACTTGAAACACAGTCACAACCGATGACTTTTCCAGATTCTATCATGGCAGCAAAATTTCTGCTAGAGGATACAAGTTAAACTTTCAGTGATGTCAAGACATCCAGAGACTCGGAGAAAAGAGGTCAAATTTTCAGGTCTTGCTCTTGGTGTGGGAGATTATCCTTATCCATATTATCATTCTTTATCCTTTGACAACCCTATCAAAATAGAGTTTGTGTTCTTCTTTCAACTTATACTAAAATTCAAAAGGTTCTTAGTCGGACTTACTTCCGAGATTCTGTGATGGGAATTTTCACCGTGACACCTGGAAGGAGTACATCGCTGGTTGTGATGATAAGTGGAATTTTCCTTGGAAATACATCATTAGCGAAAACGACCATTGTCAAAATAGACTAGGCGGAAATTTTTAAGGATTAAAAATTAATGGCATGAATGCTGAGCAGGATTCGTGGCACTTATCATAGGAGAACTCCTGAAGAAAATTGGAAATTGGATCACACATCAATTTACTACAGTACAGAATCAAAACAAGTCAATCACCTAACCTCTCAAAATAATGACAATGACAGAGTGATATTTTTGAAATTGGTAGTATTAAAAAACATCTGCAGTTCGATTGTTGAATCGCTATCGAATAATTTTGATCGATAGATCTCTACCTTAGCAATCCTTTCTATCGATCAAGGTCATTCAATATCGATTCAACAATCGAACCAAAGACATAAAGACGGAGTGCTCGTATCTAAAAGCACGGGGAAAAAGTGAAGCTAGGTTCGGCGCTGCGCGTTTGTGTGAGTGTGTAAATGAGCGCGGGAATCCATGGCGGCAAACGGAAATTTGATTTGAACTTGTCCTCTTGATTTTTCCTTATTTCTTCTTCGAAACGTGTTTTAAATGCTTAAAACGATTATATTAAGAAAGTTCGGTCTGCGTCCTAATATATTACACCTACTTTTGCTCGGTAACAGGCAGTAATCTCAGATAAAGTTAGTTTTTCTTCTGCTTATGGTGGTTCTGCAGGTTCAAACAGGCCGTTACAGTTCTAGATCTACGTTACTCCCAAATGAAATCAGTCGGTCGACGACGGACCGAAACTAACCTAAAGTTAATAAAATATGAGGGTGTACCTGAATTTGGGCAAAAATCAACCTAAAATACTTTGTTTCCGCAATTTTATTTATTAGTTCCCGCCCTACATTTGAATTCAAACTTGTCCCGATTTCGCCGCCAATCCTCTAGCCAATAGTAGAGGTGATTGAAAAGAAGCTCTAGAAGCTTCATTTTTTGCTTTTAGTGCTCCGTCTTTATGTCTTTGAATCGAACCGCAGAGATGATAGCAAACCTCTTCTCTTTCTACTACCAGTCTCAAAAATATTATTAGGCAGATAGATTTTTTAGGTTACTCCTCTGTCTTCTTCTTGTCGACGAAATGTACTCGCCCTTTTCTTTTGATCCCCTGAGCTGAGTCTTAAATTTTCCTTCCCTAATTGATTTTGATTCTAGTTCGGCTTATCACAGGTTTACATTTATATTTCTTAAGTTTCTTTAATACTACACGCATGTGATTCCTCGAAGCATGATTTTCGTTTTGTGGAAAGTGCCTCGGTTCAGTATGTGCTTGCCTTGGGACTCCGTTCAAAGCAGATTTTAACTTTCAATTTTCTCTTTGACTTTAAAGCTAGTGCAAAGTTCTTATTGACTGTAATGCAATATACATTCGGAAGTATCTCTCTAAACTAAATGGACGTCTACTCCTTTTTTACAGTAACTGTCATCATTTTGAAATCTGTGGAGTGTGGTTACAAATCATGAGAACTCAGCAGATGTTTACATTACTGTGTTATCACTAAATCATACTTGGTCTGTATCAATTAGATGTCAGCTGGAAGTCCCCTTGCTCAATCATTGATTAACGTTATTTCCAAGAAATGTTCCCGGGTGTAACCGTCGCAAATCTTGTTAGCAACTCACCCCAGATTACCCTTTTCGTTATGGTAATTCTACTCTCCCACTTCACACATCCACCAAACCTTTCAAAACCTACTGAATTTATCAGGTGCCCAATTGTGTAAGTTCAGACTTTTCCAACTTTTATCAATCAGCTTGCAACTCTACCTCCAAGTTGTCTCCCACAAATTGCAGCCATGAGTGATGACATTGGAGTCAATCGCGGCGCTGAGCAGAAAATTCAGTTACTACAAGAAATGAGGAGCAAGAACTTTGATGTCATTCGTTTTGCCTCATATCGAACAGCTTGTAAACTCCGCTTCATCCAGAAAAAAACTCACCGTAAGTTCCCTTACTTTTGTCAATAAGATTTATTCTCATGGAAGAATTAAATCCACAGTTAAGTAATGCATTTTTATTTTGACAGCAAATATGCATTCTGCTGCTCACATAATAACATGTCATTCTGGTATCTTAGGGAGACTATTTATTGACTAAGAAAGTAGAAAGCACCTTGAAATCTAGCCTGAACTGCATGTAACAAGGTTGTAAAATAGTGCTGAGTCCACACTTTTTTGAGGAGAATGTAAGTCCAAACAGTTCAAAAATTTCAATTGAGTCAGAATTTTGAGCTGTAATGAGGTATCAATATAGGACTGAAAGATAGAGTATTGAGCTCAGGCAGATGCATTGGAATGGGTCATGCCGTCTGCATAGATTATTCTCATTTAACTGGATGAAAAAAGAAAAACGTATTACAGGAAAATATATTGTGTGTTTTGTAAATATTAAGGTGGTTCCGTGTCAAATTTAATGATTTTCAAAGCACTTTAAGTAATTTTTTCTTTTATATTTTGTGCTTTTATGTGCTGCAGCGTGGTGTACGCGCAACCAAATGCTCAAAATTGGACGTATTTGGCTCTGTGTCTCCAGTTTTAAGTTTTATTAAGTTCAGTGATGACATTTGAGTTTTCTTTTTTCTTGTAGTTCACATGATTGACATCTGGAATGTGATCGAAGCATTTCGCGAAAATGGATTAAACACCCTGGAAGCTCAAACAGAAGTGAATGTGTCTCGATTGGAATTACTCGTTTGTAGCTTGTATCACAATTTAAACAAACGACTCCCTGTGTCTCAGCAAGTGAATGTTGAATCCTTGTCCAGCTTACTTTTGAATTGGCTTCTCTCTGCGTATGCTGTGTGAGTATTTTCAAAGATTCTATTCCTACCTCAGCTGGTTCGTATAACAGACAAAGGCAAGCAAACTACTGGAACTGAAAGTTCAATTGAAATGAGACATAATTATTTTCATCAGCAAGGACTTCAATACCTGGACATAAATCAGACTTATGTTTGTAGTGTGACACTTTGGTGAGATAATGTATCAGAGATGTTCTTTTATCTTGCAAAAGAATTGTTAATGGTAAAAATTGAAATTAAGCGTTGCGCAGGGATGCAGAACGTTCTTAGCCTTCCCATTTTTCAAATTGCCTTCCCATTCAAATAACCCCTTTTTCTTCAGAAAAAGCAATAAGATGGCTACTTATTCATGGCTCCGTTTGTAGGAATTGTCTCGATTTCGCGAAAAACGCGTGATTTTCATCGCAGCATAATCGGAAACACATGACTTTTACGGAAGCTTTGCAAAAAAAATTCGATTTTGCTGGCTTTGCCATTTGAATCAAGACGTGCAAAAACCGCTAATGTCCATTACTCCAGTCTCCAATTTTTTGAGTTGTTAATACTTTTAAAGAGTTGATACAACCATTAAAGTGATGAAATTACTCATTTAGGGATTAAAGTAATCCGTAGTTACCTCTAACTCTGGAAAGTATAATCAACTCAAAAAAAACTATGGACTGGAAAAATGGACATTAGCGGATTTCGCACGTCCCGATTCATTTATTTACACCGTTTTAGGGCCTTCCCGTTTTCACACGCGACCAAGCGCGACTCGCCCGGTCAACAAGTTTCTGCACCCCTATCGTTGCGTTAGGCTCTTTTTTTATTTCACCATCTAACCTGCGCTCTTCTTTTTTTCAGCGAAACACTTCGAAGAATCCGAGTCTTCTCAATTAAGGTTGCTCTAGCTACAATGTGTGCTGGAAAGCTGATGGATAAATTAAGATGTAAGTTATTTGTCTGTAGTGCTTATGATAACCTATTGCTGATGCTTTTAGTTATATCACACACACACACAAAACTGTCCTCTCAAAAACCCATGTCTCATCAAATCCAACTGTTAAGGTGTTTAAAATTATTTTTATATCTGTATTAAGTACTTCTAGAAGTATAACTTTTTCGGTCAAAATTTCCAAAAGGTTAACCCAATAAAAAATTGTCACCCCTTTTTCATCCAGGAGTATCTTAGATTTCAATAAGTTAGTAACATTAGGTTTCGTCTGTAGAAATGTATGTAAAATAATTTATATTTATCGAGGTAGAAGGCTGATTATTGAAATTGATATACAAAGTCATAGACAAAGAAGATGCGTGGCGTGCTTTGCGATTGATTGGCCATTTAAGCCCATGGAAAAGTATCGATAAACAGGGTGTTTGCAGCGAACACCTTAATAATCAATTATTTACTACAGCTTCAAATGGGGAAATATTGATAGATCGCAAAGCACGCCACGCCACTGAAGAAAACATAGGCAGTATTGAGCAATCCCATTGTTTGAAACTGGTGGTTCTTACAGACTAAGGTGAAAATGATGGACTAACTGAAGGGTCTCTTGTAGGTTGCTGTTCGTTAGTCTATTACCTACCTCCTTTGTCCATTGCAACCACCCGCTTCCACCAATAGCGTTCCTCCTAATCCATTTTGTCTTCTTTACCCATAGCTTTGTATATCAGTTTCAATAATCAGCCCGCTAGCTGCTGCCCTCAAAATTGATTCTTTGAATGGATTTGAATGGAAGAAAATTTTGGCAACTTACGCGAAGCGCCACTATATATTCTGCAGAGTAAGTCAATGGAGTTTTTATTTTGTTTTGCAGACCTCTTTTCGCAGCTTTGTGATGGAAATGGTCATTTAATTGCATGGAAATTAAGCGAGTTTTTGCAGCAAGTTCTTGCCTTACCAGCCGCTGTGTATGAGTCACCCTCCTTCAGCTACAGCGATCAACTTGCTGCCAGTATTTTTGCTGGGGTAAGTATGACTTTGAACCATAATATTTTAATTACAACCTGCACATTCATTGACGCAGATAACTTTGTTTACCCATATATTTTGAAATAGGCCATTACACAGGGTCTTAACTAGAAAAACTGTAACATGTTTTCTCCTCAAAATCTTAAACTAAGTCATCTGTATTTTTGCCATTTAACCAATGTTAATTGTATACACTTATATCTTGCTCAGGTGTTGATTTCCAGACATTCCATTACATAATTTTGCTCGTGAAATTTATAAGAGGAATCATGCTGTGTAATGTTTCAGCTCATACCTTGTCTATTGACCGTTTTTGTGGTAACGTCACATTTCGAGATATATTGCGATTTTAGGCCTGGTGCCCTAACCGGGATTTGGTCGGTTCGATTTACGTGGGATTTCTTGTAAGGAACAGAAAGTCAATTTTCAAACACTGATTTGGGGTAGTTCCAGACAGTCAAATCCCGAATCCCGGTTAAGGCACCAGGCCCTAAAATCGTGATATATTTCAAAATGTGACATAACAGTAAAACAGTCTATTGGTCCACTGTGAAAAAAGGAACTACTTTTTTCCATCAATGTTTGAATAAAGACAAATAAAAATAAATCTCCTGAGGGCAAGTGCTAACAAGTTAAAATAAGAAACATTTAATTATTTTGAGGACCTCATGAAAAAAACATATGCACTTTGTACTTTGAACTTAGTACATTTTGAACCTAAAGATAGTCACTATTTAAATGTTTCAAGTCCAATATTGTTTTCCTCATTTTTTAGAAACTTACAAACTTTAAGTTTTAATTTTAATGCATTAATTTATGTGAGCAGATTAATGAAAAAATGCAATGTGTTTTTCCTTTGCAGATGAGTAAAGTAACAGTAAACGATTTCATGGACACAATGATGGCTGATCCTGGACCTCACTGTCTGGTTTGGCTTCCTTTGCTTCATAGACTAGCTGGCATAGAAAATGGTATATCTTTTATCCTCAATTTACTTTTTAACTATTTTTCAGTCGCTCTATGTTCATTTACTTATTTATAAATCTGTTCATTCCTTTACTTATCTCAAAATCAAGATTGCCCATTTTAAATCGACAACTTATCTTCAATAACGGGCAAACTACACTTCTTTACAGTTAATGGCATTTAGTCCGTCGTGTTGTCCTTAGTGCAAAGAATGATATGCCACGTATTACTCAGTTTTCGATTTTTAGGGATCTTAGCCTGTTATTCTTGACAAGGCTTCAATTATTGTTCATTTGTTAAGTGAGCACAAAGACCAATTGCTTCAAAGCACTTTTTACTTTTTAAAAAAAACCGAAACCAATCAGCAAAAACAACTGGAAGGCATGGAAGTATAGCAAACAAGTTTACACTAAAATCAGTTTTTTACAAACAATTTTTCAGTTTTGGAGGCCAGTGTCTTATGAAAAAATTTCAGTTTTTCAGAATTAGGGATCCTACGCAGGTACAGTAATATTTTTATGCTTAAAAAAAAGAAGATAAAAAAAGAAGTAAAAAAATGAACGAAGAAAAAGAAAAAACAACTCTTTGTGGCTCCTTTTTAGCAACCTCAAACCCCTGAATGATTATGGTCAAATAACAAAAATTGAAAAAACAACTGATCCTTTAAAGAGAATTTTGTTCAAATTTTTCTCTTTCAGTTACACACCCGACGGTATGCGATGGATGTCATAAAGAAAATTTTTCTGGATTTCGGTATAAGTGCATGAAATGCCACAATTACCAAATGTGTCAAGAATGCTTCTGGCATGGTCGAGTGAGTGGAAACCATACCCTAGAACACGAAGTGAAAGAATACACATCCTACGTAAGTCATTTGAACCTTTTTTTCCCATAACATTTGTTGTTTAAGTGTTTTTGAAGGCCTCGATAATTACACCCTTGAACAAACTCGACAATTCCATATTTTTTTTCCAGCCTTTGAACTCAGTATAGTAAGCAATGTGTAGCAAATGTAGGGAAGTAGGATCAGAAAAGTTTGATAAAAAACTGTCTTGAAGTTGTTGTGAGCGTCACAGAGAGAAAATTATGAAAAATCGTGTATCTTTTCTTTGAACACTTTTACATTTGTCCTCGTTAGTTTTATTTGCAGCAGTACTTCTTATATAACTATATACCTACTTTTTTTTCCATTAGAAATCTCCAAGCAGGCAAATTGGGCACTCCTTGCGGAAATCATTTCGATGTGTTCCTGATAAGGGGAAAGCTAGCATCCCTCGATTCCCAGAAGAGCCAGAAAAAACCATTAACCTATCACACATAGTTCCTCCTTCACCTCTCCCATCGCACAATGGTTTTGCTGACTACGATGTTTCATCTATGGATAGCCGATCAATTGCACGTAGTCCGAGGTATACGTCTAGTCTAGAATCAAACAAATTGGATGATGAGCATAAGTTGATCGCCAGATATGCAGCAAGATTAGCTCATGAAGCAAGGAGTGTTGTAAGTTGAACTTTCCAATACCATTTTCAAATATCTTGGACAATTGAAAATCATTTTTGATGACGTATACTTATTTTGTATAGTATTCTATCTCCTGTTTGTGTAAGTAATACAATTCATTTAGAACCATCTGTAACTATCATAATACAAATGAAGAAAACCCCAGGTCTTTTTTTTTTCAAAATTTCAATGCGGAAAAAGTAATATAATTTCATTTGCAGGGGACTCGTTACCATTATCTGTTTTTTAAAATCTGTATTTTCGAATATCAGGTCTTTTGATAGTAAATGTTTTCTGTACATATCCATCCAGAAACAACCACATGATATTGCTTTAAAGCGAATCTTATTTGAACAGAAGTATTTTTACAGGAGAAATCCCCTGTATCCAGAGATAAATTGTCCCTTTTTTAAGCCTTATGCAAGAAAGGAAAGGATCATTTTACAAAAAATCATAAAAAACACATTCAGAAGGAGTCAATTTGTACAATTTTTCAGTTTTCCGGTATATTGAGGTCTTTTGATCAAACATATTTTAAATTGCTTGTATTCCAATTTTCAGGAGATGCATCTAAGAGAGAAAAATCTGAAAATTCCTAGAAGCTCAGTCCACTCTGTACTTTCAGAAAATAAATTTTAAAAAAATGGGCTCCACTGACTCATTGCATCTCAGGAAGTGTTAGTCTCAGTATTTTTTTAGCAGAGATCTGTTATGCCAAATTTCTGTTGCTCTGTCATTCTCAGGAAACATGTCATTATTGTTTCTTTTAAGGCTTAATAATGAGTGGAATATGAGTTTCTTGTGAGTCTTGAGTAACTCATATTGATATTAACAGTTTTTTAATTGGATCTAATTTTTAATTATTTTGATAAATTTCACAGGGAAGGACTCCATCCGAAGGATCCCTCAGTTTTGACGCATCCAGAGCTCAGAGAGAATTAATTCAACAACTAGAAGCCAAAAATAGAGAAATCATGAGGGAAATTGCCAGATTGAGGTTAGTTTTATCTCACCATAGATCGCTCTTTCTTTTTTCCTGGTAAATAGTGCTTCAGTTTCAATTCGCAAATATTATTATAGTCAGCTCTATCAACAAATTCAATTCAATACACGTTCTAAATTAGAAGGTTTCATACGTTAGCAGCACTAAATCTACAGTGTAAACTTTCATATCCATCCCTAAGTGTTAGTTGCAGGGCGATTATTGAAATTCTGCGATAGAATTGATGACATACTATTGGGAACTCATGAGGTGCCCTTAGCTTGTCTTTAAATCTACCTGACATAGGCACAACAAAGAAGCGATAAGATGTAGCTGACCAATTACACTTCGCCATTACATCCATGTCATCTATGTCCGCCTGAAAAACACAAAATTTCAAGAATCAGCGCATAGGGGTGCAGAAAATGCTCAATCACATGCTTGCCTGGGCGCGTGAATAAGTGGAAAAGCCTCCAAAAATGTGGGGAAAGAAAAATTTTCAAGGGTCAAAAGTCAAAGGAAAATGGAAGCTGAAGGTCATCATTTTTGAAATTAGTGGTAAAGTTGCTGGGAAGCTAATGAGGAAAATGTGAGAAGCTGGTAGTAGGCGCATAAAAATGTGGAAGCTTGGAAAATTCTGCACCTGTGGTGTTAGTTGTGTCATTCTGCAAAATATTAAGATCATTTATATATTATTTTGCCTAAGTAGTTTAATACATGCTGGATTTTCTGAATTTTTTTTTTTTTTTTTTATTTTTTTTATTTTTTTTTTTTAACTACTTGGAAACTTTTTCCATCTCTCATCTAAATCAAACTACCGAAATCATACAATTTTATCTTTGAAATATTTGAAATTGTTACAGACGGCAGCAAGAGTTAGAAGGTGCAAATTGTCTTGATGGGGACCCTGAACTAGTAAGTGAACTCAAAGAATTACGGCAACGCAAGGATGATTTAGAACGCCACCTTGCTGCTCTGCAAGACTCTAGGCGGCATCTCATGATTCAACTCGAAAGTCTCATGAAACTCCTAAAGGTACAGGACAAATTCATTAGATTTAATTATAATTTTGGATGGCTGAGATCGCTATGTTATCTCAGGTACCTTTTAAAAAAGTCAATTTTTAGCCATAAAACTCCAATGTAATTATCTTTTCCAATGCTGCTGTTGCATGATTCAGAAATTACTTTGAAATTTTTTTTTCTTTTAATTTTTTTTTATTAAGTTTTGCTCGATTGAATTTTAGCTAAAAATACGTCTCTAAGCTAATAACAGCTCAAAACACCTTTTTTGACTAAAATTTAGAGTTTGAAGGTGTAAATGTAAAAAAAAAAAAACATTTCTCATTGGCCTGAAGCTTTTGATGTCAGAAAAGGCAACGCTCCATAGTTGCAACCACCACAATTTTAAGGTCACATAGTATCTGTACAGTTCCTATCATGAACAAACAATTTTGTATACAAAAAAATGGCAAGAATATTCATTTCTAACCCTCGAATGGGTACAAAATTGCCAGCATGGTTAGCCTTGTTTTAGATACATAACCTCTCATTGCGATCAACAAGTGCACTCATTACAAAAAGTAAACAAACAAACATGGGTCAAAGGATAAACAGCAGCCAATTTTTCTTGTGACATCACAAAATCTGTCGGCATAATATTTTTCTGCTTGTAATAGGGTTGAATTTTTGGCGACTTTGATAGTCATTATCTCGACTAAAATTTGATCAAATGAAAAATGGAAAAATACAGGTACTCTCATTTCTTACACACTTTCCAAAACCAGACTATGGATCTCCTTTTTGTAGCCCCAAAATTCTTCAAATTTGAGCTTTAGAAATTGAACTTTTAGGTACTAAATCAACTCTTAAGAGTTCAGCGAAAATATTTTAATTGAATTCCTTCAGGTTAATCCAAGACCGGAGAGTTCACTCTCAAGTCTCAAATATGAGAAACTTTTGAGTTATACATGCAACTTACTATCTATAACACCATGTATTGGACGGATAGTGTTCTCTGTGATTCCTTTATAATAACAAAAATTCAAGTTTCAAGTGAATTCCAAGAACTTAATTGCCTCGTACTATTTCTAACTGTTATTTCTCTTCTGCAGAGTCAGCAGCCTTCATCCAGGGCAACTCCCAACTCCTCTCCAAGAGCTACAAAATCTCCGCCTCCCTCTAGGTCTGCTCCTCCGACTCCGGTTCTAATGCCTAACAGTACGGCCATGGACTCTTTAACGAATGATATGCGCTCCGTGTATACCTCATCCACCATAGGTAACAGCCAGAAATTTTTTCGCATGATCCTGTTTCCTCTTAAGTTACAAACTGAATTCATTACAATGAAGATATGATCATCGAAGATGATCAAATAATCATCCATCAAGAAGTAATTATCAAACAGCTTTTTCTGACGAGAAATCTTTCTGATGTTTTCTCAGAATAAAAATTGGATCCTGTCGGGGCTGAAATTAAGTTATGCTCTTCAGATGTCCTGAAAAAAAAATGGAAGCAGCCCTAAAGACATGTTTTTAAGACTGAGTCGGTTTCTATCAGTAAATAATTTTCATTTTTTTTATTTTTCTGCGTACCGTTCAAAACAGCTAATCGCAATAGTTAGGCTGAAATTTTCTGCTTTACACATTTTCATTCAGTCTCTTTGAAAGAAAATAAAATTAATTAAAAGATAAAACATTTTATCATTGAATCATGTCTATGTGGCTTGCTGTCAACAAATAGATCAAGACACTTCCTGCCAGCATATTTTATCGCAAGCATTCCTGCCGGGCCACAAAACTAGAGAACATGAAAATTAGATTCTTTCAAACGGCAGCATTAATTGCTATGCCAGTACTGGTTGAATAATCCGCAATCAGCACCTTCAATGCACAGTGAAACGTAGGTCACTGTAATTATTTTGGCCTGGCGTGACTAACAAAAAAACGTCGTTATGACCGGCTTGACAGTGAACGTTTTAATTCTGTTGATTTGCATTTTGTTGAGCTGTAGTGGCTCCATTAATTTTCTTAATCGAATAGAATGATTCAAGTATTAGTTACTTCTAAGATATCTTTCAGAGAGATTCTAAGAGATCATTCTTTTTTTAAAATATGTGCAAAAAAAATCTTACTGCTTATGAAACCTGTAATTATAGGTTATCATCTCTGAAATATCCTGAATTAGTGATCTCTAAACCTAAGGAGTGGCTTCTCTTTAACTGTCACAGATTTTTATAATCATTATTCGAGACTCAAATTTCATTGCATTTCTATGAGGAAGATTGAAAAGGAAATAAACAACTGCTTATGAATAGCTTTTGCATCAGCTATCAGAAATTAAAATTGCCTCTTGAAATGCGTACTTATCAAATGTAGGTTAAAACGTCTACTGCAATAGTTTATCTCATAGAACTTTCTGTATGGTTCCAGGTGCTCATTGATTTGGTTTCAAGTTTTTCAAGTAGTTTTATTTTTAGAGAAAACATGTATTAAATCGGTCAAGTAACTTTCAATTCACTACTTCTCTCGTAACCCCTTTTAAATTGTGGAAATAATTTTTACAAGGAGAATCAGCCATCAATATTTTAACTAATTTTCATCGAAATCACGTCCTACTAAACTTGTTTTGCAATCAGTGCCTTGCCTTCCTGATAAAATTTTAAGAACCACCTTTGCTGAAGGGACCAATTTTTAGGATCCATCTACAATTTCCTAAGAACTCAATTAAGTTTTTGCATGCACATCATGGTGCATGAAATTGCTTTGCGATTCCAAGTTTGAACAAATCTATGGGGTGCGTCAACTTTTTCAGGCGCCCTATTGATCTGGCCCTCTCTACTTTAAGGCGCATTCTTAGGCGCAAGCACCTGGGGAAGGCAGAGTACTTTTGGCAATAGAATTTAACCTTGAAAAGGACACCTTCAAATCAGATCGTCTTTATAAATCATGGAATTCTAGAAGGGCTATAAACTATCAGATTAACGCTCCTTTACATTCCTAGTGCGCGTGTATCATTCATATCACGCGTAAACCCTGTTCGCTTTCCAAGTTGAGTAGCAAGTAAGCTGTACAATTATTATTGCAATCGCATCACTGATCAACATTGTAGATTGAATATGGCTTTTGTTCCTTTGAAAGGTACGCTTTGTAAGACTTTTCATTAAGTAGAAAATTGGTGTAGAACATTGAATATTTTCTGCTAGGTGCTTCTTCATCTTCATTGGCTAGTTTAAGTGGTGGTGGGACTGGCGGAGGCCAGTCAGCCGATAGTCATGCACCAGATGGGCGGAGCTTGCGCAATGATTTGCTTGTTGCAGCAGATTCAGTAACTAATGCAATGTCCTCGCTTGTTCGAGAGTTGAATTCAGGTTCGAATTTTGCAGCTCATGTGTGTTGCTTCTCGTGAACATAGTACTTTTGTTCAGTTTCTGGCTTTTTTATTATTTTGCTTTCAAGCTTTCTTTTCCATTTGCCTGCAGTCGAAGTGTAATTAAAAGTCTTGAATTGCATTTTCACTTTTCAAAGTTTTACGTTGAAATAAAAGTTCAGAAATCAGCGCAGGTATCACAAGTAACCAGGCGCTTCTTTTATGTATCCGTAACTCGTGTAGATTCATGACTGATTTTGAGTTCCGCTCCGTTTATCCTCCAAAGATCAAATCTGCTAGAGATCAATTGTCTCAAAAATAAATTATCATGTAAATTGTATGAGTTTTAAGGTATTAGTATCTAAAAATGAAGGAAAATGTGCAGTAGATAGAAGTTGCATCGTTTGATAAATTGACATATTTATGCTAAAAGGAACTATGTTACAAGCAAACCCTATGCACATAGTTCCTTTTAGCATTAATACCCCCAAATGGCATGAAGTAGTGCTACAAACTACAAATTCACAGTGAATTTCCTAACCATGTATCTCGGTTTGCAACATTGCAGACTTTCTAGCATTGTTTCTATTTTCTGAGGAAATCCATTCAACTTTGTCACTTAAAAACTTCCTTGATTTTCCTGCTCTGTGTGAAGAGTATCGTGTGAAAATTTCAAGGAATGATGTTGATTTGTTCCTTATAAAATAATTGAAATATGAAGGGAGATTTTGAAACTCCGCAATCAAGATACGTAGTTTGGGAATTCCAGCGTCGGTGATGTCTTTACTTTCAAGCATTTTATCCTCAATATCTGAAGAGAGACTCTCAAAAAAAAAAAAAAAACAATCCATATCCAGCACACCAAGTGTTTACCAACAGAAAGTCTATAATATTTGTAGAAAAAATGTCCGAATCTCTTTCTGATTAATTAATGTTCTCGACATTTATCCTTTGAAGAACTGTAATGCTGCGCGTATTGAAGCTAATGTTTTTTTATAAACCTGCTCATCTTGCCTAAGAGTTGATTTTTGAACTCTCTACAGAAAGATATATTTTCTACTTAAAATTTTGAGAATAAACAATGCAGTGCAGTGGAACTATTCATACTTTGACAAATGGCCCATCATGATGCCAAAAAGAAAGTGGACGTTTGATTATTTTTTTCTGATTTCTCAAGCTGAATGATTTGTAAACAGAGTTGGCATTGTCTCCTCTTGTAATTGACTAGTAAGTATTAAATGTTTAAAAAAGGGTTAAAATATTCTTCTTCCGTTTCTTCTTTTGTCATCATGTACCAGTTGGCCGCAGAATAAAGATTCCTAGCCAGTTGAATGCCTACCTCATTAGATGTTTGTGAAGAGAGGAGGATATCTAAATTAATTGAGTTCTCTAACTTTAAACAAACTAAAAGCAAGACCAGACTAGTTCAGTTGCCTCCCCCCCCCCTCCCCCCAAGTTTGATCCTAATCATTCTAGTACAAAGTATTTTATTCAGGCACAGTATCATTATTTTTACGAGAAGAACAATTTTGTCGAGTTTTCAAGAGTTCATCTGGTCATCAAAGACTCTGTACCAAGAAGTAGAGAAGAACAGATAAGAACAAAATAGAACCTTAACTTTCGGGTGCTAAGTACATATTGCTTTTATTCTGTGGTCTGCCAACAAAAACAAAAAAAAAAAACAAAAAAAATATGTCTAATTTTCTCAAGTTTTTGTTTAAGTTCCATTTTTATTTTCTGTCTCCTTTTTTTGCTCCTATTCTTTTTCTTCCCTTTTAGCTCAATTGTGTGTGTCGTAATGAATCACAGCAGATTGCATAGCTTTCCAACTTTGATTGAGCAAATGCTTCTTTTGGAGTCTGAATAAGAACTCCTCTGCTACGAATGCAAGGAACCATGAAATTTATCAAGGCAGTAGGATGGACGGTCTTATTAAAGGAATCCCGTTTTCAAGGTGAAAATTTCTTACGCTTACAGGAAAAGGTGCATCCTGTGAATACTGTTTTGGAAAAAAAAAAAAAATATCATGCTATCCTCTTAAATGGCCCCACCAAAATTATCAACAAACCTTCTAACTTTTAAAAGCCAGACTAATCACAATTGAACACTCCCTCTCTCTTAAAATATGTGTAAAAGTAACAAAAAAATTAATGACTGAAGATCAATTTTCATGAGCTTAACAACTGCATGTAACTTGTTTCATTAGTTCCGCACAAAAGTTATCATCTGTTGGAGGCAATTCTCACTTGGCACCACTGGAATTTATGTTTTAAAATTGCATGAAATCTCCGTCTTGGCTATTTTTTAGGAGTTTCTTCCTCTTTTTTAGTCAGAACAGTGATTCTTCCCTTTGAATCCGTTTATTTTAATCTCTTATTTTTTGCGGATGATGATTATTTTTAGTTTTTTCTGCTCTCATTTTCTTCATGCCTGCATAGTGTGGCTCCTCTGCATCATTTTCTTTTCTTTTCTATTTTTAATTTTCAAGCTTGTTATGTTCAAAGTATCTCTCAATAGCATTTCATGAGTCACACTCATTAATGATCAGCATGTCAGTAGTATACTATTGATTTTTCCTCTTTTTCTCGCTACCCTATATCTTATTTTGTTAGTTTAACAATAAAGCACAGGGGGAGTTTGATCTACAATTAGTGTAGCAGATGTTTATGCCAGGCAACAAAAATCCAGATAATCAATTTGGCAGCGGTCTCTGTCATTCCCAATCGGATTTGAGCCCTGCTTTCCTTCAAAATTCATCAAAATAGACTATGCTCTCGGCCTCGGCACCATTCCAACATTTGTGCTTCTCTGAACCTCAAATTTTATGCCTACGTGGATTAACGAGCTGGTGAAATAAGAATATGTCATAAATTTCAATTTATGCTTTTAACAAAAACCAGGAAAATTGGGTCGAATGTAGAAATGTCTAGCTAATGAAAGGCCAGATAATTGAGGTTCTACTGCGGTATGAAAGAAAACATGAAACATGATTCCCAGGAACAAACACTAAAAATGGCCCTTTATAATGGACCTTAAAGTTTGATCAATTTGAAATTAGAGCAAATTTTTCCAATCTATTCATTCCTCCTTGGGGGCAGGTTATTGACACTGATTGATAAAGCAATACTGCTGTGCTAAGGAAGAACGCCGTATGAACCATCAGACGTTGCCCAAGTTCCGTTGGTAAATGACGAATTTTTGGGAAAACTTGTAAATATTTGTCTTCTAATTTTTCAGATAATTTTGTTCTCAATTTCACCTACAGTTCCTGAAAATTTTAAGGGAAAATATCCATAACTTTCCTCAAAAATAAATGTTTTATCGAAGGAAGTTGGGCAACTCTCGAATGTTCATACGGCGTTTTGGATAATTTCACTTAAAAATCACCAAATTGTACCGAATTTTAACGCTCTTATTCGCGTCAGGGTCACCATAATATGAATGTATAATCATATAAGGAAAAGGGAAAGGAAAACAGGGAAATAAGAGGATGAATGACAGATATATGTAGGAGCGACCGTGACAGGACAAGTAGATGCAATACAATGGAGAGACGTCACTATGGAAACGCATACACGGCGTTCTTCCTTAGCAGCAATTCTAGTAGCTGAAGCGGATGGTTGTCGTATGCAACCACCTGTTTATTGTTATCTCGTTTGTCTATCGCTTTGCCCATCAACAGCATATTTTTATGCATAATTCCCAAATCCCAAATGTCACTCATGAGCGAAACAAGAAAATAACGTCTTTTGTTTTTCAATTTAACAGTTACGCTTGCCCAAAAATGGAAATTTACTTGCAATAACGAAAGTTCCACCTTCCGAAATATGCCTACCATCTTCTGTGTAGAGGTATAAAGGTCTAATATGAAAAAATTTGGTGATGTTTTGATCAGCGGTCTAGCGAATAAGACTACCATCATCCTGATTTCATGATCGTCGTCAGGCTGCCATGTCATGCATGGTTCTTTCTTTTCTTTTTTCAATAGGATTTACTCCTCTTATTTTCTTTTTTTAGGTCATAGAGCAATTAATTGAGTAAGCTCACCGTCCTGAAATTTTTCCTTTTTTTTTCTCTGTATTTCAATGAAACCTTTTTTGTTTCCAGAAGGTTCAGAAGATGACCATTCAGTCGAAACTGTCATTCAGAAGAAACCTACTGGTAAGTCTGAATTCATTTTTTTCCTCCTTTTTTCAGTAACAGGCCACAAAAATGCCAGCGTTAAAAATATTTTAAACAAAGAGATTGCCCAAGTTTGAAGGATGTACCCTTGAACTTAAAAATTGGGATTCTAGGCTAAGAAAATTGTTATCAAAAGTGAACGAAAAGCAAACAATATTTAAAGTAGCAGAAAAATCGCACATTTCACACAATTGTTTAAGTGTAAATTAAAGGCAGTAAATAGTACACGAGGGTGTCTACCAACTAGGGAACTCAGGGGGATGAAATTGGTTAGGGAGAGAAAATGCATAACTGGGAGAGTCCTGAACTCCTGCGCAAGATTTTGTGTAACTTCACGGTGCTGTGATACTAATCCCCTTAGTGCTCCTTCTCTCTTGGTCTATAGTGAATTTTTCCTTCTTCCTTTGAAAATTCGAATGTCCACCGATCTATATTGGTACTTTGCGCTGAGCTATTCTTATTTGTGCATTTCTTTCCATTTGAAAAAAAGGTCAGCCAGGGAAAGTCCAAGAGACAGAAAATCCAAGAGCCAGGGAAAAACTGGAAAGAGAAGGGTAGGAAGGGTAGAAGGGTAAGACAGTTTTGCCTAACATCCTGTACACCCACTTCGTCTACACTCCCATTTTTTTCAAAATCTTAAAAATTCTTAAACCATCAATGCACTTAATGCTTACCCAAAGATGATATTCGCAGAAAGAGAATGAGTGAATGGGATAGAGTTGATGTTGAGAGCCTCTTTCTTGGCATCTCATGTATGTAATGACGGATCTGTAGATCAAGAAAAGCCTGCTGATTGCACACTTTAAATGCAGCTGTCCATTGTGAAAACATCTGTGCCCACTGATTCCATGGTAATCAAGCTGACAATGGCGCATGAGTGTGAGTAATCAGTATTTTTGCCAATGTAAGTATCAACATTTTTCCACTCAAATATGGAAACAATGAATTGTACAACTATTTTTCATCCTTGATACCCTCTTGAAGCTTACAAATTTTATCTTCGAAATTTTTCATCACCGTGCAGATCTAGACAAGGAGAAAAAGTCTAGTGGGGATGAAATCTATCCAGAAGTTAAAAAAGATCCCAAATTCCTAGCTGAGTTAAGGGCAGCAACGCAACTGCGAAGCAGCAAGGTATTCTGTAGTCTCAAGCATTCCTATCTGAACTTAGCTGTTCGAAGTTTTTTGTTGTAGTGCGTGCGTTAAAACTTTCCATCAAGTTTTATTTTTTTTCACCCAAATACTTTCATAATTTAGAATTTTTACATTCGTTAGATGATACATTTTGTTTATTGTTATTATTTCTATAATTATCCTCTTTGTTATTAATTTCATTTTTTACAATGTTGGATGCACTGAAAGTTTTGTAGAAGTTTGCACACAGTTAGCTATAGATTAGTTAGAAACCGTCGTAATATTTTCAGTTCTACAATATTCATCCAATTGGGGCAGACTCTCCACCCTAACATCTCTTTGTCAACCATTTTAACTAAAGGAGAATGCTCATAAGATTTCAATCTTTACAACTGAGTGTTAGAACCTTTTTTTAAAGATGTTTTTGAAACCCCCATGTCTTGACCTCAAATTGATTTTCCTTATTATTTTCAATTTAGCATGCAAGTCCCATACTTAATTCTCATTTCTCTCTTTCACTACCTTTGACGAAGCTTTTAATGAAGAAAAAAAGCAATAAAGAAAGAAAGAAAGAGAAAAAAACCCTTTGACTGGGGCTGAGCCTGGCTCATCTAATTTCTAACGAGAGAGAGAAAGAGAAAAATAAATAAAATAAAAACCCAAAAGGAGGGGAGGAGGGGTCGGACTGCTGGCGTTAAATTCAATCTGCTGTCTTTTTTCTTTGAAGGAACTACCACATACTGCCACGAAATTCCAAGGGTCAACATTCACCCTCTGGGCAGTTGTCCAAACAGTTTTTTTTTTTTTTTTTTTTTTCTTAAAGAGGACTTAGATTTTATAAACTAATCATGGTTAGTTATGCATTTTGAATGGAATGCCCAAAAGAATGGTTGAAGTTTAATGATCATGGGTTTTTGTCAAGCACATGTAAGCTCTTCCTTCTATATAACATTTTTCATTTTTTTCCCCCAGAATTCCGGTGAGCTGATGAATGGCAATGGACCAAAAATGGTGAGTAAGTTTTGCGTGACTTGATTGTTTCCTTTAAGCCGTTTAAGTGAATATGTTGAATTTGTGATATTCTCCAGGTTGATCATTAATCATCTTACATGGAAAGCTTAATTTTCTATTATAGTAAGGAAAAGAAAAAGGAGATTTCTAAATTGCAAGATATTTTCTAAGAAAAAGGTCCAATATACTCCAGGGTTGTATTTTTGAAATTTTTACTTCATTACTTTTAAGCAACGGAGGAGCGATCCATTTAAGCAATAGTAATGTCTCCAATCAGGTCCTTAGCTAAATATTAACGTCCTTGTTGTTATCCGCTCCCAAAAAGTCCAATATCTCACTCACTTTCCACAGATTGATTCAGCTCAGAGAGTACAAAAATTATTCCACAGATCCAGAAGTGTTGGAAAAGTACGGAAAGATACCAATGGTCCGGAATTTTCCTTGTCATTGACATTCATTACAGCAATTTTACAAAAATGTATACTACAAGCAATAACACTTGTAAGGTAACATAAAGTCCACCAAGGAATTTTGTTAGTGCAACATTATTGAACTTGAGTTTAACCACAACTGGATTCTGGTATCACCTCGGGGTGCAGCGATAGATTGTATGTGGTTTCTATCCAATGAGCTTGTTGCAAACTTTTGCTAGAGCAAAAATAAGAGTTGCTCCATATAGATAATGTCTCAAAAATCACGATGACTGCATCGGCGAACTCAAAAATGCACTCTTAACTTCACTATCTGCGTAAGAAATTTGCGTTTTTTTAAGCTTCCCGCTTCAAAAAGGATGCTATGACACAGGTGAACATTTCGTTAGAGGAATGGTTCCATTCAATCCCTGCTCAACAATGCCGACGCTTCCACGCGCAAGTTGAGGAGATTAGGATGTCAATCAAGGAGGATATCTACCAAGGCAAGAATAATGTGAATGTAAACATGCCCATTGCTGTTATCAGGTGGTTAGAATCATCGTCCCATCACCTGTGTTTTGGCGGATTGGCGTCGGCTATGTTGAAGATTGCGTAGTATCCTTGTTAACAGAGGTTGGTTGGAATGACTCCTCTAATGAAATGTTCACCTGTGTCGTGGTATCGTTTTTGAGGCAGGAAGCTTGAAAAATCGCTAATTTCTCATGCAAATTGTGAAGTAAGGTGTGCATTTCAGACTTTGCCGATACACTCATCCTGATTCTTGAGACATTTTCTATGAGTAACAACTCGTATTTTTGCTCTAGCAAAAGTTTGCAACAGGCCCATTTTCATGAGGCGTCTTGCTAAAAATTGCTAAAATATGTCTTTTTAATGCTCTCATAAAACCCCTTTAATTTGTCTAATTGCTTTCTGCATTCAAATTTCTAGGGGCAGGGCTCCAACAGCCATTACACTGAATACAAAGTCGAGAATCGGGAGCAAACTTCAGCGGACTCCGAACTTAATGATTTACAATAAATTCTGTTTGAATTTCCTCTCTACTAGCAACTCAAGCCTTCATTTATTTAACTATTTGATATTGTTTGAATAATTTGAGAACGCTTTGCACCTACTTTTCTAGCATTCTTGAGAGTTGACAATCTGAATCTAATGCTTTCTTTTTAATAATGTAGTGAAGCCTGCAATTTTTAAGCCTGATTGACTTTCAATTTTGTCATTTCATACCGTTTGTAAACTTCAAATCAACTGCTCGAAAATTTGTTAGGTAATGGTGAACCTACCTTATGCATAGCTACTTCCCTTCAAATTGTATACAAATACTTGTAATTGTACTACAAAAGTATTCAAACTGAATTGAGACGGCACGAAAGAAAAAAGCATTAAATCCTTTATGCCCAGTTTCGGAATATTAAGAAACAATTCTGCAGTTAAAGGCCAAATAAATGTAACCCGATTTTCACTAATTCCAGAAATTCGGGGAAAACTACATGACAGCTTAATGCTTGCAACGTATTTTGCAAATTTACAAACCTGGTGTCTTGTCAGATATAATAAAAAAAAATTTACACATGCAGATCTCATGCTAAGTATGTCAAAAATGCAAATAACTGGATTTTTCCAAAATTGATGGTTAAATTTCTTTAGCACTTAATTTCAGAATTAAAGTGCACATTTCGCAATTTCTTAAAAAAAATGTGTGGAATCTGCAATTTGTCAACAGTGATCTGCAACAAAATAATTTATTTGTACTTAACCTCGTGAAAATCATAAACTGACGGACTTTCCTTTGTTCCTTACTCAGCTAAAAAAGCGCAACATAAATGAGTAAATTAATTTTTTTTTTATTCCATTTTAACTTGATTGTTTTGTAAAGTCTGAAATTTTGACCAAAGCTCACAGAGTATTAGTCATGTAATTGACAGCTTCTTCATAGTGATGTGTGCTGAAACCGTCCAACTCTCTTGACGTATGACTCTTTACAGGTAAATTAATTTTTTTTTTATTCCATTTTAACTTGATTGTTTTGTAAAGTCTGAAATTTTGACCAAAGCTCACAGAGTATTAGTCATGTAATTGACAGCTTCTTCATAGTGATGTGTGCTGAAACCGTCCAACTCTCTTGACGTATGACTCTTTACAGGTCTCTTTGTTACTTGACTGACCTTTAAATCCATAAGCTAAAGAGAGAGGAAAGAGGCATGGGAAAGCTTGCCTCGTTTATTTTCGTTGCTTTTAAGGATTTCAAGGACGTTTGAGCAAGGAGCAAATGAAGGAGATTTCAGTGCACACTATTTCTCCTTATTTTAGTGTCTATTTCTCGACTGATTGCAGTTTAACAACTTTGATGTGGCCTATTAAAATTGTTTCATGGTCGGATAATTTAATGAGAAAATATTGTCATTACTTTGTCACTGTTCTAAAATTGGTTGCCTATTATTGTGTCAGCAAGAAACTGTTGATAGGATTTGCAGAACTCTGAGTTCTTGCAAGGTTTTAACTGATCAAAGATTATTAATGATCTTTGTGCATGGCTGCATTTAAACGCAGTTTATGATTTAGTGATTTAGATGCAATTGATATTGTTTTCAGCTATCTGCTCTTTCTCATTCATTAAGTTCGCCTATCTTAGCAACTTGCTAATTAAGAAGTCATAATATAAGTGGCATTTTTGTAAAACAGTATCAACCCTCTTTTTACGAAGAGAATCATAGTATAATTTTACATTGTTGTTCCTCATGAACAGCTGTTTGTGAAAGATTGGAACAATTCTAGGATTCTTCACAGTATTTCAGTTTCCATAAAAAATGGGAAGAAAATTAGAAGAACTGGATCCAAAAATGATAATTGTAGTTTCCCGATAGTTGCTTCCCAAAATTCGCTCTGTTGTTGTAATCATCATGTAGAGAGCTCCAAGTTCCTATAATCCATTCTGTTTACATATTTTGCATAAGGGTTGATTAGGAAAAATTGGGGAGCACTTATTTTTTTAAATGCCTATCACTGTCTGTTTTTGAGGTATCAATTTTTTCTCCTAATAATGTGCGCTAGGAAACGGTACGATTTAGTGGCAACTGTCTTCACGACTTAAAGCAAGACGTATTTATTTTAATCTTTAGCAAAATTCTGACGGAACTTGTTCCCATTAGAGTTTTAGGTAAAGTTTTAGGTGATATGGAAAACAGGGAAAGTCAGGGGATTTGCGGCTTCTCGGATGTTGGGAAAAGTTGTAGAATTCATGGGAAAAGTTACGGAATTTCAAGAGTAATCCATTGGCTCGGTAACTTTAGTTGGTGCCATCCACAAAAGCGTAAACAACTTCTGGGTGCCTTTTTATATACCTTGAATCTCTTAGAAGTGAAAATGTTGTCCATAGTTCAGAATAAGAAATAGAATCAAAATATTTATATTTGGAGAAAAATAAAAATAAAATAGAAAATTTGTTAGGAGGTCAAGGAACTGTCTGCAGAAATCGGGGATTAGGAAACTTTGGTATTAGGGTAAAGCAAAAAAAGTTATAGAAAGTCGAATTTTAAGCGATTTTTGTACAAATTGTCATTTGTAGATCAACCTTCCCAAGTTTGGTGGAACTTTTGTTATTTTTATTTCCTTTTATCAGAGCATCTCATTGTCAGTCTGAAGCTTTGATGCATGCAAAAATCACTTTTAATTAACTAACCATCATATGATGAAAAGAGAGAAATAGACCGAAGAATGCATCGATAGATAGAATGATACATTTCACATTAAAACTGTGATATGTATCATCGCTTACTCAGTCCCTTAAGTTTGTAGAGCTCTAAGTCTTAATTCCTCTCACATTTGGACTGAAAAGGAATTTATGGACGTAAAAATGTGTATTCAAGGCAGTATTAAAATAAATAAAAATTATTAGGTAAATTAACTCTTTATTAAATAAGTTGAAAAGTTGGGCAGGCTCTTAATTGCTCCTAAAATTCATCTTTCTTCAGCCAGGGGGCTGATTATTGAAATTGATAGACAAAGAAGACATAGGGAGTATGGAGCAATCCTGTTGGTTGAACTGGGTGGTTCCTTTAGATTAAGGGAGAAAATGGTGGACTAATTATAGGGTCTCTTGCGGGTAGCCATTAGTCAGTCTATTATCTACCTCCTTTGTCCATTGCAATCACCCGCTTCTACCCAGAGGACACGTCCATACCCCTTTTGTTTTCTTCGTCTCTAGCTTTGTCTATCAATGTCAATAATTGCCCTGCAGTGGAATGGAAGGAGATTCCTTCAATCCTTTCATTCTCTTGCTTGTAGCAAATGAAGCGAAGAAAGTTACTTTCCCACCAAAAGCAGTTCATTTGTATCATAATAGTGTGCATAATTAATTTTTTCTTCTTGTTTTGTTTCCTTACACTAAAGTTAGAGTCTGACCCAATCACAATTCCTTATTCTAGTAATTAGAATGGCACCATATTCAGGGGCGGACAGACGTTATGAAGCCTCGGAAGGCGAGGGCTTTTAGAATTGGATATCAAGGTGAAACTGCAAAAAAGTAGTGTTTTAAATTCTCTGCTCCAATTTTATTTTATCAAAAAAGGACGAAATAAAACCATAGCTTGAAACACAACATTTCCTCATGCAAAGATGGAAAATCAGGGAACCTTTCAAGCACTAACTTTGAGTATTTTTCCATTTTAAAATATAAGATTAAGACAGAAAGTCTGCAGCATGGCAAACTGGACGTACTACTGCCAAATGGAACTAGAGACGGGTGGAAAATATGGGGTGTACTCTAGAAAGCTGCATAAGAAACAATGTAAAAGTGGACGCGACTCCTTTTGTGTAAATGGAAAATTGGGATTATACATTGAATTAAACGGAATCAAGCGCCAAAATATGTGGCTCTCATGACCTGTGGGCATGTGGCAAGAGCGTCGTGAACAGGACTCATGAGTTAAAGAGCCACAATCCAAATCTCCTTGTCCTGGTCGTCGCCGCTGACGTCACTGACACTTTACAATTCCCAATTATTCTTACGGCCCACAACTAACAAGCATACTAACAAGCACCCATCCATTTCTGGTTCCTTTCAGTAGAAATACATCCAACTGAGACAGACTTTTTTGAAGTTTCACCATCTATGTGTGATAGAGAGTGTAAGGGATGCCCTCTCATGTCATACTGGACTTCCCTTGCTTCCAATCAGGAGAATGTGAGAAGCTTTCTCTCCAAAAAATTCAAATATCAACCCACAAGAATGTTATTATCAGCTGTTTGTTAACGATAACGATTCTTAGAAGTTCACTCTCCCCAAAATTCAAGTGCCAACTAATTATTTTAAAGTATTACAATATTATTGCTCTTCATCTCAAGTCCTCTTTATATATCCATCAAATTAAAATTGAGGGTCCTCGGCATCCCAGGCGTTCCATTGTCTGCCCCTGACCATATTGTGATATAAATTACTTCATTTGCGTAAGCTGTACTGATCGAAAAGAAAGTCAGCTTGAAATTATAAACACTATGTCGTTCTCTTTTTGTTTTCAAATTTTATCCATTGTTATTATTTGTGACTGTTTTGTACATACGCTTTCATGTTACTATACCTCTTTCATCTTGATTGTTTGGTATTTACTGTCTAAAAGATAAAAATATAAAATTATTATTAGATAATAAATCATGCATATGCTGTTTTCATTTTAGATAAAATTAATGCGTCGTAAATTTATGACCTTCAGTTCTGTTTTTTTTTTTTTTTTTTGCCTAAATTAGTAAATAAGGGTTTCCCTACTTGGTGGTGCTTCTCTAGCCAGTGTTTCTAAAGGTAGTAAAAGTGAAAGAAAATGAAATTAGAAAGTTCAAATGGATTGCATTTTGCAAAAAGGAACCAAGATCATTCCAATGTTGCTAGGATTATGCAACTTACATTCTTTGCAATAAAGTTACTGAAATAATGTAAATAATCAAATATACGAAGGTAATTTTTGTCTTGAATTTATTGTTTATTCAGAGTAAAGATAAAACCTGTTTAGATTCTCAGTTTATATTTGCGAGGTAAAGAAAGTTGCACAATCTTAGCGACACTGGAATGCTCTTGGTTCCTTTTAGCAAAATGTAATCCAAATTTTATAAATAAAAATAAGTGACAAAGAAATATAATACCTATGTACAATAGATTTAAAAATTGAATTCAATGAAACTGAAAGTTAAATGACTTCTCATGAGCACCATGACGTAATCTCTGCAAGAATAGGGGATTGGGTATTCGATGGTTAAATTTGAAAACTGTATCTTTGATTGCAATTATGCAAATTTTGCAGCTTATGTATTTTTTTAAAGGAAACTAAGATGCAGTTTAACTTAGAATTCTGTCAATTGTTTTCACTCAAGAAAACTTACCGCCAGAAAATTTCAAGGATCTTGGTTACTTTTCCTGTAAGAAAATGAAACATACCCAGCTGAAAACTTTAAATGTTGCAATGGAGTTTAGCCTTTTTCACTTAGGATGTTGATAAGTAAGCAACGATTTTTTCGAAATAAAACGGCATTACTTTTAACCGAATTTCATCATTTTATCATCGAAGATCAAACTTCCTTTTTTCAGCTGTGGCAAAAACAATTTAGGTAATTCAGTACTAAGTTGCAATGATCAGGTATCAGCTCCTTCATTAATGATAGCACGTACTGCCAAATTGTGTGGGTTACATAACTGACACAGCCTAACAGACAGATGTGAATTGTGAAGTAAAAGATTGTGGATTATATGAAATTTGGCAATTCATGAGATATGAGGTAGAAATAGTGCAGTCTCTAAAGTTTCTTCAACTTTGAGGTCTTCCTTAAGAGAATAAATTGGTTTTTGGAAAGCTCTCAGCTAAGATATTTTCTTGGTCAGTCAGCACTAAGTACCTACTCATACTCATTTCAACTCTAAAATTTTTAAAATTCTTCAGAAATTTCATATTTCATGGAATTTACCAATACTTTTCAAAATTTCAAAAATTAAAGAATGAGTTTTAACTGTCTCTAAGCATTTTATAATTATATGAGTTTTCTCCTCATGACTTTGCAGTTCTAAATAAATTGTTATTAAGTTCTGTGAAATGGGCGAAATTCTTTTTAACGACTAAAGGTGTCCACCGGTAGCCAACAATAATTATGCTACATGGTGACACGTTTCTGAGAAGAAGGAAGAAACCTGGAAAACTTAGGGAAAAATTTTATTTGACCGTGAAAAGGCAGGAAATTTCGCAATCAAGCATTGCATTTTCTTGGGAATTTTCTTGAATTTGGAAATTCTATACAACTACGGGAACTTGTGATCCCCAGAAGGTAAGTACATATCATACTCTTAGAACACAATGCATGAATAAGGTGGACTTTTTAAAAGGTTGCCTTGTCAAGTGTTGTTTCACGATTTTTTTTTTTTTTTTTGGAAAAAAAGAGGGGGAGGTCCAAGAGTTGTTGAGTTGAAAAAAAAAAATATTAAAAATAAAATTGAAAAATACCTGGTTTGCAGAATTAAAAAAATTGGTTGAGGGGGGGGGGCAACAGCTGCCCTTTCACCCCATGGTCCCCATGCTCCGAGGCTCCTACAAAAAAATAAGATTTCACCGCCAAATCCTAGTATTTTATTGGTTCAATAAGAGTCTTTATTAACAAAGTAAAACGAATTTCATATTATTCCGTATCATGAGAACACTTCCCCGAAAAGTCCATCCGTGCATTCGAATTCTCCTTCCTCAATCATTAGCGTAACAGCTTTTGTGTTCAGACCTTTTGAAGGCGCATGTTGGAAGGTATGCGGTATGCGGGTAGATAGCCATTATTGCCGTATCTTTTCTCATCATCAGTGAGTCACACAGTTCCCAAGCCGGGCGGTCCCACGGTTTCTCTTCCTTGGTTATCATAGTCTGCGACTGTGCCCGGCCCTTCTTCTTCAGTGCGAGATTTAGTTTTTTCTTCAACTTCCTTAATTGTTCCGCAGTGATTGTGATTTCAGTGATTTTGTGAAACCTGTCACTCGCCGAGTTACTCTTCCTCCAGGTCAGCGAAACTTTGTTTATCTTTTTTGCCTCCTCAAACGAGCTTTACGTCAATGCCCAACCCCTCTGTCTCATCGCCTGTATCCCGTTATTATGTGGACTAGGAAAAATAAAACAAATTCCGCTCGCATGCTTTTCTCGATTAGTTTTATAGAATAAAATTTTACTGACGTGGTTGCGTCCACATCTATCACTTTCTCTACCACTGAAAGCCATCCATATTTTCCTGATACCGTCGAGACTTTGAGGTTAGAATAATCTGAGGATTAGTTAATTATTGCAATAATAATTACTGCTCCTCTGTCTTTCGAACGGAACTGTCTCCAGCCCTCAACGGCTAACCATCTCTCTCTCCCTATTATGCTAATCATCGTAATTTCATTACATGAATGTATTCAACGATTTCCCTGCGGCTTACTCCTATTGTTTACCATCTGCGTCAAACCGATAGAAATAGTTTTATTGCCTTTGGCAAGGAATTTATTGCTAAAGTTTTATCTTTTCATTCCCTGCCTTTATACCAGTGTTCATTGATTGAGGAAATCAGATTGTTATACAATGTCAAACAATTGATTTCACTTAGGGTTTGCTCTTGTGTACAAACTTTGGGTGTAGATAGCATGGAAGTATCATACACATCATGACTGTATTGGCCCTCTTTTCGGTGTGAAATGACTCGATATCTACCCTTCTCCAACTCTTTAGATCTTTCGAAGTCATTAATACCTCACTTCCAACTTATACCTCATCATCTGACTAACATACTCAATAGGTGCGTCGTCAAAGTAAACTTGTCCGATTCTGTTTGGTTCTTCCGTTTCCAAATGCAACCCAACGGTCCCATCAACCTCCTGGGATTGTTGCGTGTTTGGTAGAAACCTTAGGCTCTTGTATGTAAACAAACAAGCCATTCGGTAATTCTAACGGAGTCGAACAACGCCGACCACTTGGAATCGGGTTATTCCGTTTCCAAACAGTCCCAAACTGTTTACTTTGACAACGCAGCTAATGTCACTGGATAGAATAAACCAACTTAGTGTTTGAAGATAGCGGTACAACAAACTTGTGAGGTCAGCTTGCTTAGCCAAGTCTCCCCCATGAGAATGGACAACTAATTATAGATAGATAGATATACTTTATTCAGGAAAAAATACTATGCTCATGCAATACATCTTTTTCCATTTCCACGCTGAGCCTGGCTCTTGCTGTGGAGTAAGTAGGCAGCGAATTGCAGGTTAATATAAGAAATCATTATTGAAATTACCATTTGAATTATAGTATTTTTCAACAGCTTAGCGGTCAGCACACGTACAGCTCGACTGCACATTCTGGCTGCGCGCACATGCCTGGACGTAAAGCGTCCTAGAACTTGCGTCAGATAAGTTGACAATGGCTTTCTTCTCTGAGAGCGACTGCGCTGCCTCTGTCCAATTAGCAATAAAAGATTGTCAGAGTGCGGCGGCAGTGCCATGCTGTCGTGTGTAGGCAGCAAACACCAATACCTTTCCCTGAGGAGCTATGGCTAAAGTCTACTGCAACTGCCATCAACATTCATTTACTGATTTCTCAGTATCCTCCTTTAAAAATAGACTCTGAAATAATTTTAACAATCATGTCTTTACCGAGATGGTCCGTTTGGTACCAATGCAAAGTGAAATATTGGCTGTGAAACTCCCTAAACACGTATCTTGTTTGCAGTGTCGTAAAATCTCCTCTCTTCTTGTTTTCTTTTTCTTTTTGAAGGAAAATCGGTCAAACTTACCCCTTCAAATTTTTACTGAATTTTTTTCGCACATAGGTAGAAGAAAAATCACAGAAGTTTTAAAAAATTGACGTTTAGTAGGATTGCGGATTTTCATTTTTTCGCGAATATTGGCGGTTTTGCGGAAGCTCGCGGATATTAAAAAGAGATCAGTTATTTTCAGATCTAGGTATTTGCGCGGGAGCTAACTTAAAAATTACGATTTCTAGCTGATTCCTGAAGTCATTCTCAGGCAATCATTTAAATCGCGGTTATTCGAGGGCGTCTACGGGAAACTGCTCGCACGCAGGAAAATAAACGCGGAAGTTTCTCGCTTTTTCTTGGGTACTTAACTATAGTACCCACTATACTGCCGTGCTAAGGAAGAACGCCGTATGAACATTCGGGAGTTGCCAAATTTCCTTCGATAAAATGTTTATTTTGGAGAAAAGTTGTGAATATTTTTCCTTGAAATTTTCAGGAACTTTAGAACAAAATACGAACAAAATTATCTGAAAATTTGAAAGGAAAATATTCATAAGTTTACAAAGGGATTCGTGTTTTATTTAAAGAAATTTGACAACGCCAGAAGGTTCATACGGCGTTTTTTCCTAGCATGGCAGTTTAGTACCCGTACGAATGACCGTACCGGGAGACTCGGCGTGGAGTGGATTCGGAGTGGAGACTCGGCGAATATTCGCGATTTATCGCGGATATTCGCAGAGTTTCCACTGTTAAGCGAGTATAGTCGCCTCGAATGTCTTAGGGTCGAACACAGCCGCCCAGTAATCGTCTGACCAACCTCTGCTCAAATTTCTTTACGAATCGAATGCATTTTTATTTAGCGGCCGGAAAAAGACAGGATTATTTCTTATCTTTTTTCACTCCGAAACCTGGCATGAGGAGTCGTCGGTCGGGGTGCAAAATCTCCCGATTTTGGGGGAAATTCTTAGGAAAGTGAGGCCGCAAAAATGTTTCCGAATGAATTTCGACCGATCTTTTCCACTACTCAGGATATCTATGTTTCGAAAAAAATTAAAAAGTGTTTTTTTTTTTTTCGAAAAAAATTCCAAAAGTGAAGTTTAATCACCGGCCATTAAAGCCAAGTGCACTACGTTCTTTTTCTTATCTTATCTTGCTAATTACTGACTACAAAGTAGGTCTTGTTTCATTTTTAAATGAATTTTTTGTCTACTGTCACTTCTGTCTTTTGGAACACTTTGTCTCCACCGCTCCAATTTATTATCCATTTATGTAATCAACCCAAGTTTTCTTATTGCTCATAGTTATGTAGCAGGTGAATTATGTATATTTACTCTTAAGTCTCTCTCTCAGTCTGGTGTATTTTTTCTTGTAAAAACTTTTGACAAATAAAAGACATTTATATAATAAAAAATGAAAGCGACGAGCTAAAAAAAAATTGAAAAATTTGGGAAAGAGGAAATTTTGAGTAAGTGAGGGAGGACAAAATGCCGGATCGGCTGAATGACACGCTTGGCACCCCTGTCGAAAACCTCCTATCACATTTCACTAATCAAAGTAGGCCTCACTACTGTTTTCTCGATCTTTAAAAATCTCAAAATTGTACGAGTAGTTTACGCAAAAGAAACTGAATTAAATATTTCCTAGCAATTTTGTGCGTATTTTTTTTTTTTTTTTTTTTTTTTTTTTTTTTTTTTTTTTTTTTTTTTTTTTTTTTTTTTTTTTTTTTTTTTTTTTGAAAGAATGAAGAAAATTCCAAGGAAACTTCAATTGAAACCGTTTGTTTGTTTTCCTTCGTAAAAAGAAAACACAATGTCGCAATCGGAGACACGGATCTTTGGACTTTGGGCAGCGAGATATGGATGATTATACACGGATTGGAATGAGGGATCCCGGTGCTGCCGCCTTGCAAGAAGCGTCCAGCCCACATACAAACTAGAGGCTTCAAAGAGACTCATCGATGCCTTTCCTGGCCCTCTCATTGGCCAGCGGTTTAAGTCGGGGCAATCGATGAGTCTCTTTGAAGCCTCTAGTTTGTATGTGGGCTGGACGCTAGAGGCGTCACTGTTATCAAACTCGTGGTTTCGACTTAATCGAAAGGTCCTTGAGGGCAACTTCTCGTCCTTTGATTGACTTTTCCAACGTTGATTGAGCATTTCAATTCCAATTTCGTGTCGGCTCACGAGAGGAGCCAGCTCGAGTGTTGTCCTCGTTCTGGGCCCAGATCGCCTCTCTTCCTCCCAACTAAACGTGCTTATTCAGACGCAACGTCATCAAATGGATTCCCCCTTATATCAAGGATACATTCTACACCAATAGAAACCCCACCTGGGTGGTTTCACGATAACTGGAATAGTTTTGTCGCCGTAACAGACAACACATTTTTCGGTCCTATTTTGAGTAGTAATGATAATCACTCGAATTTTTTTGCACTAATCTACACAAGGTTACGTGTTATAACGCTTTTCAAAGATTTATCGCTCTATTTTTCAATTTTAATATATAAATGACCGAAAATGTGCTGTCTATTACGCTGACTTTTTACCGCGTAACAGACAGCACATTTTCGGAATTTACATAATATTCATTGAGAAGTAGAGAAATAAATCATTAGAAGGCGTTATAAAACGTAACCCTTTGAAGATTAATGCGAAGATATTCGAGTGATTATCATTTCCAGTAAAAATATGACCGAAAAATGTGTTGTCTGTTACGGCGACAAAACTGCTCTGGTTATCGTGAAATCATCCACCAACAGACATATATCCATCTACCTCGGATGAAACCTGGAGAAACGCATACCTACCTTGCTGTGCGGCCAGGATTTCAAATAAGATTTAATTTTGCTGAAAAGTGAAATTGCATTTTCCATGAAATTTCAACGATTTTTCGGGGGCTGCGTTCCACGACAATTCAAGTGCTGGGTCCCAAAAGCGTTTCTCCGTTGCAGTGTCTCAAAATCTCCGCCAACGTTTCGTCCATTATAATTAAAGAAAATTCTTGTAATTCGTTGTAACTGTTACTGAATATTCTTCATGATTTTACAGTGCTGAAAACGTAGATTTTCAGGAAATTCACCTAATAGTTTCCCCTCTCAAGTAAAAATTAGCACTGGAGATTCTGAAACACCGCAACTAAGGAATGCCCTTCTTGCGCCCAACGCCTCAATTATCCGAGAACTCAAAAAGAAACTTCGAATTTTAATTTTTCTTCTTCTTTCTTTAATTAATATAATACTATTCCTACACGTTTCATGGTATATTGAGTCCGCTGCAGAA